ATTAATAGAATTAAAATACTTATTCTTTTATTACCTTTTATTAGAGAGCTTAATATATAAATTAACCTATTTATTAAACTATAAATACTTATAAATCTTTTAATTTTTAAAAATATTAGATTATTTTTTAAACTTTATTATTTATTTTAAGGAACTTTTAATAGCTTACTTTATTAAAATATAATCCTTAAAAATTATTTATATTTCTTTTATTTAAAAACTTATAAAAGTATTAATAAAGTCCTTTATATACTTTTTTCTATATTAATTTCTTAAATTCTTTTTAACTTTAACTATTTAAAGGTAATAAATATTATAAATATAGTAGATTTTTAAACTTACTTACTTTTTAATATATACTATTTTTAAATTATTTATTTAAATTAAATAAAGTTTAAATCTTTAAATTAAATTTATTTTATATTATTAGAGTTTAAAATACTTAATTAATTTAAGTTAAAATAAACTAAATATTTATAATATTAAAAATCCTTTATAATAAATATATTTTTAACTTTAATAAGTTTATATATTTTAATTTACTTAAAGGTTTAAATTTAATAAGTATATTATTTAAGGGTTAATCCTTCTACTCTTATTATAGTTAGTATTACTTAATATTCTTTTATAATAACTATTTATATACTTACTTTTAAGAGTATTAAAGTATTTTTAAGTACTTTAATAAATAAATAAAGTTTAATAGGTTACTTAAAGTTTAATATTTTTATTTATATAAAAGTAAGTAAGTTTAAATTAATTATATAATTTATTTAATTTTAAATTAATTATTAATAATTATTAAATATAATAGAAATTATAAAAGACTTAAATTATTATTTATAATACTTTATAAACTCTTTTAATAGCTTTTTTATTTAGTTTTTAAGTTTAACTAGTTTTAATTCTAATTTATTAATAAATATATTATATTTATATTATTTAACTATCTAATTAAAGTATTTAATTTAAATATTAATATACTTTTAATAAAAGAGTATTAAATATTATATATTTTAAAAGATTTAATAATATATTATTAAGCTTAAAGGAATTTAAGTTAATAATATTCTATACTCTCTTAAATATAAAGTAAAATTAAAGCTAAATATATTATTTTAAGAAGCTCTTTTATTATAAAGAAGTATTATTTTAATAGAGATATATTTAGTTTTTAAAAATATATTAGGTAGTATAATTTATTCATTTTAAATTAAAAAGTATTTAAATAATAAAAAGATATACTTAAAAGTATATATTTTAAAGGGAAATTAAGTTAGAGTTAGGCTTATAACTATTATAATTTTAAGTAAAGTATATTAAATAAAATAAATTAACTAATTATTTAATTATAAATAGTAAATATGGAAAGCTTATTTTTATAGATAATAGAGCGTTATAATAGGTGGATCTAATTAGTTACCCACAGTTTAATACCTTAGTATTCTTAGCTAACTTACTGTTGGGGGCATATTGTACTAAAAAGCTCACTTAGCTGTGATAAGACCGGCCAGTAAGGGGTAGGGGCTAAGGGTGGCAGGTGGGCCCTGCAGGGGTCCCTGCAGGTCCCCTTATCGATAAGGCTACCACACCATTACCTCTTGCCCCGAAGCCCGAGGGGCAACCTTCCTTTCTTCTCTCTTTCCTTAGGTAACCCTACTCTTTAAATCCACTCTATTTAGTGTAAACTTCAAGCCTTTATACTATAAAGCCTAAGTAACGTCTCACTTATAAGCCACTATCTACCTACCTAGCTTTAACCACTACCTACCTAGTGATTTCTATAAACCTATTTAATATTAACTTTTTATATATAAAGCTTATATAAAACTATATATTTAATTAGAATTCCTTAAATTTTTAATATTTAAAGTATAAAACTTTTTTTAACTTTTTAATACTCTTTTTATCTTTCTAACCCTTTAAATAAAATAATCCTTATAATTTATAATAAAAGAAAGTTTAAATTATTTATAAAAATTATTAATTTAAAACTAAAGTTATTTAAAGAATAATATAAAGAAAGTAATAAAGTTATAATCTTATATTATAAAGGATATAAAGGTTATTTAAATTAATAAAATAAGTAGAGTATATAAACTTACTAATTAATTCTATAAGTATTTAACTTATAATTTTAATATTAAACTTTTAATCTTTTAAATTTTAAACTTTTAAACCTTTAATATTTAATTAATATTTAAATATATAATTAATAGTAAAATATATATAAGTTAGAATATATATAAATAAAAAGTATATTAGAATATATATTAAAAGTATATTAAAAATAGTTTATATTTAAAGTATTAAAAGTTTAAAGAAATAAAATACTTTAAAATACTTTTAATATTAATTTAAAAGTATTTATAAATATAAAAGAGTTATTAAAAGAATTAATATTAAGTAAATTTAAAAGATTATTAAATAAATAATAATTAAAGTTAAATAAATAAATATTAAATATTAAACTTTTATATTTATATTTATATTTATATTTAAGTTTATATTTATGTTTATATTTATATTTATATTTATATTTATATTTATATTTATATTTATATTTATATTTATATTTATATTTATATTTATATTTATATTTATATTTATATTTATATTTATATTTATATTTATATTTATATTTATATTTATATTTATATTTATATTTATATTTATATTTATATTTATATTTATATTTATATTTATATTTATATAAAATTATTATATAATTTAAATATAAATATAAGTTAATTAAAATAAATAAAATAAAACTATTATTCTTTTAAAGATTCTAACTTTATTTAAATAAATATTTATTTATTAACTTTATTATATTATAAATAAAATTACTTAAAAGTAATTATTTAATCTATTATACTTTAAATTAAAATATAATCTTTAAATAAAGTAATTATATTTTATTATTTAAGTTTATAATATTAATAATTTTATTATAAATAAATAAAAATAATTATTAATAATTAAGTTTATAATTATATAAAGATAAATCTTTATTTTAAAGAAAAGTTATTAATATTTAAAATAATTGTTATACTACCTTTATATAATAGTAAATACTTATAAACTTATGTTTAAAAGATATAATGCTAATAATAGTATAGAGAGAATAAAATAGGTGAACACTTAATGGAGGAAACCTACCGACGTTAAACTAAGCATGAGCGCCAGTCTGATTACATACAAGGACACCAACAGTGAGACATCATTGAATCATCTCACTCCCAGATGATGCCTTTGATATCCCCATACTATCTTCACAACATGGGATTGTCGGAGCGAGCGAGGGATTACTGTGACTGACGGGCCTTGGCGTGTATCACTGGCAGCAATGTGCGGTGACTGAAAATCCGGAAGCTCACGTCCGGGGAGAATTACCACTTGCATCAACTCTGTGGTTTGCCAAAAAAGAAAGCTCCACTCGGCTGTATCGATTATAGCCTAGCCTTAGTCTTCTCTCCCCCACCAGGTTCCGGCCCTCAGCCAACGGCAAAATCCAGCACCCATGTTCTCAATCCCCAACCGCCTTGCGCCACTTGTGTTCACTGCCCTGGCCTATCAACCCTTAGACAGCTGTAGTCCGAAACATTGGTTATCTTATTATGACACGCCTCCCATTGATCCTCCCTAGAGTGAATTAGCATGCTTCTGGATATGTGTGAAGTGTCGGTGGCACCCACCCTTTCGGTAGAAAAGAAGTTGCTACGAGATCATACACGAAGAAATCCTGGCCTTTGACCCGCTCAGCACGTGAAATGTTGCCCTTATATGTGCCATCATCGTGTTTGTAGGTGACAGCAGCGTTCTTTCGAAAGACAGGTACCATTAAGGGTGGCATTTTGACGGGTGTACTTGGCTGGTTTCAGTGTTTTGGTGCTGCTATTGTTTTGACTTTTGATGGATTGGTTTCCAGTTATTGTCCCTCGTTATGGTGTCGTCTGTCTTGAGAGTGGGTTGCTAGGAAGTAAACGATGGGTCTTTTTATAGGAATTTTAGAAACAGTCACAACACAGTCCTCTATAGACACCCATTTGTGACTAGATATCCTCAGACGATGAATAAAGCTGTAAGACAGAGATTCACACACATTATACCTTGCCCAGATGGAAGCGGTATCAATAGTTTCTGAATTTCCACACACTCTCTAACAGCAGTAACCTGCCTGGAAATTGTGATCCTCGAATATAAATGACAACCAGTTGACCCTGACCGGCTCTTACTAGTAGAGTCTTGCTATTTTGTTTTTAAATTGCAAACCAGGTCAGGCGGGAGAACAAAACATGTGCGTACGTGCGAGTTTTCAATTAACACACATCTACTGTGCTAAGAGTCAAATGGGCTGAAAAGAAGACCAGAATCCTAAGTGCTCGGTATCGTTGATAGAGTTTTTTGTCTTGAGGCTTCAGAGCGCATCACAGCATCAAAGCTCCTACTGGAACATGATGAAGACCTGTGGACTTGAGGACAGACGTCATTACAATTAGCGCGCGAGTTTTCTCTCAAGGTTGAGGACCTGGGGTGGCGACATAACTGACGCCATCCCCCTTCTTCGAGTTTCTCCCCAATGCTTTTGTGGTTTCGCTTCTATCTCGTACACGTCCGAGGACATACATGGCGCCTTCATACGGTGGTAGGCACTCAAGACCCAGCGCTTGCCCCAATGCTTTTGTTTGTATAAGTTCGACCTTCTTGTAGCTTCCAGGCTTTGCCAATAACAGAGGGAGAGGAAGCATGATAGCTAGGGTAGCTAGCCCCTGTAGCGAGCCAGCTCATTCACGTATTGTATTCGACATATCATCAGCATGAACGCTAAGACTGCCTTGTACTCTGATCAATTGACCGCTCTGGGCTTAAACCCTGAGCAAGACTCGGTTTGTCTTAAAAAGCTGTTCCAATAAAACTTTCTGGGGTGGCTAATACGGTACGCTGCCAGGCATCACGTCATGGAGCACACTGCCTTCAATGTTGGCTTTCCACGGTCTTTAATCATCCATTGATGCAGTAGACAATTGTGCGTAATGCTCCCCTACACTAAATTCCCCGCGTGCCTGATAAAACTCGGCGAGAAATCTCAGAGCGCCAGCCCTCGAAGCTCCCTTGGCACCCCGCTCCAGCATTTCGAGGTACAGCGCCTCGAGCTTCGGGTCCAGGCGGAAATCCCGCCTCCTGACCGTGTTCCCATAGATTAGCAGGTAGGCCTTGCGGTGCAGGACCTCGATACACCTGAAGTCGCGCCTCCCGAACGCCGCCTCGAGCCTGGCCAGCGTGCCGTCGACGATGCCCCGGATGATGTCGAGGAACCAGAAGCCGTCGGTCTCGCCCTGGCCGCCGCTCGCGAGCCACTTCATCAGGGACCCCTCGGCCACGGCGGCGGAGGGGTCCAGGCCGGATATCTCGGCGCAGGACTGCAGGATCACCAGCCAGGACCTGGACGCGATCTCGCCCAGGTCGCCCTCCGAGGCGGCGGCGAGCCCCCTGACGATGTCGTGCAGCTGGCGTGTGGCTTGTGCGCCTGACGAGCTGGAGGCCAGGAGGGACGCGGCGTACTGCAGGAGCGACTTCACGACCAGCCTGACGTGTGTCGACTCGGTGGGGGTGACGGCGGTATAGTGGCCGACTTTCAGGATATACATAAAGAGGTTGGACAGGAGGACCGTCGGCTCGGCCTTGATCATGGCGGCTACCTCGTCGGGTGCCCGGCGCATCTTCACGATGGCCCCGCTCAGGTTCTGCTGCTTCATGAGGCCCTGGATCTCGTCGGTGAACCTGAGCCACCGGCCGATTATGGGCTCTTCGGAGGCGAATATGTCGAAGGTGTCTCGTGTGCCGTTGAGTCTCCCCTCGTATCGACTCAAGGTATGCGTTCGAGCGCTGTAGAAGATTGCCTCGGTGTGGTAGAACACGTCGGGCTGGTTGATTCTGATGGTGAGCGGGGCCTGCCTGGCCTGGGGTTGTCGTTTACGTCTTATATGTTGCTGAAGCCGTTTGATATCGACAGTGGCAAGTTGCCCATTGGCTAAGCGGATAATTTGGGTCTTTTGACCACCGGCGTCTTCTGACAGCGTGCTTTTAATAACGTCTTGCACTTTCCGGGTGTCTGTACCAGGGTCGAGTGTAATGTACTTCCGCCATCCCCAGGTTCGGAATCTGCTCTTATACATCTTTGGCCTGTGACGTTGAGTCACTCCTGCATTCTACTGATGCAGCCAATGCTTACCCAAGTAAGCCGAAAGGGGCAGACGTACGTTGCTGTGAAGCCAAAATCCTTCTCCATGATCTCGACCACTTCTCGCAGTGGTCTCTTTTCGTCGATGTACAATTTTCTTATCATCGGCTTGTGCTGCTCCCAATAGCTGGACTTATCGGGCTGCCAGTCACTCCTATCCAGGGGATCATCTTCTTTCGGTTCATCCTTGATCGTGGGGATGCGCCTTTTCGGTAGGCGAGTCAGCTCGAATGTAGAATTTGCAGACATGCCACGCGTGGGCAAGATCGGGTCCTCAGATCTTTTGAGAGGCGCCATCCCCCGAGTCTAGGGGGGGTTGCACTTATTTAAAGTCCCGTTGTGAGGACGGCGCTTCCCGAAGAGGACCACCCGAGTCTACCGGCTCTGAGATGCGAAGGTAGGATTGTCCAGCCGGGTGCCCCGTTTTTGAGGTCATCACCCCGTCCGGCATCTTTGGATCTTGGTTTGTGGACCCTTGGCTAGTCGCCTCACATTAATAAAAGCGGGCCAAAGACCACTGCACTCCACCTGGACGCAGGGACTCGATGCAACTCAACAGTATGCGGCTGCCTTGGGGCCCGCAACCCATGTGTGTTGATTACCGAAGTGGGCTGGGTGTATGGCGGGATTGGCTGTTTGGATATTAATCTAGTCTAGTGCTCCGCTTAGGGCTTCGGCAATCACGGAGGGCCTCTGGCGTATGAAATCATAAATAACACGAAGGATTCTATCCCCAGCTTATGGTTGGATCGCCATGCGAGAGGATTATACGATCTGTGGGGTTCACAGCCAAAACTTGGGAAGAGGTATATACAAGTGACAAACACCCAGGTCCTTGCTAGGATCCCATCTGACTTCAGGATCGTCGCGCCATGAATCTCACCGAACCTTAATTGACCACGATATTGTTCGGCAGCGTCTCCAGCCACCCGTCGAGCTGCAGCGCCGGCGCGGGGGAGAGCGTGTTCGCGCACGACCTGCCATCGGCGATGCTCTGGGTCTTGAGCGCATCACACTTCATGTTCTCACACTTGCTGTCCAGGGCCTGCTGCAGCTTGTCGCCCTCCCAGCCAAAGATGTAGTCGGCGTGGGCCCCGAGCCCGGTGGGGTCGCCCTGGCTCCAGACGAAGGGCTGCGACCCGTCCTCGGGCCAGATGGCCGGGTCGTTGAACGGCGTCGTGTCCCAGATGACCTCCATGTAGATCTCCGGGAGCAGCACGGGGAAGCCCGCGGGGCACTCGCCGCCGCTCTCGACCTTTGCGCTGGCGGACGCCACGTGGCTCCTGTGGTCGTCCGAGTCGAGGTCCTTGCCGTTCCAGCACTGCGGGAACCGGATGTTGGCCATGATGCCCGCGGCGCACGGCTCCGCCGGCATCGAGCTCTTGCCGACCGGCCTGCTGCTGAGCGACGTCAGGCACGAGTAGGTCAGCGTGCCCGACTTTGCCCTCTCCTTTGAGGAGCGGGCGGCCGGGTTGCCGACGAGCATGCGGAACCCGGGCGGGAAGCTGGTGACCTTGCGCCCGTCGTCCGGGTAGGCGTAGTAGACCGTCACGCCGCCCGTGCCCTGTTCGAACCCGACGTTGGGGACCTGCTGGACCTGGTGGAAGGTGCCGTTGCGGGCCTTGAAGAAGAGCGTCGCGGTCCAGTAGTTGGAGAAGTTCTCGGCGAACGTGCATGTCGTGCAGGTGGACTCGGGGGCGACGTCCGCCTTGTCGAGGGTGTAGTTCAGGCCGTTGCCTCCGTTGAACTGGTGCAGATGTCCAGCCGTGGTCTGGCCCGGGAAGACGAGGCTGTTCAGATGTTGTCCGCCGATCAGCTCATTAACAACCGTCTGTGTCTTAATGCACTATTCACTTACGGGTCAAAGACGCCATGGGCAAGCTGAGAACATCCAAAGCGGAGGTGACCAGCGCTCGTGGCATCGAGCAGCAGAGACAGGGCTGCGATAACTGACGAGAGCTTCATCCTGCGAGCGATCTCGGCCCTGGCAAAAGGGCTAGAAAAGAATCAGAAAAGAATGACTGCCGGTCAGCGGTTTGCAGAGTTGAGGTTCCACCATTCCCGAAATGACAACTGCAGATGTATTATATTTCAGTCATGATAGACCGCCAAGAAAAGCTGAGGCCACGGGCGACGACTTCTCATAGCCCAGTGTCGGGTAGATTGGCCGCTGAAATTGAGGCCTCGACGTTAATAAACAAATCTCTTGGTAGGGTTTAGACGACGGCTAGCAAGGAACTCCACTGGTCCATGGGTCCTCCTGTGGCCAATCATGGGGGCGAAGCTACCTGAATGCGTTCCCAAATGATCGAGCCCCCCGCAGCTTGTTTCAATCACGGGCGGGCACACTGGCAGTCAGTCAGCCCCGACAGTACCTGATTTCCGGCTCCTATTGTATATTAGCTGGTCCATATCAAAAACCCTAAGAAGGCCATACTAGAAAGTTGTAAATTCTGCTTCAGATATACCAACTTCGCCGTATATGTAGAGACTGTCAAGACGGGAATAGGCCGGGCCCGGACCAGGGCATCGACACGTCCGCAGCGGACCAACTGCTTGGCAAAGCACTAACAATATTAGCGAAGCCCCTATATCAATATCCTCATCTGGAGCAGTACCCCTGATAACACGGGTTGGCGAAGTGATGTTCATGATGCCCTGGTCTCAGCACGCGGATATCTAGAGCGTGCTTCACGTTCGACTTTTCTCTTCCTTGACAACCTAGTGTCATCCACTACTTGTAGTGCATGGCCTTCATATTTTGTATAGCAAATTCGAGTGGTTCGCCGGTCTCAGGACGGATTCACGCATCTTGAGCCCCCTTTTTACAGCCCTGAATCACTCATGCTTGGAGCTCTCCCGGTGCACTCCGTGGCCAATCGGTATTCTAACGGGGCTCGAAAATTGGATTGCGGACAACATTGCAAGTGAGAGGTGGTTTCGTTTCTGATCCCCATACATATAAAACGTATGTGGCGCCTTCATACAGTGGTGAACGCTCAAGTGAGGATGTTGGGTTGTCGGCGTGGTGCTATTAATAATGATTAGCACAATTCACATCACAAAGAATGCCGCCATCCACTGAGATTGACTCGATCAGTCTCACAGTTAGCTTTGCATTTACCATCCCATGGGATATCATACAGCTGGTGGAAGATCTTGGATTCCACAAACGAGTGCTGGTGCAGCAGTACACGGGTCCATGGCAGGCCATCATGATTTTCCATTCACACAGAGTGTCAAAATATGTTTGTGCCACAATTGCGCGTCCTGTGTGTCGTGGTGAAATGTGAGGCGTGATAGATACTTGGGCCGCCCGAGTGCTCCTGCGCACTTGTAACTACTGTGCGAGTATTTACTCGATATTTGCCGTCCATTCGCTCTCCAACCCTTCTCGTGTTCCACCAACCATTACCACCGCGATCGTGTATGCCTTCGGCTAGCCGTGTCACTGGACTTGTCATCTCGTGCAATCCCCTGTCCACTGGGGGGCAGTGAACAGGTGGGCGATCTAGCTTGAGTACGCCCCCGTCAATCTGAGAATGCCAGTGGCCGACTCTACAAGGTCAAGCAGCGAGCCTCTCCCCTGTGCCGACCACCAGTCCTCTCTTTCCTTTCCCTTCCGATTCAACTCCACAAAGAGCAGACCGAGTTTTGACAGTTTCACTCGAAAAAAAGAAAATGCTCAAGCTTCTCATCCGGCACATACTTTGGGCCGTCATGTTCGGCGAGGCAAGTCACGCGTCACACCATACTAAATCCATCCGCCCGAGATCAATATTGACAAAAGAGTGTCCGCCACAGGTCCTCAGCACCATCCAGCCCCCACTCCCACAATACCGCGTCCAGGACCTCCAGTGGGAGGTCCCGATCAGCGCCGACGGGCGCACGGCGGTCCTCAACGGCACCGTCCAGGAGGTCTACCGGCAGGTGCTGCGGCTCAACCCGCGCCACGGGGACGAGTTCGGCACCCCCCACCACCACAAGACCTCGTCGCGCCCCCGGACAAAATCACAACAACAATCCCAGGACATGGCCCGCCGCGGCCGGTCGGCGTGCGGGCGCTTCGACCCCGCCAGGGAGAGGGCGGTGTGGGAGGGCATCCGGCACCTCGCGCACGTCGCGGGGAGGCCCGTCTCCGTGCCCGGGCCGGGGGTGTGCGGGCGGGTGAGCTGTTCTTATGACAGTGCCATCTGGTGGTGCAATGATGTGAGTTTGGGGCCGGGCTGGGGCGCTGGCTGCCGGGTTCGGTTGATATCTGGATGTCCAACATTTCAGAATTGGAATCTCATACTCGGACCTGACAAAAGTCTAGGTCTAGATTGTTTGACCTGGTTGCTAATTCTGCTTTTGAAAAACTAGATGTTCACCGAGAAGACACTCTCGTCCTTCAGCGAGATCGGCGCGTCGGTGCAGGTCCTGATTGGGAACTGCGGCTACTGGTCTGACGAGGGGTCGGAGCCGCACGTCTCGGGGTCGCAGGCCCATGTTGACAAGTGGAGGACGATCGTCAGGGAGGCGGCTTGCTGATTCGGCGTCGGCCACGGCGGCCCTTGGGGGGGGGGGGGCATTGATCGTTGGGGTGTTGACACTATGTTAATGGCATGAGGGGGATGAGGGCAGACTGGTCTGATATTGAAACTTGCTTCGTTAATCCAGATCTATGTTGCGAGAACTGAGGCAGAACGACGAAGTGCCAGGACTCGAACGGCGGCGATGATGCTTGACGGTTCATGGTGGTGATGAAGCTCCGTATGGCAGGGCACTGCACTGCAATGCACGCATCGGGTCTGGTTATTTGAGCAGGCAAGCGGTTCACGCAGCCCCGGTCGGCAAGGAGAGCATTCTGGGGGCACTTGAGCACCTGAGGGATGAAGCAAGGCCAGCGGGCATCTCAGTCTGAATGCTGGGACCACACCACCTTTCCCAATCACAATCAAGGATCGAAGTCATGATTCCCCTGTGCCCAACCCCGGCGTTGACATCTCCAGCAGGCGAGGCCAGGCCTCTGTCGTGAGGCACCCTTGTGTAAAACCAATCAAGCTTCTAGGCGGGCAAAATTGCGTGGATGGCAGACTGACGACATTCCGGATGAGAATCATGGCTGCTAGCAGCCTCGCTAGTCAGGACCGCACACAGCCGAATTGTTCTTGGTTATTTGAGAATACCTAGGTAAATAGGAATTCTCAAGCACACGACTCGTCACTTGCAGCAAGAGAAGGAACTAGCTGTGTCTCAGAGGGCAACTCCCACATGGGCTTCTTTTATGACGTAAACCCTGCCCCACGTAGATACGACGCCGTCGGTCGGTCACAATGAGGGGAGAGCAAGCTCGCAGGAGCATTCATGTCCTTCAGATGTGTCCATCACAAAGGGTCCATACTACATCCCAAATTCTATAGAGGCCGGCAGGATACCGTCAAGGAAAAAGCCGAACCAAAACAATAAAAAAACGACTCTGGAAGTCCAAGTGTTGCCGGCAACCCTCCCTTCCCAAGCTCAAACGACGAACATCTCCCTCCCAACATCATGAGCAGCACCTCCCCGGCCTACCCCCGCCCAGACTTCCAGCGGCCCAACCTAAACTGGACCTCGCTCAACGGGCCCTGGGACTTCTACTTTGACGACGAGGACGCCGGGCTGGGCGAGGGCTGGCACCTCAGCAGCCCGCCCGCCTCCCTCAAACAAACCATCCAGGTGCCCTTCGTCTTCCAGGCGCCGGCGTCGGGGATCGGCGACCGCGGCGCGCACGAGGTGCTGTGGTACTCGCGGCGCATCAGGGACATCCGCACGGCCGAGGCCAGGGCGAGGGGCGACCGGCTGCTGCTGCGGTTCGGCGCCGTCGACTACGAGTGCCGGGCGTGGGTGGGCGGGGTCCCCGTCGGCGGGCACAGGGGCGGGCACGTCCCCTTTGACCTGGACATCTCGGATGCACTGTTGTCGTCGTCGACGGCGGCAGGTGGTGGTGGAGGTGGTGGAGGTGGTGGAGGAGAGCAGGATACAACAACAGCAACAACAACAACAACAACCCTCACCCTCCGCGTGCGCGACTCCCCCTACGACCTGACGCAGCCCCGCGGCAAGCAGTTCTGGGGCCCCGCGCCCGAGGGCATCTTCTACACGCCGAGCAGCGGGGTCTGGCAGGGCGTGTGGCTCGAGGCCGTGCCGCGCATGCGGGTCGCCAGCAGCAGCGAGGGGACGGTGCTGCGGTCCGACGACATCGCGGGCGGCGTGCTGCACGCGACGGTCGGCGTCGTGGGCCGCAGGGCGCGGGGCCCGGCGTCGGTGGAGATGGCGGCGTCGTTCCTGGGGTGCGAGGTCGGCTGCGTGACGGGCGGGCTGCCCCGGGACAGGGAGCTCGCCGGCCTCGACCTCTCGCTGCGCCTGCCTGAGGGCGAGCTGGGGCGGGTCGCGGGCACGCTGGCTGGGGACAGGACCGTCTGGCGCGACGGGCTGGCGCTGTGGTCGCCCGAGCACCCGCTGCTGTACGACCTGACGATCCGGCTGCGCGACGGCAGCGACGAGGTCGTGGACGAGGTGCACACCACGGCGGGGATGCGCAGCATCGACTGGGCGCGAGGGGACGGCACGTTCCGGCTCAACGGCAGGCCCATCTTCCAGTCGCTGTGCCTGGACCAGGGCTACTGGCCCGGCACGCTGATGACGCCGCCGTCACAGGCCGCGCTGCGGGACGACATCGAGCTGGCCAAGGCGATGGGCTTCAACGGGTGCCGCAAGCACCAGAAGGTCGAGGACCCGCTCTTCCTGTACTGGGCCGACCGGCTCGGGTTCCTGGTGTGGGGCGAGATGGCCAACGCGTACGCGTTCGGGGCCGAGTATGTCTCGCGGTTCGACCAGGAGTGGGCCGAGGCCGTGAGGCGCGACATCAACCACCCGTGCGTCGTGGCCTGGACGCCCGTCAACGAGAGCTGGGCCTACCCGGACCTCACGGCCAACTCGCGGGCCGCCCTCGGCCAGCGGAGCCACCTCCGCGCGCTGTACCACCTCACGCGCGCCCTCGACCCGTCCCGCCCCGTCAACGACAACTGCGGCTGGGAGCACGTCGCCACCGACCTGAGCACCTTCCACGAGTACGCCGACGGGCCCGAGGTCGCGCGCATCTGCTCCACGCTGCCGGGGATCCTGCACCGGCTGACGGGCGAGCCCAGGGGGCGCCCCATGTTCGTGGGCCCTGTCTATGGCCCGGGCGGCGTGGTGCTCGACCCGGGGGCGCTGCACCGGCCCGGGGCGCCGGTGCTGAATACCGAGTTTGGGGGGGTTAATATCGCGCCGGCGGGGGACGACGAGGCCCAGGGGGAGAGGGAGAGGGAGAGGTTTGGTACTGGGGACTGGGGGTACACCACGGCCAGCGACCCCGAGGACCTGCTGAGGAGGATCGAGAGGCTGGCGCTTGGTGTTGTTGGCGGGGGGCACTGCTGTGGGTTTGTCTATACGCAGCTGTGAGTCTTTTTTTTTTTTCAGTTGCCATATACGGCACAAGACACTTGAAAGGCTTGCTTGCATATGTACTCACATGCTGGTATTTACAGGACCGACATCGAACAAGAAGTCAACGGGGTCTACTCCTTCGACCGCAGGGCCAAGATCGACCCGGCCAGGATGAAGGCCATCTTCGACAAGGCCGCCAGGGTCTACCTGGACGGGCTGCAGGGCGATAGGGAATGGGAGGTTGCTGGGGGCAGCGCGGGGCTGCCGATCTCGTCATCGTGAGGGTGGCATGGCTTTGTCGGTTGTGTGTAGATCTAGATGTAGACAATTTGGATGTCGTGCGATGGTGTTGCACGCCTGATCCCTGTCACTTTTGTTATGTGTTGCAGACTACTAGTACGGGCCCGTCTTTACAAATGATACGATACGCCCTTCGAGCGGCCGTGACCTCATTAGTAAGTATGCTGCCCAAATGTCAACCTTCTTCATCGCATCAGAGCAGCCAGACATGCCCAAGCACAACTCATCTTCCCGGCCCTCAATTGAGATCTAGACAATCCAAAACCACCAGCCGACAGGCAGGACTCGACCACCAAAAACGAGATGCCCCGCTCAGACGAGGCAGCGGCCTTCTTCCACGCCGTCTACAGCGCGGTGCAGGAGATCCCCCACGGCAAGGTCACGAGCTACGGGCACATCGCGAGGCTGGTGGGCACGCGTGAGTTACTCGTACATACATACATACATACCCGCCTCGTCCCCCAATCCCTTGAATCTATGCTGGCTGACCATGGGAAACAAACACAGCCCAGCGCCCCCGCCAGGTCGGGGTCTGCCTGAAGCACCTCCCCCGCGACGCCGGCTCGCGCTTCAACCACGCCAACGTCCCCTGGCAGAGGGTCGTCAGCTCCAAGGGGGTGATCTCGCCCAGGTGAGCTCGGTTTGGCTCGGCCGTGCCCCCTCCACCCCAGCCCACCACCCCCCCCTCCCAACCCCGTCTTGCAAGCTGTGGGTGGCTGACTTCCTGTGCTGTGGACGGCAGGTCACAACCTTCAGGAACGCAGAACCAGGCCGCTGCCCTGAGGGCCGAGGGCGTTACCGTCTCGAACGGCGCCCTGGGGGAGCTTGTGGTTGACTTTGGCGAGTTTGGGTGGTTCCCTGGGGAGTTGCCCTCTGAGGCTGGGGGGTATGATGAAGCGGAGGAGGAGGAGGAGGAGGAGCCATGATAATGATTTCATCTTCCTTTGCAAGCCATTGAGGCTTTCTGCCATGAAAGCAGCCAGTGTTGAATGTGATCGAGCTGTGTGACCGGGCTTTCACATGCCTCTTGTTCTTGAGGACTTGCTCAAGGTGCCTTCTACGTGCTTTCAGTCAATTACTTGGCGTGCTCCTCAACTTGGTGTTCACTTTCAGCTCTTGAAGACTTGCTTTGTGAAAGACGCAGTGAAATTGATAACCACGTCCATTGGGTAACATTAGATCCTCCCTACTCCCGAGCCAGTGTCCATGCTCTCAACCCGTAAATCCCAAGTAAAGTGTCACATATCACCACCAACAACTTCCGTAGCTGTTCTGGTTCCCTCAAGGACCAGTGGATCTTTGCAAAGACACACTCACGCTTTGCAACCTAAAAACCACTTGGTACTGCTCAACCTGCCCAGCTCAGCTGCCCCAAGTCAGCTCCCTGACCAACCCACTTCCACTCCTGCAAACGAAAAACTTCAAACTACTGCTTTCCATTGCCTTCCACAAACGCTTTTAGCACCTGTTCAGGTAAGTCATTCACTCATTCACTCAGTCACTGACCTTCATCCGAAGTCCCAAGCCCCACAATTCGCCATTCACCCAGAATGGACGCAGCGCTCGAGCCCTCCCGAAAACAATACTTAAACCCACGCCGCCGTCGCGATCCCAACCTTCCCTTCCTCTCTTTCTTCCTCCACCCATCCACACACACCCGATTCTTCCCTCACTTAGACCCTACCTTCTTCGATCCTCCTCCAGTCAAGCAAGACTCGCAGTCCCAACCGCAATAGCTGATCACCACAAGAGAAGCTTCGCGACCACCACAACCACAAGTCTTTCTTGATTGCTCTGTTTGTTCTCAGTCAACGGGAACCACCAATCCACCATGAGGTTTGTCAAGAACCTCATCGCCACGGCGGCGCTGGCAGCGCTCGCTGCCGGCCTGCCCGCTGGGGGCAACAACAACCAGCCCGATGACACCCTCGGTAAGAAGGACATCATCGTCCCCGGTGCCACCACCACGGCCGAGATCCCCCTCAAGTCCACCCCCGGCGCGGTCATCACCACGGGGTCCAACATGATCAGCGAGCCCCTCTCCCGCTTCGAGAGCATCACCACGGGCTCTGACATGTTCACCACCCCCGTCTCCCGCTTCGTGACCATCACCACGGGCTCCGACATGTTCAGCACGCCCCTCTCCCGCTTCGACGCTGAGGAGTCCTCCGCTGCGGTCCCTGTTGTTTTCGTCACCGTCACCGTCACCGAGTCCTCTGCCGTCCCCACCGGCCGCGTCTCTGTCACCGCTGCCACCATCATCGAGCCTCACCCTGGTGTCCCCACCACGGCCGGCAGCGGCGGCGCGCGCGAGGATTACCTCATCCACCCGCCTACCAGCCCCAACGGCGGTCACCCTCACCCCGATGTCGAGGCTCGCCAGATGCTGCCTATCACTTCTTCGGTGACCAAGCGTCAGATGCTGCCTATCTCGTCGTCTTTGGCTGAGCGTCAGATGCTGCCCATCTCTTCGCCTACTCTTAGCGAGCGCCAGATGCTTCCCATCACTTCGTCCTTGGCTGAGCGTCAGATGCTGCCCATCTCTTCGCCCACTCTCAGCCAGCGCCAGATGCTTCCCATCACTTCGTCCTTGGCTGAGCGTCAGATGCTGCCCATCTCTTCGCCCACTCTCAGCCAGCGCCAGATGCTTCCCATCACTTCGTCCTTGGCTGAGCGTCAGATGCTGCCCATCTCTTCGCCCACTCTCAACCAGCGCCAGATGCTGCCCATCTCGTCCCCGACGATCAACTCCCGCGCCGGCAAGACGACCCCCGCGCCCGACACGCCCTTTGGCCGCCAGCCCGACCTCGGGCTCGCCCGCGGCGACGTGCCACCCGTCAACTCGCCAACGACCATCACGACCACCACGTGCTCCCGCAAGTCGTGCGCCACCTACACCTACGTCTCGACGGCGGTCGTCACCCCTTCCTCGTCGACCTACACGGGAGGCCCGTCCACCGGCGGAGCTGTCCGTGATCAGGACCCAACCTTCTCGGTTGACCCGTCTGACCTGCCCACCATGCCCCCCGTTGCGGCGCGTGACGAGCAGGACATCACCCTGACGGCGTCGTACACCATCACCATCACCGAGCTGCCGGCCTCCACCACGGAGGCGGTCGTCACCAAGCGCGATCAGGACCCAACCTTCTCGGTTGATCCCTCCGACCTGCCCACCATGCCCCCAAAGCTTGACGAGCAGAGCATCACCCTGACAGCGTCCTACACAATCACCATCACCGAGCTGCCAACCTCTACTCAGGAGGGGGTCGTCACCAAGCGCGATCAGGATCCAACTTTCTCGGTTGATCCCTCGGACCTGCCTACCATGCCTCCAGCGCGCGACCAGGACCCAACCTTCTCAGTCGACCCTTCCGACCTGCCCACCATGCCCCCAAAGGTCGACGAGCAGAGCATCACCCTGACGGCGTCCTACACGATCACCATCACCGAGGTCCCAATCGCGGCGGGCTCAGCCACCGCCCTCCCCGAGGCGGGCCCCGTCGAGCCCAAGGGCCCCTTCAGCGGCGCCGGCGCCTGGGTCGACCCGCCCATCGACAGGCACACCTACAGCTACAGCAGCCCCACGCCCGTGCCCGTGCTCATGGTGTCGGGCAAGCCCGTCCACCCCACCGGCAGGCCCCAGCCTACCACGCTGGTGACTTCTCTCGTGCGCTCCGCTGTTTAGGTTTTTGAGCCCAGCCAGCTAGTAACGGACTGGAGATGAGGGGAATGGAGAGGAGGGAGTTGTATAATACATAATGAAGATGCTCCTTTGAGAGCGGGATGGAGGAGGGATAGACACATTGCTGAGGGAGGACCTTGAACAGGTTGGTCTTTTACCATACATAGCCGCTCACTCACACCACACGGTACAGGAGATAGGCTTTAAGGACTGCACTTCCTCATTTGTTTTTTCGGGTTTTTGATTTTGTGATTTCTTTTTCTTTTCTTTTCTTTTCTTTTCTTTTGTGTTTTCTTTTTTTGTGAGCATGGTTGGCTGAGTGAACGACGTGAAGGGTATGCATGAGGTGATATGATTATGCTGTTGGGGTGTGAACTGATCCGAGGGGGGGGGGGATCCGACCTGCCCTGCCAGTGCCAGGGCAACCACACACATCAAGCACCACACAGGGGGCGAGCTGGCTCACGCGTGGCGCTGCGGGGAGGCAAGACCGATGGCGACACGAGCAGGGCGGACGCGCATCTGCAGTGATGGGGCCACGCCGGCAGCGGCTGCCTGGATGGCACCTGGGATCGTTGGCATCAACGAGCCCCTCCCACCACCACCCCCTCGCCGCGCAACACAACACAACACAACGCAACGCAATGCGGTGCGGTGCTATGTGCTAGCTAGGCTCGCGGCCCGTTGAACGAGCGAGGGCCGGCTCACTCGAGCCCCCACCCCCCAGGACAACCTCACTGACAGACAGACAGACAGACAGACAGGAAGAAAGACATAACGGTAAGTTCGTGACAACACACAGCATCCAGCTAACAAGCCCAGGAAGCAGTGCCCAGCCAGCACCCCCCCCCCTCCTCCAGCAACCACGAACCTCCCGACCGACGACCGGCCCCCCCCCCTGACCCCCTCCTGTCCTTTTTTTTCCTTCGACCACACGCGCGCACGCACGGCTCGACTGATGGGTGGCCCGGCCTTACTTATCGAGCGCCACGAAACACAACAACACCCGAGGCCGGCCGAGCCGGCTGGCTCCTTACCACCCTACCCAGCCCCGCCGGGGCTCGATGGGTTGCGAACGCGGCTGGTAACAACCAGGGTAGACCTCCCCCCTTTCGCCCGTCCGCTGGGGGGGGGGGGGGCTGAGGCAAGGAGGAGGCATGGCTGATGCGACGGCGTCGTCACCTGTCTGTACTGTCTCTTGCGCACGCTGTTGACGAAGGAGAGAAGAAAATTCGCAGCTATGTACGTGCGTATGATTACAGCACATGACAGACGGGGCGACAAGGTGAGGTGTAGGTAGGTAGGTAGGTAGGTAGGTGCGCCCCCGACGGGCTCTGCTCAACAATCTTGATTTGATTTCCGTTCCGGCTAGCTATGCTCATAACCACAGACAGACCAAGAGAGCCAGGGCCGTCAAGACCACGGGCCTGCCTGGACTCAGAACCCGAAACAGCCTTCTTTGCCTGAAGCAAGGGGTACGATGATGAGAGCACCCAAGTATGAATTGCCATCTCTACATGACTAGGGCCGTCGCATAATCAAATAAAACACGAGCTTGTAGAGGGGACATGACCAAAATGCTTTCAGGCCGAAACTCCAGATTTGCAAAAGGTGTCAAAACACGCTTGAAAATATCGATGCTATGGGAAAGTGCCTAGACCCGCACGATCATCTTCCTACTTATCTAACGGCCTTCAATACAATACCCAAGGAAGGGAGGGAGGCTTCCGTGATGACTGGGAGTAGGGACCCTTGCGCACCAAAGCGATGCTGGCATCGGGCCTGGGTTGGGGTTGTGTACGTCATCGAGGTTCATAAGGCATGGGACTGCGGGCTAGAATCTTGTCAGCTGGATGCTCATGACGAGAAGTATGGCAAGAAACAAGAGGCATGGATGATGTTGCTGATCAGATAGCGGTTGAACAAGTGAATCAACATTGGGTTTTTCAGAACAGGTCTGTGAACTTTGATTTTCTCATCATAGCAACGGACGGGGGCAGCGGAGCGGCAAAGGCGAGAAGCCACGTACCATGTGGGTGTGGACGCCCAGGCACTGAGGCGGCGGCTGCTCAGTCAGGCCTGGGCGCGGACCGAGGGCGTCGGTCTCCCCAAGATAGATGGGTCAATGGGCAGCCAGGAGACAAGAGCACACATGCTCAGTCCTTGACAGGCAAGATGAACCTGACCTTCTTGAAGGGCTTGGCCTTTTTGATCGGCCGCTTCACCTTGTTCGGTTTGGAGACCTTGGCCGACTGCGTTGCCTTGGGGGCCTCGGTGGCCTTGGACACCACCGAGACCTCGGTGGCAGGGCGCGAGACCTTGACGGGCTGGGGTGCCTTGACTGGGCGGGTGGCCTCGGTCGGCTGGGGCGGCTTCACGGGTTGAAGGGCCTCGGCTGGCGGAGGGGATGTCACTTGCTCAGGTGGTTCTGTTGCCGGCTCGGCGGCCTTGATGGGGCGGGTGGCCTGGGCTCGCCGGGAGGACGCAGCTGGCTTCGGTGACCGGACTGGGCGCGGGGCCTGGACTGCCTGAACAGCTGGAGAGGGCTGGACTGGCTGGACTGGCTGGGGCTGGGGCTGGGGTGCCTTGGTAGGCGCGGGGGGTTGGGTTGGCTGGGAGGCCTTCCCTGATTGGGGTTGAGCTTGAGCTTGGCCTTGGGCTTGGGGTTGTGCTTGAGCTGGAGCCTGAACCTGAGGCTGAGGCCGGGCTTGGGGCTGCTGGCGGGACGGGGGTTGTGGACGAGGTCCCTTGATTTGCTGGGGAACCTCGGCCGGCGGAGGGGGCTCGACTGATTGAAGCTCGACGGGTGTCGTGTCCTTGACTGGCAACGGGGCCTTGACCGGCGAAGGAGCCTTGACTGGCGGCGAGGCCTTGGGGGTCCTTGTGATGAAGAACGAGTCCATGGTCTTCTGCTTCTGGTCAAAGGCCGCACTGCCAATGCCGCCTCGAGTCTTCTTCAGACCCTGAAGGTGATCTGTGGTATTGACAGAAGTAACCGTCATCAAGATCTCGACGGACGGAGCCTCGGCCTGGCGAGTGTCGGCCGCAGCAACAGCGTTCTCTCTCGAGGGCTGGCGGGGCACGACGGAGCCCAGCATGGGGCGACTGTTGCCAGGCGTGGCGGGGGGGCTTGGGCGAGTTGCTGCTTGGGGTGCACCAATCCTCAAGCGCAGATCCGCCTCGAGATAGCCCGTGTTCGACCAGGACGCCAGCCACTCCATCTTCCCGGGGGTGTCGGTTGGTCTGGTGAGCTTGGTGAACTCGTCCGGGCCGAACCGCGCCAGCAGGCACCTCAGGAGGACGTTGAGTATGATGCCGTGGGCGACGATGGCAAGGGAGTGATTGACGTCGCTGTGGAAGCCGCGCAGGACGGTGGGGATGAGGTGGTTGTCGATGAAGCGCTCGACGCGGGCCTTCATGGACTCCTTGCTCTCGGGCTCGATCCAGCCGGCAGACGACTGGTCTGTGCCACGCGTGCCGAACTTCCTCCCCTCCTCGGAGCCAAAGTTCTTCTCCCTCAGCTCGGGCAGCTGCACGACACCGACCACCTCGGCCGAGGGGTCGTCGCTCATCTGGGCCTCTGCGACCGCCTCGGCAGTCCTGACAGCACGCTGCAGGTTGGAGGTGAAGATGCGCTGCACTCGACCAATGGTGGATGACCGGGAGACCAGGTGTGCACCGAGGCGGCGGGCCTGGAGGACGCCATGGTTGGTCAGGGACGAGTCGCGAGAGCCTGCGCTGGAGGGTGGCTGTTAGCAGGCTGACCGTGCAGGGAATAATGTGGCATACTTACTAGAGACCAGCAACGTTGTCGACGGACTCGCCGTGGCGGATGAGAAAGAGACGCATCTTCAGCGTCGTCGACGTTGTACTAGAAACATGGCCTGTCTGTTCGACGAGGACGAGGACGAGGACGAAGGGGGGAGTGGTGGCGCTACATGGCGGGCGGCAGGTTAGGCTGGCTGGCTGCCACAGGGTGGCAAAACCTTGCTGCAGCTGTGCGCTGGGAATGATGCGTGTTTTGGAGTTGGTGTCGGGGCCATGTTGATCAGAGCATTTTTGCAGCGAATCGACGGGTTTTTATTCTGCGCCATGGCGGGGGTCCACCCAGCTAGCGCGCCATTGCGGTGACCATTGCAGTGACCTGCAGAACCGTCTCACCGCCTGCCATCTGCGAACCCTGCAGGAGCCTCGACTGACGACATCTCTCTGAGACTGACCACTGACCACGGGAGACGACGCCTGCACAGTCCCAGGAAAGAACATTGAACTCTGAAGGAGAGAGTCAGACTATCAAGGCTCAAGGTCCTCGAAACATTCTGATATGTGTAGTGGACATGATGAATTCTGCAAATACAAGTACTTGTTTGTTGGGATCCGGATTTACTGTGGTCGAGCGGTGATGTAAAAAGAAAGAAAAGAAGGAAAAAGATTTATACACATGATATTTGGTACATGATCGATCCTTCATATGCTTTGGAATTCCAGGCTAGCATGAACCTCAGCCGTGTTGTCGAAGCCATCACCGGAAAGAAAAGGTTCTTCTCTCTCATTCACCCCCTCCTTCTTCACCCCCTCCTTCTTCCCTCTCTCTTCTTCCCTCCCTCTTCTTCTCTCCGTCCTCTACCTCTCCCTAACCGGCAGCATCCCGACCAGCCCCTCCCAGCCCTCCCAGCTCTCCCAGCCTCGCCAGATATCTCTCCCTCAGCCCAGGCAAGTGCCGCACCTGCTCCACGCAGTACAAAGCCACCTCCTTTGGCAACAGCCTCTCACCCGCCCCGCTCCCCCAAGCAGATGACGCCCCTCCGCCAAATGCATCCCCAGCCCCGCCCACGTTCAAAACAGAGTCCATAACCCCCTCAAACTCACTGCCCGAGTCATCACCATCTGCCCCCTCACCCCTGGTCCAGGTCCAGGCCCTGTCGTGCAAAACCCACAGCCGCCTCTGCGCCAACGCCAGCCCGGAGTCCTACTCCAGGCAGCAGCGCAGGCTCCTGGCGCACGCGGACACGGGCCCCGACGGTAGCTGTTCCGGCTGCTGCGCGGCGGTGCGGCTCTCGAGCTCGAGCTGCTGGATCTCCTCCACGGCGCCGCCCAGGGTGACCCCGAAGCGGCGGGGGAGGAAGCCGGATGTTCCGCCGCGGGCCGCGAAGATGACCTTTGGCGGCATCGAGGGGCTGTTGCTCTCGAGGAGGGCCCTCAGGCTTGGGAGGGGGCGGCTGCGGCTGCGGCTGTCATGGTGCCGCGCCTCGTCGTTGGAGGCGAGGCTGAGGCTGCAGCCGTGTCCTCTGTTGTCATTTTCATCCTGCTCATTCTGGCCTGCTGTCATCTGAGCAGTGGTCTCGCCAAAGGCCGAGGCACCCAGGGCCTCGAGGTCCACAATGAAGCTGCAGTCCGGCTCCGGGTGCACATGTAGGGTGAGCAGGGACCCCTCCCTGGCCATGTACAGCACCGGTTTGGCCTGGGCCATGATGATCTCTATCATCTCGTTGACCCCATCCTGCGAGTTGACCACGCAGAACCAGGTGTTGCGGATGCCGGCTGTGGCCTTGCCGTGGGAGGTGCTGCGGAACCAGAGGCAGGGGAACCGCCTGCCCTCTGTGATCTGGATCATGGGTTGGTCAGCCAGGGTCGAAGGCTCTCTGTGACCAAGCCCCTGGGGCTCTTGGGCTCCAGGTTGAGCTTCCAGGGCCGAGTCACCTGGGGGCCATAAAGCTTGCCACATGTTGGGGGACGTACCGTGGATAGCCTAGGTCTTCTGGCCATGGTGCAAGGTGATGATGGGTGAAAGGCTGGGTGTTCACTGATACCCACTGGGGTGGGAAGGGGTTTATGGGAGGCTGAAAGGTTCAGGGAAGGGGTTTGTTAGGGGCTGGAAGGTTGAGGGTATCGTCCCCGGCTCGGATGGTTGAGTCAGGTTATGGTACAAGTGCCTGTTTGGATTCATGGCAGGGCACTTGTTGAATTCAGCAGTGCTACATGCTTGCCTAGATGCGTGACATTTGGGCCCTTATGGGAAAATACATGACAGCATTAAAGCTCACTCTAGGCATGTCTTGCTTTGTGGCTCTTACTTAGGTATCTGCCTGGACATATGTGCCGGGTCGGTGATGACTACACATTGATATACTACCAGACTATCCCGTAAAGCCAACCAGGTAACTCCAAATCCTAGTTTCCATGAAAGAAACAACAAGTCCAGTTCTACTTTTTCCTGGCTGTTTCCAGTAATTACGATTTAAAGTAGTCCCAGCATCATCCATCAGGACAAGGTCCTGGAAGAATTTGACAATGATTTGCAAAGCCCAGTTCATACTGACTATATGTCGTTGTTTATAACATGGACTACTGAGCATCACCTTTGATGTGACCAACGCCGAAGCGAGCCCGAATTCGAGAAATTCGCGCACAGTATAACTCTTAGGCCCATCATGAATAGCAAGATGTCATTTGTCCTTGCCCAACTTGGAGAAGTTCTACACAGTGTGCATAGAGTAGTCAGTTCCCAAGCGATTTCAAAATGGACAGTCTTTGGGGATTTTCATGTCCCAGGTGCTTTCGATGCTGTCAAAGAAGTCACAGCTGGACTAGCATCAGCAAATGATAAGGATCAATGTAAAGCCAACGGCAACCCACCTCTTCATGAGCCCATTTATCACCTTGTGCGGCTTGGCCGGCATAGGCGTGGCGCTCAAACTTACCAGTTTATTTTGACATCCCAACTTGGAAACGTCCCTGCTACTCATGGATGTGACCCCTTCAAGCAGGGAACCACCACGCTGAAGATCAATCAGCCTCGTGAACCGGCGGGATCGTTGGCCATGCAATTCCCTGGGATTCAGTTTGAACCTGCTGATGAGTCTCCAATCATCGAGAAACAGCTGGCTGAGAAATGCCTGGTTGAATAGCTCTTGTTGATGTTTTTAAACGACGATGATGGCCAAGAAAAAGATTCAAGACATGCTTGGTGATGGAATGTGCTACAATAGAAAATGGCCAGTCGGCACATTTCCAACTTTAGTCGGCGCAACTTTGGAAGAAGACACCCGTGGACTTCGAAGACCTACAGCCAGTGTGTTAATGCCATTGCCCAACCTAATATGTCCACGTCACATGTGTTGAAGCACAAACGTTTCCAGGGAAGCTCAGTATCAGCTCAGTTCCATTGACAAATTATTTTGATTGGATAGCGGTGGAGTTGTTCAGTTCGGCCAATATCCATCGGTGCCAATATCTGAAAGTTGATCTCCCCAGTACTTCTCGAGGTAGACACCATCCTGTAACTAATGCTGATTCTATAGGGCCCACATCCCGTATCCAAGACCAGGCACAGCATGACCTAAGCAACACGCTTGGACCCCTTCTTCTTCTTAGACTCCTTGCGCAGCTCACTCAGGTCCTCCAGCGCCTTGCTAAACTCCTCCAGCCGGCCCTCATCCCACCGGTCACTGATCCTAACCTCGCCCACCGCCTTGCCCCTGCGGATCTCACCAGCCTGCACAGCAGCCGCGGCCGCGGCACCAGCCCTGCCGCCGCTGCCGCCCGACCCCTTCCCAGCGATGGCAGTCCAGAACCAGCCCGCCTCGGGCTTGGTAAACAGCGTCCAGGCGTGGCCGGGCCGGCCCGCGCGCGCCGTGCGGCCCACGCGGTGCACGTACGACTGCACCGACTTGGGCATGTCGTAGCTGACGACGTGGTCGAGGCTCGCGAGGTGGATGCCGCGCTCGACGAGGCTCGACGCCACCAGGATGCGCAGCCGCCGCGCCGCGAAGGCGTGCAGCGTCCTGCGGCGCTCCGAGGTGCGCGTCGTCGAGGTCAGCGTGCCGATGAGCGGGGCGAGGTGCGGCGACAGCAGGGCCAGCAGGCGCGCGAGGCGGACCGCCGCCTCGTTTGAGTTGGCGAAGATCAGGACTGTGGTCGTGAAGGGCTTGGTGGCGGGGTGCTTGGGATTGGGCTTGGTGCCGCGGCCGTGGGAGGGGGAGGTGGTGGACTCGGCGTCGGACGAGTCGTCGTCGCCGCTGCTGGTGTCGTCTGAGTCCGAGTCCGAGGCCGAGGCGTCCGAGTCGGACCCAGCGGCGGACGCGGCGTCTGCATCTGCGTCCTTCATCTCGACATCGTCGGCATCGCTGGCGGCCACAGGAGCCAAGTGCTCGCTGTTGAGCAGGTCGACCAGATATAGCGGCTTCAGATCGACGTTTCGGGTCTTGATGGCGGTCTCCTCGAGCTGCGACGGCAGGACATGTTCCACCTGGCTGTGGGCGGCCGCGTCGCTGAGCACGACAAGCTTCGGCCGGTACAGCTTCAGCCCGTTGAGCAGCGTCAGGTCTCTGGTCATGGTCGCGCTGAGGATGACCTTGCGCACGCCGCATTTGTTCGAGTCGGAAAACTCCCTGGCCCCGGGCTTCTCCGATTTGCCAAGCAGAGGCATCACGGTGGAGATCCAGTCCTGGTACGTCTGCGCGAGGAGCTTGTCCGCTTCGTCGACAACGAGCCAGCGCACGTAGTCGAGCGTAAAGCCTGGCGTGCGCTTGATGTGGTCGACAAGACGACCAGGGGTGCATATGAGAATGTCGACCTTGGAGCTATGGTCAATGACATGGTCGGGAAGAGGTTCGCGTGGGGGGCCTCGTGGATTTGTCAGATCCTCGAGCCATGAGCCCTCTTCTGATTTTCTTTCCAAGTACTTGTGGTAACCTTCGGGGTCGTATCGCTCATCCTCCTCGACGAGATCGGCTTGTTCCTGTTCGAACTGCTTGTTGCCCATAGAGATGCCGATTTTGACTGGTTTCCTCCCTCGTCCAGCGAAAATGGCCGAGCAGGCATTGCAGACTTCCTCTGCCTGCATGACTAGTTCACGGGTGGGCACCACGATAAGGCCCCGAATCCGGGTGATGTTGCTGCTTTGGCTGATATCTCGTACCATCGGTAGGGCGTATGCCAAAGTCTTCCCCGAACCCGTGGCAGCTGATACGACCACGTCACCTTGACGATCCGCAGATGGCAGGAGAAGTGGTATGACTGCGGTCTGGACGGCAAAGGCTTCTTTGAAACCCTTGCCCTGAAGCCTCGTAGCAGCCTCCTCGGCTATGCCCAGATCTGTAAAATGCGACGTGGAGGCGGGTGTTACTTGTATCGGGTTGGCTATCCAAGATGGCAACGTCTCGTAGCTCGGCTTGGCTGCGTCTTCCTTCACCGGTTTCGGTTGGGGTAGGGGCTCGAGTCCATATGCCTCGACCGCTTCCACGCCTTCGTCGTCCGAGGCGTCCTCTGGTTTGGGCTGCTCGGCACCTTTCTTCAGCTCTTTGGCGGCCCTCTCGAGGACTGCCTTGTGTCCTGCCGCAACCTCATCGTCTCCTCTCCTCTTTTTCTTCTTCTTGCTGTCTGTGGCCTCCGACTTGTCGTCGCTCGTCTGAGCCTGTGGTGTTTCGTCTTCGACCGCGGTTTTATGCTTCTTCCTCTTCTTGTCCTTTGGTTTTACAGCTTCCTCCCCGGTGCTGACTGGCGCTTCTTTGTGGCTGTCATCAGGCGCAGCAGCATTGCTGTCGTCGAACCCAAATGAGAAGGGCTGCTCGTTGCGCTGCTTCTTCTTCTTTTCTTTCTTCTCAGAACTCTCCCCCTCGTCGCCGTCGTCCAGCTTGGTTTCCTCCTTCTTCTTGCTCTTCTTCTTTTCCTTGTCCTTCTTTTCCTTCTTTGGCTTCTTCTCTTGCGGTTCGGCAACCGGCTCGACGACTGGCTCTGGGCTGTCGATCTTCCGCTTCTTGGGAGGCGACGGCTCGTCCTCGTCGTCGTCGTCGTAGTTGAACACAATCTTGGGAGGTAGAGCTTCTGGAGGCGGGATGGCCGCAGCGTTCAAATGTGTCCTCGAGGTTGGAATAGACCTCTGGGCCGTCGGCGCAGTTGTGGTGAGTGCACTCGCCTGTTTTCGTTGAGGAGGAACATATCTGGAGTAAGGGATCGCCGCAGACGTATGCGAGTCCGCCTCTGACGGAGGAGGGGACGGAGCTCGTGGCTTTGGCTGAGACGAGGACGCCTTGGGAGGAGGGATGTAACGAGCATACATCTTGCGAGATGATTCCCAGACCGGCAGTGACAAGTTGCTGGTCTCCTGGCAAGAATGGGCCTGGCATGCGCAACGTCAGTCGAGCTGTCCCAGCATGGAAATTATTTTTGGCGGCCCTCGATTCTGCCGTTTCTTATCGTCGCTTATCGGCCTGGCCCAGGGTAAGACTGAGTCCCAGGGTGCGCGCATGTTAGTGCGAGTACTTGGATGTTTCGATGTACAGCTCTTGATGATGGGTTTGATGTTCCCATTGGAGTCTGCCTCTGCGATAATTAAATTGCCCACGTGGGTTAAACAGAAATACCGTGGTATCCTGATCTCCCACTATTCATGGGAAGCTCAGATTATGGCCTGCTGTTTGACAAGAAAGTATCGAGTCCTGGGCTGCCCAAGTCGCGCACTAACAGTTGGACTTTAAATGCGCCTGGCACTCTAACCATGCAGGGGAAGCTGTCAGAACGGACGGCTTTATCTCATTTCCCATCGACAACACCACACTCTGTCTGCATTCAGGTGCCCCAAAGCTCGTCTCTCTGAGTTTGGCCTCACTCTGAACGCTATGGGGCTGTCTCCTGATATTCTCCGTCTCCCCAAGCTGCTCCCGAGTGATTGAGGTGCCCGTCTGGCGGGCAGCAGGCGTCAAGATGTCGAAGCCGACCTACAATATCGCCATGGTCAGCGACTTCTTCTTCCCCCAGCCAGGGGGAGTCGAAAGCCACATATACCAGTTATCCCAGAGGCTCATAGACAGGGGCCACAAGGTCGTGGTCATTACTCACGCGTACGACGATCGAAAGGGCGTCCGCTACCTTACCAATGGGCTCAAGGTCTATTATGTGCCCTTCTTCGTCATCTACCGCTCCGCAAGCTTTCCCACCGTCTTCTCCTTCTTCCCGATATTCCGCAACATCATCATCCGGGAGCAGATCAACATCGTACACGGACATGCCTCTCTCAGCAACCTCTGCTGGGAAGCCACCCTGCACGCCCGCACCATGGGCATCAGGACCATCTTTACCGATCACTCGCTCTTTGGCTTTGCCGACGCGGCCAGCATCCTCACTAATAAGCTGCTCAAGTTTACTCTGAGCGACGTCGACCATGTTATTTGCGTCAGCAATACCAGGTGCGTCACGGCCCCAAACCATTCATCTCGTCAACCACGCTGACCTCGACACAGCAAGGAAAACACCGTGCTCCGTGCCTCGCTGGACCCTCTCATGGTCTCCGTGATCCCTAATGCGGTCGTGGCTGACAACTTCAGGCCACTCGACCTTTCCCTCGAGGGCGCGGGCAATGGTTCTACCAACAGCTCTCTCGGCAACGATTATCCTGTCCCGGCTCATCGTCTTAGTCCCCACGACCCCGTCACCATTGTTGTCATCTCCCGCCTCTTCTACAACAAGGGGATAGACCTCCTCGTGGCAGCCATTCCGCGCATCCTGGACCATCAGCCCAACACACGCTTCATCATCGCCGGCTCTGGTCCCAAGGCCATTGATCTCGAGCAGATGATCGAGCAGAACGTCCTCCAGGACCGCGTCGAGATGATAGGCAGCGTCAGGCACGAGGAGGTCCGCGACGTCATGGTCCGTGGGCACATCTACCTGCACCCTTCGTTGACCGAGGCATTCGGGACGGTCATCGTGGAGGCCGCGAGCTGCGGGCTGTACGTGGTGTGCACCCAGGTCGGCGGCATCCCGGAGGTCCTGCCGGGCTACATGACCCAGTTCGCCAAGCCGGAAGAAGACGACATCGTCGCCGCGACGGTCAAGGCCATCGCCGACATCCGGGCGAACAAGATCCGCACCGAGAGGTTCCACAACGAGATCAAGAAGATGTACTCGTGGACCGACATCGCCAAGCGCACCGAGCGGGTGTACAACGGCATCTCGGGGGACATCAGCGAGGCGGAGTTCTACAACGCGGCGAGCATGGGCGCGACGAGGGGCGGTATCCAGCGCGACTTTGCCCTCATCGACCGTCTCAAGAGGTACTACGGCTGCGGCATATGGGCGGGCAAGCTGTTCTGTCTTTGTGTCATCATCGACTATCTCTTCTTCCTCTTCCTCGAGTGGGTGGCGCCGAGGCGCGATATCGACATCGCGGCGGAATGGCCACGGAAACAATTTGTCGAAGACACGAAGGAAAGAAGTAAGAGAGGCAGGTGACCAGCGCGGCACGACAGCCATTGAGAATCAACGCCCTGTGCTTACGGGCTCCCCGGCCGGGCTCGGAGGGCGGTGGGGATCAAGAATCTTCCAAACGGCTCTCGGATTATCGGTCGAAGTCTCCCATCACCCGGGACCAGTTCTATCGCAAGGTTCTGTTGAGCGGTGCCGATGCAGCGGTGCCTCCTTGGCAAGATCCGCCTGAGCGTGGCGGAGCCGTTCCCCAGCGTGGTCATCCATTGTTGTTTCCGCAGGCCTCAGGCGCGTGGAGACCCAACAAGCCGACCCGCTGGCCGGAACATGGCACTGCTGGGCAAACAGAAAGTACCCGGCTTCTTTCTACCCCAGTTCTGTGTACCAAGGGAACCCCAATCATCTCAAGCCACACGTGTTCACATGTGCATGCGTGTTGGAGAGCAAACCCGATACACTGCATTGTTGGTGCAGCGCAGCAACTAACTGCCTATAACTGTGGCTTGTATTGGCGGCTGGGGCCACTGTGGTGAGCTTTTTCAGGGGGTGGGGATCCCCCAGCGTCATCGCTAAAACTGAATACGAGGGCGGCGGCCGGGAACGCGTTGGTGGCCGGGCCAACCAAATGCACTGCAGGCAGGGGTGTTTGATATATATCAAACGGGACCATGGACTTGTGGACGACACTTCTTTGAAGTCCTCATAAGTTATGATTATTACCCTGTACTTCAGTCATATTCGACTTTCAAAGCGGCCTTGCATTCATCAAGCGAGTACGTTTATCTACTTCAACTTGGTCGGGCATTTCCAAACATTTGGTGAAGTGAAGCGACGTTCAACTGCATCCATCACCCAACTCGAACATCACACCACCTCAAGTGCCCTCCAGACCCGAACCCAACCAGCCGACGTATCCCCACCAAGTCCCATCCTCACCCACCCACGCCAGCAACATGTCCTCCACCGCAATGGCCACAGCAACAGGCACCTCCAGCGCGGCCGGCGCAGCCAACACGTGCGCCACCCCAAACGTCTACGACATCCCGACCAGCGACGTCGCGTGCGCCGTGCCCGCGGGCGGCAACCACACCGAGGTCATGAGCGGGTGCTGCAGGGGCGCCGACGTCGTCAGCTACGGCGGCGGCTGCGGGCTGTACTGCCTGGCGCAGGGCCAGGCCGTCGACGACCTCACGGCGTGCCTGTTCGCCGGCGGCATCCCCTGGCAGGATGCGTTCTGCAGGGGCGAGGGCAACGCCACCGCGTCCGCGACGGGGAACAGCGCGCCCACGGCGAGCGGCGCGAGTGTTGTCGGGGGCGCGAGCAAGACGAGCGGCGGTGCGCCGAGCCCGAGCTCGTCGGCCGGGGATGCGGAGTCGGGCGCTGCTGCTGCTGCGCCGGCTGGGGGGGTGGGTGCGCTCGGGGCTGCTGTGGGCGGGCTGCTGCTTTCGTCTCTTGTGCTTGGGGTGTTCCGGCTTTAGGTGGGTTGCAATCGTGAACCTCGGGGTTTGCGCGTGGGAGGGAGGGGGTTGGGGCCGTGGCTGGGATTGACGTGGCTTTGGCCGCTCGTTGCGAACTGGGAGCGTTTTGCTTCGACGAGGCTATTTATTTATCTATGGGATAATCACTTTGGGGGTGGGAATTTGAATCCGCGGGAACACTGAATCCAGGGGGGGTTATCTTGGGGTGTCAAAATGAAGCCATGATGCTAAATCGAAATTCTTATTCGAGTGGAAAAGTGCAATTTGAGCAAGCTAGGCACTCGAGGACATGGAGTGTTGTGAGCCGCCACACGTGAGAGTGAGATGCTGGATGCCAAGACGTGTTGTGTTGTTGGTGGAGGACTTTGAACTGCACCGCAGAAAAACAGGAGGCAGGGATGCTCGTGGCGGATGTGATATTCACCCAACCACCCAACCCACCGTGCCGCTCCCCTCGGATCTCCCTCCCAACGCGTCGATCCACCTCACCCACAGCACAGAACCCGCACATCGTCCTGCGCACGCCCAGCAAGACTCACCACCACCTTGCCGCACGGACAAGCAGGCATGCAGGCCCTTGAGAATATCGCCCGGCGGCTGCGAGGTGCGCGCAGCCCAGGGCGCGGCGGCCCCCAGCTCGTCCAGGTCATGTCCGACCTGCACCTCGAGGTCGGGCAGCAGTACGAGGCGTTCGACTTCCCCGCCGCCGGGAGGCTCCTGGTCCTGGCCGGCGACGTCGGCCGGCTGATCGACTACGAGGGCTACCGGGGCTTCCTGGAGCGCCAGGCGGGGCGGTTCGAGAGGGTCTTCCTCGTGCTGGGCAACCATGAGTTCTTCGGGCTGGGCTACGAGGAGGGCATCGCCCGGGCCGAGCGGCTGGCGCGGGAGCCGGCCCTGCGGGGGAGGCTGGTCCTCCTGGACCGGGGTGTCTGGGCTGATGGGGAGTCTGGGTCCGTCATCGTGGGCTGCACGCTGTGGTCTCACATTCCGGACCCTGCGAGGGCTGTTGTCGGGTCGAGGGTCAGCGACTACAGGCAGATCCGGGGGTGGTCCGTGGACAGGCACAACCAGGTACACGGCGAGGAGTCGGCGTGGCTCGCGTCTGCGCTCCAGTCGCTGTCCGAGGACCGTGGTAGGACCGACCAGCAGGGCCGGAACATACTGGTCGTGACGCACCACGCGCCGAGCCTGGCCGGCACCTCGGCCCCGGAGCACGCCGGCAACCCGTGGACGCCGGCCTTTGCGACGGACCTGCTACCTGACCTTCAGACCGGCAGGGTGAAGACGTGGGTCTTTGGGCACACGCACCACACGACGGAACTGTGCTGTGGTGGCGTCCGCTTGGTCGCCAACCAGCGTGGGTATGTCTTGCCCGGCGGCAGGCCCGAGACTACTACTGCTACTACTGCTCAAAATACAAATACATCATGGTGGCCGTGGGCGCGCAAACCAGCAGTCAGGCCTCAGTTTGATCCCGAACGGGTGGTCGAGCTGTAGTGGCCACGTGCAATAATCGGGTGCGGAGCGGAGCACCACCCGGGCCAGGTTTGAGAGGAGCACCGCCCCGCCCACCACGTTCTGGGAGGAGCGCCGCCCGCCTGTTGGTTGAGATTCACCTCGACATTCGGTATGCACTTCAGAAGAGAAAAGAAAAGAAAAGAAAAGGAAAAGGAAAAAAAGGGGGCCTGGTATTAGCAATTCGTAAACATAATTACGGCAAGTATCAGCAAAGACTTGTACCAGCACAGGACAGAATTGTTCTCTCTAAAGTCATCCCGTCACGAATCAGGGGCAAGATCGGCCAGCAAGTCGGTAGTCGTTTCGACCCCCGCGGGCTGGCTCACGATCCGCCGAACTCTGCTCGCCGGCCTTCCGCTATCGCTCCGGGGAAAACGGGGCCTCCCCCACACACGCTCGGGTTGCGGGGTTCACGACAACCATCCATCAGTTTTGGGGTTTCTTGTTTGAGTCCGGATGACTTAGTAGACCTATCACAGAATTTTTCCTGTTCCAAGATCCTGATCTGGTATTATTTTCAAAGATCACTCATCACACACAAGAAACACCATGCCATCAATAGACAACGAGATCAAGGGCCGCCTGGCCCTCGTGACAGGCGCATCAGGAGGGTGAGTCTGCTTCTATCCATCTCACCCACACGAGCCCCTGCTCTCACTCACTCACTCACTCACTCACTCACCCACCCACCCACTAACACACCCGCCCCAGCATCGGCGGCGCCTGCGCCAAGGACCTCTTCGCCGCCGGCGCGAACCTGGCCCTGACGTACTCGAGCAACAAGGCCGCCATGGACGCCCTCCTCGCCGAGCTGCAGGCCCAGCCGCAGTGGGCCAGAGCCAGGGTGACGTCCCACCAGGCCGACATGGCCAGCGCGGACGACATCCAGCGGCTCTTCGCCGAGATCAGGTCGCAGCACGGCCAGGAGGGGCCCGACATCCTCGTGTCCAACGCCGGGTACGGCAAGCGCATCCCCGACATCCTCGACATACCCATCGACGAGTTCGACCACACCCTCACGGTAAACCTGCGCGCCTCCTTCATCCTCACCAAGCTGGCCGTGCCGCACATGAAGAGCGCGGGGTGGGGCCGCGTCGTCTTCATCGGGAGCCTGGCCGCTTCGGGCGGGGGGATCAACGGGTGCCACTACGCCGCGTCCAAGGCGGGCTTGCAAGGGATGATGCGGAACCTCAGCCGGAAGCTGGCCGGGTTCGGGATTACTGTGAATGACGTCGCGCCCGCCATGATCGGGGACACGGGCCTGATCCCGGACGAGAAGACGGTCGCGGGGACGCCGGGGGACCCGCGGAATATCCCCGTCGGCAGGCTGGGCAGCCCGCAGGAGGTGGCTAATATGGTTACCATGTGCTGCCGGACGGGGTATCTTACTGGGCAGAGCATGTTGCTTAGTGGGGGGTTGATGTAGGAGGTCCGGGGTGGAGTGAGTGAGGATGATGAAGGTGCTCTCTTCTTTTTTTTTTAAAAAAAAAAAAAAACGTTGATTTGCTTTGAGCATGAATAAACAGATGGTCCTTAACCTCTATTACTACCAAAGCTCAAGGTCGAACAAGTCAAGAGGGGATAAGAGCCACTACATCTTGTTTACGATTTATTGCGTCATCTTGTGCTTAGGAGGCTATCTGGCAAAAGACCAAAGTCGCCCCGTGGGCTGTCCGAGATAATAATGCCATCAGGGGTTTGTCACATGGGAGATTCTCCTCCTGGAGCAGGGGTTCCCCACACAGGTCGTTGTTGCATTGGTGGTCCCGTACAAGATCGCCTTCATTGTCGCTTACACCAAGAGCGCTGTTATGAAGTCTACAGTCATGACTGGTCATCGTGTGTGTCCCCTACCGCGGCGAAGCTGAATCTAGTACTCCTCCTCATGCTTCCGCCTCCGGAGGATTTTGGCCCACCTGAAGTGCCAACATGGCACCCCTTGGATCAAGCCTGCTGGCCTCGATTGAGTCTTTGGGCTGGTCCTTGGCGGGTGTGGGCGCCCAAGCCGTTGGAGGTGCCTCCTCCGGATGAGTCGTGTCCGCCTCGTCTTGGTGTCCGACGTCAGGTTGGTGGCAGGGGATTGTCACACGCCATATGAACGAAAGTCTTATGCCGTCGCCGCCGTAGCAATGCGGCCGTGGGCGGTGATTGTTCCAAAAGCTGAGAATGCTGGTCAGCTCCTGACGCATCTGGGATGATTTGCAGCCTCTGGAAAGAACTTGGGGTTGCCATGGGTAGATAGAGGGCACGAGGCCTCAATGTATGAAGTGGGGGGGATGCCATCGCTCAGAGATTTCTTATTCCGCAAGCTGGATGCGCAACCTTGAATGTCGCTACTTGATTTGCAATGTGCGGACATCTAGAAGGTTAGAAGTATTTAGCTAGTCTTTTTCTTTTTATCAACACATTTCTTTTACGGTTGGTCATCGTGTCACGAGCTCGTCATTGGCTATGCCCTCAGTACCTACACATGTAACTACTATATGCCCAACATATCAAAGGTGGTTAGACGAGACACGGGCTGCACTTCCTCTATGCAAAGCGGCCCATTGCCCTCTTTGAACTCTCCAACAACTCCCTGCTTTGCGGGACGGTCGAGATCATGCCAAAACGTGTGAGATTTTCAGAGGGAGCCTTGAGATGTGTTGGCAAAGGGTTGGTTGATTGGTGGTTACTCACTGACATACATCTACGATCACACAAGCACATGACCTCGGGCACGTTGGGACAATGCACCTCAGCAAGAACGGCCAGCGAGTACATGGTCTATCGGCCTTTGGGATCCCATTCCTTTTTTTTTTTTTTTTTCTTTTGGGGTGAGGGGGGGGGGACTTGCTATCTCACCTACCTAGGTAGACAGCACATCGACCGGCGGCAGCTGTACCGAAAGCGAAGAAAGCCGCCCCCGTCTCTCCCAGCACAGGTACATACCTCCGAGTCCTACACCACACACGAAGCAGCCGGATGGGTACTTATTGATGTTGGTGCCCACGGCAGCAGATCCAGATCCCATCGGCATCGTGTGTGGGCTTTTGTGCCACCGGGGGTTTCGCCGAGGACGGGGGTGACTTTCTCGGTGATGCCGATTTAGTCGTTGGCACGGGCAGGTTAGGTGGGCTACTTCACAGTGGCGTTATCATACAGGAGGAAGTTGATTAATTCGGGGTGCCTGCTGTTGACGAGTGGTGGACCTGGGTAGGGGGGGGGCTCAGAGTACCTGAGCCGGGTAGGTGGGTACTTGTTTCTGAGAGGGCAAAAGGGGCGGCATGGTTTGATGGCTGGCTGGCTCGCGGAGAGCAGGACTTAATCCTGGACGTTGACGTGGGTGTCTTTTCTTCTTGTTGGTACAGTTGCACAAGACAGCGGGCGAGCCACCTGCCGCGGGAAGACTCTGAACCACAGCGGTGCGGCCAGCAGCAAAACGAACACGCGGAACCCGATAGCTCTTGTGCCAGCATGCGGTTGCATATCTAAATCATATCATCATCACACCCGGAAAACGCCCAGTCTGTTCGTCACCTCGCGTCTGAAAAAGGCAAGGAAACCCAACCTAGTAGAAAAATTTCCATTGTCTCTTGCGTGTTGTTCCCGTGTCCGTTGTCGACCATGAACCACGAGGGGAGGGAAAAACTACAGGGGGAACCAAGAAGCCTGTCTTTTTTATCAACAAGCAGCTAGCATTTTGCCTTGCACTTTTAATCTGCAACTGCACTATGCAACGATCCCGTCACTGTGTCCCCCCAGAGAGCCCGTTCGTCCAAGTGCCGTCCGTCCGTCCACACGCAACACACAAGCCACACAAACAAACAAAAAGAAAAGAGATAAGAGGCCAGCCGAGACCAATGAGCCAACCTGACGATGAACGAACCCAAAACTCCACCGCAGGGGGAACCGGGGTATAGAAAAAGCCTCGGTCGGGGGGGAGATTCCTTTCTCTGTTGTGTTTCGGGGGTGGTGCGTGTTGCGTGTTTTGAATGTGTGTCCCGTTGTGTGTGTGGTGGGTTTTTTCCCCCCACCACATTGCCTCCGGTTTCTTGTGTTTGTTCTTGGGATAATTTACCGGTTGGACTTGGCGACACGCTCGAGCTCGTCCTTCTTCTTGATGGCGTACGAGTTGGAGGAGCCCTTGGCGGCGTTGATCAGCTCCTCGGCAAGGCACTCGGCGATGGACTTGACGTTGCGGAAGGAGGCCTCGCGGGCGCCGGTGGTCAGCAGGGAGATGGCCTGGTTGACGCGGCGGAGAGGGGAGACATCGACGGCCTGGCGACGGACGGTACCGGCGGAACCGATACGGGTGGAGTCCTCACGGGGACCGCAGTTGACGATGGCGTCGACGGCGACCTGGATGGGGTTCTGGTCGGTCATGAGGTGGATCTGTTGGGGAGTGGGTCAGCCAGTCGTTCAATTGACGCGTTCTTCGTTAAGTGGTAGGGGACGAGTTGTTGGCCTTGGTGTCCGGTGGCACGTTGTATGTGTATGTTGGTGGTCAAGGGCCTGTCTGCATGTGGGCGGGACTTACGATCTCGAAGGCGTGGGCAATGATGCGGACGGCCATCAGCTTCTTGCCGTTGTTGCGGCCGTGGGCCATCAGGGAGTTGGTCAGACGCTCGATGATGGGGCAGTTGGCCTTGCGGAACCTCTTGACGGCATATCGGCCGGCGGAGTGAGGCAGGTAGACGGGGTTGCGGATCTGGATGTAGTCGCTGCAGGCCGTTGGTTAGCATATCGGGCACGACATTTCCTATGATTTTGCTGCTGCCAATGCGATCTGCCCGCCGTCTTGATGCCCACTGAAGATGCCTCGTGTATGTGTGCGTGTGTGTGGTGCCCCTACGTCCCTCGGCCTTGCCCCCCTAGTTGTTGTATGTGCGCGCACACACAACACAAACACGTGCAAGTCGAACTTGGTGGTCTCCCCCTTCGGCGGGGCGGGCATCTCCCTCGTGTGCATCAAGACGGGCAGGGCTGCTCGTGAACGGCAGAGCAGTGCCATGCAGAGATGGTTGACTGGTGTATAGCACAGCCAGCAGGTAGGTAGGTGGTTTGCCTTACGTCAGGGAGATGTCGCGGATCTCGACATCCTCGTAGGACCACTTGTTGAACAGCTTGATGCTGCCAATCTCCTGGACGACGTCCTTGGGCAGGACCTGGTAGCTGGAGGCGGCCTCGACCTCGATCTCTCCGTTGTCAGACATGCTGGGCGAGATTTGCTGAATCGAATCGACGAGATTGACAGGCAGGTGTCGTCGAGAGAGATCCTTCGCTGGCGGTTGGGGGTTGGTGGGCGGGTGGGTTGCGTGGTTGTCGAGGACGGGCGAAGATCAAGATCTTTTTTTCGTCTGCTCGGGCTGGTGGTGGTCTGCCTGGCTCTGTGGTGGGCGGTGGGCGCTCGGGTGTGGGTTTGCTAGCTCGGTCCGGTGCTGGTTGCTCGCAGCTGCACGCTCACTGCTGCTAATTGACTGTGCTGGGGGGGGACACAACCCAACCAAGCCGCTGTGGCTCTCTCTCTGCCCTGCAAATCCAGTCGTTTGGCAAAATTTGGTTGGTGGTTGCGCCACAGCTACTTGTGATTGGCCAACAGGAGCGTTGGGCCCCGCTTTAACGCTAGTTAGGGCTTCGACCAAAGTGTGGCGCAGTCGTTTCCACTCCACCCCCAAAAAAACTCGAGGTGCTGCCCCCTCTGCTGCCCAGCGGCCAGCCCCTACCGCCCCAGGCCCGCCTAATAGTGAGTGAGTGAGCCCTGGTTTTGGCCCTGATCTGAGCTGTGTGTGGTGTGGTGCGGTGCACTGACTGGTAGGGATTTGGCAGGCGACCATTTTTCTTGACTACTCCTCCCACTTCTCCCAGCCCTTTCAAACAATCGACCGACCATCCATCTACAACCCATCTCACCCCCAGCAAATCAGTCAAGATGGCCCCTGCTACCGGAGCTAAGAAGCAGAAGAAGAAGTGGTCGAAGGGAAAGGGTACGTGGATTTTAATGATGAAGATGCTCCTCCTCCTCCTCCTCGGCCTCGGGACGCAGTTGATTTCGGAGGCGGGCATCGCGATGCACGACGGCGACGGTGGTGCTTGATGCACTCACTCACTCCGCCATGGGTCACTTCGCGCAACCTCTTTGAAATCAGCTGCATCACGATGGGGCCTCGTCCTTAGCCCTCCCAAGCGCCGCAATACACCCCGCTAACAGCCGACTGCAGTCAAGGACAAGGCGCAGCACGCCGTCATCCTCGACAAGGCCACCTCCGACAAGCTGTACAAGGACGTCCAGTCCTACCGCCTGGTCACCGTTGCCACCCTCGTCGACAGGCTCAAGGTCAACGGCTCCCTCGCCCGCCAATGCCTCAAGGACCTTGAGGAGAAGGGACAGATCAAGCCCATCGTCACGCACAGCAAGATGAAGATCTACAGTATGTTCCGCCTCCTCCGCCAGCCCACGCGTACACACCCAGCACGACGTGGCGCGGTCACCTGATGCGAGATAATTTTTACTCACAAACCTTCCCCTACAGCCCGTGCCGTCGGTGCCTCCGAGTAAACTTCTCAACACGACCAAGCTCTTGTAGAGTCCCCCTTTTCCATGGCAGCGCAGCGGAGGCCCTGGTCCTCCAGGGCGCCGCGGGCGATGTCCCTCCACGCATGACAACGTATGATGGCGTCTTTTCGAAGGGCATGGGGAACACAATCAAAGCAGGAACGTCAAATCATGGCAGGCTGGGAGTTATTTTCGGGTCTTTCGGTTTGACAAAGTTTGGGCCGGCTGCTGGGAAGGAAAGATGATGCAGCGGGCGCCGAGGTCTCCCTCTCGCCTGTTTCTGCCCGGTCCGGAGGATACCCTACACTTTTTTGCTAGGTGTAGCATGCAACGGGTTGGAAGTGCTCTGAACCCTAAAAACAAGCAATGGATCAACATTGAAGCACACTGGTGATCGCCCGATGCTTGAGCCGTGAATGGGAAATGTGTTCACTGTTGCTGTAGCGTGCTGCTCAACGTGCTGAAGACACGGGCTCTTCGGTCATGGCCTGGGCTCCGTTACCCACCAATGCCGTGTCATCCCAGACGGCCAGCCTCCTCCATATAGAACCATGGCCGTGGTCAGCTTCCTCAAGCGTCTTGTTTGTGCTGCCCGATCGACGACAGGTGTTGGATGAAGACGTGCTGCAAGTAACGGCCATGTTCTTCGAAGTGCAGGTGGAAAAGTGTATTGGATGACGACACAAGCAGACAGTCCTCGGCGCTCCTTCGGCAGAGTGTCGGCCAGCTGCTCGACATATCTATCCATGCAAGACTTGGGGCCTCTACTGTGTACGGAGTAGACAACAGCAGGTCAGCAGGTTGCTGGACAAACTGTAGGATGCAGCAGAACGAAGCTCTTGTCGCCCCTGTCAAGAGGGCTCAACACTGTCATGGAGCTGACAGGGCGGCCCAAGGCCAGCACTTCTACTTTACTATTCATGAATTATCAGTGAGCGGTATATCGGTGGTTTATCTCGGCCGAGTGCTGCAGTGTGCTGTCCTTCTACTCCGTACACCGACTTGTGTTTCGGCTCCTTTGTCGGATATGGACCGAGCACTCTGGATAAGCATCGGCTACCGGCTACAAGGAAACGAAAGGCCTCGGAGTAGCCAGCGGTGCAACGAGGACCAGTCAGGACCGGCTTGGCATTGAGGACACTGTCTCAGGAAAAAAAAGACAGCAATCTGATGAGTCGGGGCCACGGCCTTGTTCAGGAAACAGTGCAGAATATCAAACGTTCCCAGGACACGGCCTGGGCTGGACTCAAGTCAAGGCAAAATTACTCGGGGTTCTCGGGCAAGGCGAGACTAATTAAAACCAGGGCTGCTGGAGCCGAGCGGGAGAGAGATCCCGAGGGTGTGCCGGATGGGAGGAGGGTGGATGGGTGGATGTTTCTTTTTAGGAGTCGAGGTTCGGGGCTCACATGTACATTGTACACATGCTCGGTAGATGTACCCCAAGTTGGCGTCGCGTGACAGCTGCAAACATCTCATGATGTTTGTTAGGGAACCCCAAGATCTTAGATATGCGAGATAGATGGATGGATACAGCAGCAGGTTGGTAGCACTCTGGGCCAAATGACATAAACAGTGGAGAGGGTGTAGTTGGATTTTCTGGGCTGTCCTGGACCTCTGAAAATTGCTCGCCAAAATGCTACGTAGCAGCCGCCAGCCTCCCATTGCCAATCCATCCAGTCCATCCGTACCGCCGCCAGCAGGGCCAGTTGCCAAATCTGGGGGCGGCTCCAGTTGTTCACCGGGGGAACAGCTGGGCATTTCAAGCAACTGGGCAGGTGTGATTGGCTGCCACGATAATCTCACGGCTGTGCAAATCTGACTGCCGCCACCATCACGGCTGGCCAGCATTATCACCACCGAGTTTAGAAGTGCAAACAGTGCAATAGTCCCTGGAAAACCTGACACTACAAATACAGCAGACAGACCAGCGCTCAGATGAATAAAAGAATGGACTATAATACCCTCAGTCTGGGAGCAACCGCACCAGGCGCAACAGAGAGGTCTCAGCACGGGACCCTTAGGGTGGCCAAGTTTCAGGGTCGAAAGGACAGGTGCAGAAGGGTGCAAGAGATACGGGCAGCAGGGCAGGAGTGAGGGAGCACGGGCCACATTGCGGACTGTTGCTTGCGGCTAGCCGGGAAGTATCGGGACCCACTTTCAAATTTTCAAGCAACCCCAGCTCGCCCCGGCCGGCCTGCTGCACAGGCCAGCGCCAGGCCAAGGAAGGCCAGGAGGACTGAGCTGGCCTGGACTGGATTTATTTTCTCGCACTTGTTGTCTTCAACTCCCTTCCCGCCGGCCTAGAGGATTTCCATCTTTCCTTCCCTTCCTTTTCTCTTTCTCCTATCCATCTCCACTCCATCATCAAAGAACTTTAGCATCTTTGATCAGTCAGACATCCAAAATGTCGCCCAACGACAATGTCAAGGTCTTGGGCATGCCCGTGAGTACTCTCGTCCCCCAATGCCGCAGCCCGTCGCCCTTCCCAGAAAAATTGCCTCGCCCCAACAGCCGAGGCAACAACATCGCGAGCTTCGCAACACCCAGCCCCATCATCTCGACCCTCGCCAGCCATGCCAATTGCTCAAGGAAGATCCCCTCGACCTCCTTGAGATGGCTTTGTGCTTGGTCTCGACGGTTTGGTGCTGCTGGTGCCTTATCGCGTCGCTCGAGAAAAATCTGTCCTCCGTCATGTGAAAGCCCAAAACCATGTCAGAGCTCAATCGCTGACCACAATCATCGCAACAGCCCTTCGTGGCGGACTTCTTGAGTACGTATTCTCGACAACCGCAACTCCCAATACCTTGCCATCGATACGGTTCTGCTGTGGACAAGGCCTTTAACGGCCTTGTTGACAGCTGTGTTGTCGCATTGATAGCTGGCTGGCGGGCCTCCAGAAGCTTGCCCGAGCCTGCCCCCCCCCCCCAGCTCGGACTAGAGACAGAGCTCAAGCTAACTGTCACCTCCAGTGGGTGGTGTCTCTGCCGCCGTCTCCAAGACCGCCGCCGCTCCCATTGAGCGTATCAAGCTCCTCATCCAGAACCAGGTACGTGCTCTCTGCCATTCAGACAATCTGGGTCCCCATTGCGTCATTTGTCTGTTCCGTCTGTGAGACTTTGGATCGCTTGCTCGGCCCGGCACCGCAAGCATCACAATGCTGCCTCTACTTCTGCCACCAAAGCTGCGCCAGTCTCGGAGTCGTCAACCCAGACCTGATGTTGCCTCGCTTGAAACCCCTTAGTTGCTGACCCGAACGCTCTACAGGATGAGATGATTAAGCAGGGTCGTCTGGACCGCAAGTACAACGGCATTGTTGACTGCTTCCGTCGTACCGCCGCCGATGAGGGTGTCATGGCCCTGTGGCGTGGCAACACCGCCAACGTCATTCGTTACTTCCCTACCCAGGCCCTGAACTTCGCTTTCCGCGACAAGTTCAAGAAGATGTTCGCCTTCAAGAAGGAGAAGGACGGTTACGCCAAGTGGATGGCTGGTAACCTGGCCTCCGGTGGTGTAAGTTTCCGCCCCAAACGCCTCAAGAAGGCTCTGTCCGCTTCGAGACTTGTTTACTGACCTGCCCTCCAGGCCGCTGGTGCCACTTCCCTGCTCTTCGTCTACTCCCTTGACTACGCCCGTACCCGTCTTGCCAACGATGCCAAGTCCGCCAAGAAGGGTGGTGAGCGTCAGTTCAACGGTCTCGTCGACGTCTACCGCAAGACCCTCGCCTCTGACGGTATTGCCGGTCTGTACCGTGGTTTCGGTCCCTCCGTCGCCGGTATCGTCGTCTACCGTGGTCTCTACTTCGGCATGTACGACTCCCTGAAGCCTGTCCTGCTCACCGGTACCCTCGCCAACAACTTCCTCGCCTCTTTCGCCCTTGGTTGGACTGTCACCACCGGTGCCGGTATTGCTTCCTACCCTCTCGACACCGTCCGTAGGCGTATGATGATGACCTCTGGTGAGGCCGTCAAGTACTCTTCCTCCTTCGATGCCTTCAAGCAGATCGTCGCCAAGGAGGGTGTCAAGTCCCTGTTCAAGGGTGCTGGCGCCAACATCCTGCGTGGTGTCGCCGGTGCTGGTGTGCTGTCCATCTACGATCAGCTCCAGCTCCTCCTCTTCGGAAAGGCCTTCAAGGGTGGTTCCGGCTAAGCGCTTCACCTCAAGCTCTCAAGCGCGCTTCCATCTCTCCCACTGTACAAAAAGTAGCACTCGTGCGACGGTTGGAGGGGTAATCGGGGACGACAGTTAGGTGACAACTTCCTTTGGATGCAAATGACTGGACTGGGTCAAATACAAAAAGGAGCGAGATGATAGATCTGGTGGAGGGGCCGTGGCCTCCTGCCGCCGCTGCCATGCGGCGCGGAGGAGCCAGCCTCGGCTCGCGGTCTGGGTTTTTGAGCATGCCTGGCGTTTACATAGTGATGAGTCGTCTGGGTGGCTTTTAGACCCTCCGTTGTAATTTACAAGAGTTCTTCCCAATCTTTTCCCCATTGTGCATGTGTGCGCTTTGCTTTGCGAGTCTTGGTAAACGGCCTGATACGGGTAGGCCAGTGTCGGTGTCAGTGTCACATCGAGATTGATACAAGGCAACATGGTCGCTCCATACATACATGACAGACAATGCAATAGAGATTCTTGACAAGACGCTTTTGCCCCAATTCACTTACATACCTCTCTCAATTAGCTGCCTGTGTACTTTCATTCGGCCTCTGGCGGGCGCTAGCCAGCCTATTTCGAGTTGTGACATTTTGTGTTGACAACATAGGTAGGTCCAAGACTGGAAGGAGACTGTTAGAACATGATTTACCAGTCTACTTCAGAAATCACGAGTCAACAACACTGCAGAGCCTGAGGACACAGCTATGAAACAGCTTTTTAGTACATGAGAATCTAGTAGCAGAATTTGGGATAGAGGGTAGATGCTCGCTAGCACTAGTAACTACGAGCTAGTCTATGGATGTAATCTTGCGGGACAAGTGTGGTTATTCGGCCGAAGGGCTCAGCTCTTAGAGGTCATTTGGTACTATAGTAGTTCTTGAATCCGTGAGGGTTGTGTGACTATATCTTGGGCTGTGGGATTTTATATCCTAGTTGGATTTGTTGTGATTTCATTGAGGGCACACATGGGCTTCATCTAGAGATAGGGCATGGGGGCTGTAGGAACACCTTTCTCAGTGTTTGTTTGTTTCTATTTGTGTACATGGCGAAGGCGTACGGTCCCTTCACACAATGGTAGATGGGCAAAGACCCAGCGTTTAGAGAGAGAAAAAGGAGAAAAAAACCACAATGCCAACAACCCAAATCTCTTCAGTCCAGATCTGGAGGCTCAAGCCTCGGGTCAAGCTCGTCCTGGTCCCATCCCGTAGAGAGCCTCTCATTCACGCCGTAATCCACCACGTATGGGCTATCATTATCGCCCTCAAACGAGGTGTGACCAAAGCCATAGTCCATCACCCTTGCGTATGCCTTCAGCCAGCGCCCCTGGCGGTGGAAAGCCAATGACACCCGGTAGTCGTGGGTATTCCGCCCGTAGTTCCTGACATGGGCGTACACGAGGACCAGAGAGATGCTCAGGTGCCCCCCGGCGGCCCTGGCCCGCTGCCTGAGGTCCGCCAGCAGGGCCCAGTACTCGGGGTCCCGCGAGTGCGCCTCGACAAGGTGCCTCACGACCTCCCGGGGCCCCGCGGCCGCCTCCCACCCGACCGCCTGGCAGCAGCAGCGCTCCTTATCCCCCCTGTCCCCGTCCCACTCTTCCTCGTCCTTTTTCGGCGTCTCGATGAACTTATAGTCCCACGGGATGAGGACCTCCAGCGTCCGGAGGCCGGCCATCTCCCGCAGCTGGCGGAACGCCAGGCCCACGGCCCTGTCGTAGATGACCTCGCCGCGCCTGCGGCCTTGGCCGGCGACGTGCCACCTGCGGACGCCGAGGTCCGGCACGCGCATCCCCCGGGACCGCAGCGCGTCCTCGAAGTACTCCCAGTGCCGCCCCGACCCGATGCACCTGTTGGCACAGAAGTCCACGCCGGGCTGGTACCAGGCCGGCGGCGAGAGGTCGCGGTGCGGCAGCTGCACGGCGACGTGCCTGATGAGGGCGTAGTGGTCCCGGCCGATGGTGTGCGCGAAGACGGCCATGGCGGCGATGCCGTTGTACGCGCTGAAGCGGAATGTCGTGCGCCCGTAGAGGTGCGCGGCCGCCTCGGCGTGGACCTTCCTGCTCAGCCGGAGGACCTGCGGGTGCTTGGCCCTCCAGCCGCGCGTGACGCGTCGGCTCTTGCGGCTCGTGGCGTCGGGGGGCGGGGGCGGGTCGAGCCACAGAGGCCCCGGGCCCCAGATCCCGAGGAGGGGGTTGGTGTCTGCGAGCCAGGCGGGGCGCTGCCTGTCTGGGCCCCAGAGCTCGAAGGTGGTCGGGGTGTCGAAGAGGTGCTCGTAGACGAGGAGGCGGAGCTCTGCGGGCAGGTCGTCTGTGAAGCTGAGGGTTTGCTTCTGCGCTGGCTGGATGGGGGGGGGGGGGGAGGAGTTAGTGTTGCTGGTTCTTAAACGGTGGAGGAGGATGACATTGTATTGTTGTCTTCAGGTGGGACTTACGAATGGCCGAGCAAACTTGCGCTCGTTGAAGAGGGCAGGGAACCTGCTGTACTTATTGATCTGCTGTATGCTGCAGGTCTGCCATGGGCGGTCGGACGGCTCGTTACTGAATTCGTGAACGTCAGCATTAGGTGCCTAGGTGCTGTTGGAAAATTGTGATGACTTCAAGTAAGCATGGTGATGTCGAGGGATCAAGACTTACCACCATCCGTCGGATGCCATGATGAGCAGTAGTATCTGCGTAAATACCCTGAGATGGATTCGATGCCCAGGTGTGTTTGGCCAATCAAGGTTGGCTGGTAGTAGGCAGATGAGGTTGGATTGTGGAAGAACAGAAATGGGAAAGAAGCCTGGTTCCTGAGCTAGATAAACTTGTTTGGATACAAATGCCTTTGTTGGTTCCTGAGGCAACCTTGGAATGGGAACCTGAAGAGTCTCGGTTGCTCTAAGCAGACTGTGAGTAGGCACAGTGACGTGGAGGTTAGCTGACAGCTGATGAATTAGATGCAGCTGTGCTTTGATGCCTTTGAGTGTTCTTGCAATACGGAAGGATAAGGCTGAGTCGCTTGGATTTCCCCAGATGATTGCGTGTTTGAGGAGAGTCAGAAGTTGTCTATGTCCTACGAAACTTTCGAGACCACAGCAATTTTTGTCTGAGGAAATTTGTGTGGACACCGTCAGACCAACCTACCCATAGCCCGTGATAGCTTCAGCCTTAGCAGGCTGATAGTCCTACTAGCACTGGCTTAGCCTCAAGTGTACTGGTGCAGAGTTGCCAGCATGGCCTGACGCTAAGGCAGGCAGGCTTGTGGAGTGACCTAGGTAGAATGGGTGGCTTTGGAAACACGATAGGGAGGGATATGTAAAGTAGAATGAACTTTCACCGTCCCGAGCATTACATGTCGAAACTGGATGTGGAGAACACGGGTCGGGTAGACATAGAGATCACGGTGACCATTTTCACTTTTGGGCTGGCAAGGTAGTGGAAACACAGCACATTTGCCCTTTTCTTTTGACAAAACACTGGTGTGGGCCATCGATATGGTTAGAGAACTCTACCATGGGAGAAATGGACCAAACAACGAACAGTTCATTTGTGACGGTGTGGCGGAGCAGATCCACCGGTTGCCTTCGGACCTCACTTACTCCAGGGTATCTTCAGAAAAAGTCCACGCCACCTAACATCTTGCTCGCGTCTCCCTCGCGGGCCATCCCCCCTCTGCATCAGTTGGACTCCTCCAACAACCCCTCGAGGACACCCAGGTTGGCCAGTTTCTCAACCCACTTGTTGGCCAGCGGCATGTAGTTCTTCTTCCGCCCGGTGCAGCTCTCCTCGTCCTGGCGTATGAGGCCCATCTCCTGGTTGTACTCGCTCTGGATCCGGGCCTGCTCGGTCTCGAGGCGCCGCACAAGATCAAGCCCCAGGTCGTCCTCAGCCCCGGCCAGCCGCGACTCGTCCGGCTCGGTCTCGTCGAGCATGGCCCATGACACACCATACTGCCGCAGCTGGGGCTCGCTGACGGTCTCGAGGTAGAAGCGGCCCTCGGCCGGCTCGGGCGCCGCGTCCAGGGGCACGTCGGCGCGCGCGACGGAGAGGGTCTTGATGTTGACGGCGAGCTCCCTGCGCAGCGCGGCGGCCGGGCTCTGGCAGATGGCCAGGATGCTCGCAAAGTCCCCCGCGACGCTGAGCTTCTTGACCAGGCCCCCGATGGCGAGCGGGATCCACGCGTCGGCGGCCGCGTCGCCCAGGCACACGGGGTTCCACTCCAGGCCGTCGAGGATCCAGACCTTGCCGTCGAGGGGCACGAAGGCCTTGTAGTGGCAGGCCTCGTCGTCCTTGGCCTTCTTCTTCTTGGGCTTGGCCTGCTTCTGGCTCTTGGGCTTGCGCTTCCCGCCGGCGCCGGCCCGGGGGGCCCTCTCGGGCTTGGGGACGCCCTTGCACTCGTCGTACTCGTTGGAGAGGAGGAGGTCCGCGTTAAGGAGCTCGAGACGGCGCGCGTAGGCGTTGTGGATGGTGCGCATGCTCGCCTCGGACTCGAGGAGGTAGCCGCGCTGGAAGGACGGGAGGTCCTGGGTCGCCCTCTTGAACTCGCTCAGCTTGTCGCCCAGCTGCACCGCTGGCGAGTTCATCAGGATGTTGAGCAGGGCCACGGTGGCGCAGCCGTTTGCCATGGTCTGGTTGGCGAACCAGAGGGGCTCGGGGACGTCCTCGGTGCCCTCCTCGTCCTCGTGGGCGTACTTGCACAGCAGTACGAAGCCCAGCACGGGCTGGGGGAGGAAGTCGACGTCGTCTACGGAGAAGAGCTCCGTCACCTTGATGTCTTGCACGCCGAGGTCGCGGAGCAAGCCGTTGAAGAAGGCCTGGGGGTGTGTTAGTCACGACACGGAATGGCTGCATACTTGTGTATATATTTGTTTGCATTACTTACCGGGTCAGACTCGATCTCCACCCATGCCTTCCAGTCATTCTGCTCCGTGTCCCTGAGGGGGGCGAGTGTCGCGCGCAACAGGTCCTCGGGGGGGATGCTGAGGCTGTGTTCAAGACTGCTCTCCGTTCGAGCTGCCTGGGTGATGATGGTTGATGCTTTGGTGGCAGCACCCCTCTGAGGCCGGATTCTTTTCTGGTCGGGCTGGGCAGCACCAGAAGAGGCAGGACTTGATCGCTTGGGGGCCATGCTCGCAGATGTGATTGACTGTGTTGGGTTGAGGATGACGGTCCGAGGTTCGCCTCATTGAAGAATGACGGCCGTTGAAATGCAGCGCCTTGGGAAGAAGTACAAATACCTGCCTCGCTGCCCAAAATGGCGGCTCACTTATCGATAGGGAGTGCGATGATATGTCTCACAAAGGCGCTGGACCATCTTGACAATGGAATTCGGGCATGCACCTGAGGGCTGGTGCTTCATTGAGTTGGACGAGCACAAACGGGAGAGTGCGAGGGGACCGTTGAGGAAGTTCAGCCAGCATGTAAGGTCGGGCAAGGGTCGCAGTACAACTTGGGCTTGGCCGAACGACGATTATATCGCTCAATTCCTCCCACACAGCAGGCTATATCCAGCAGAAATGAATTGAGAGCATTTGATCCAGTGAGGGCTGAATACTTCCTCGTCCATACGAGGCATCAGAGGTGCTGTGGCAGGCAGCAAAGCTTGTACGAAACGGAATGCTTTCATTCATGGCGACCTGGATACATTGTACATGTACCGTTGACAAGTACTCCGTAGACACATGCTTTGGTGGTGGCATCTGATCCAATCAAAAAGGTGGCCAGGCAGGTGGGCTCCAAGCTGGGCAGCTGGGCTGGCTGGGCGGGTCCAGGGGCCCACTGTACAGCTATACCCCTGCAACTCTTAGCCCGCCCTGTCATACCAGAACAGGTCCTTCTTTTTTTCAGTCGCGTCGACCGACTGCTCTGCCCTCTTTGTTGACGTCGCGGGACTGGTTGCCATCCAAGACTTTTGGACACGCCCACACAAATCACCACCACCCCATCCCTCAACCCGAACGGTGCGCCTGGAGGCTGAGTCTGGCTTGAAGTGTTCTCCGTTTACGATATGATGACCTAGCAAGAAACGTCAGTCCCCCCTTTGCCCCCTCGATTCGTCCTGTCGCAACTCGTCTCCCTGACCGTCCTCGCAGATATCGGCCGCCGAGAGCTTACCACCACGACGACCACCGCCGCTACCACCCCCCTCTCTCGCGACAGACACAGATCGACCTTGCTTCCCTCGATAGTAATGCTATGAATGAAACACCAGAAAGGGTCACGGGGGCGTTCCCCGCCACCCCTGCCACCAACATCCGAGGCAGAGCTCCTCCAACACCAGACGGGACTCCCGATCGAGGGCTGCCCGCCAGGGGGCCCGCTGCGAAGCCGCTGCCTCAAGCTCCCGAGAATGCGCGACGACAGGACCAGCCCACGAGCAACCCTGTCATACCACTCACAATCCTCGATGCGCCCACACAACGCTTCTATGCCGTCGGCTTCTACGTGGCCCTCGTGGCTTGGAAGCTCTACGAATGGGTCGGCCTGATGGAGGACGAGGCCAGCTCGGTCTGGCTGTTCCTCAAGTGGAACGTCATCGACCTCATATTCATAATGGGCCTCCCCGAGCTCAGGATACCATGGCTGGAGCTGACACAGCCCGCCTGCCTCGTCCTGTTCTTTGGGCACGCCGTCTTCAACTTCATCTTGATGTTCAACATCACGGTACGCATTGGCGGCACCCGGCTCTCTGGCCCATCTGCTGACTCTCTTGCAGGCTGGTTTTACGGCTGCCCTTCTTGCTTTCCTCAAGGTCTTCTACGACCGGGAGTTGGCCATATCCGAGCACTACGTCCAGCCGGCGCATGTCCTGCATAATGCCTCTGTGATCCTGGGCAAACAGATTATCAACATCTTGCCCGAAGGGTATGTGTAAAGTCACTGTGGCCGCCGATGACGATGCTAACATCTTGTAGCTCTGCCGTTCTCAACCCTGATGGCAAGTCGTTCTGCCTCGGAGACTCCCAGCCTACGATCACGCTGCCCATGCTGTTCAACGAGACCGTCCCCGTCGAAGTCGAAGTCATTCGCATTGACCTGGACACGAACTCGCAAGAGATTCTCAAGCTTGGGAAAGACCAGATCAGGAGTATCACGAAGATGGCCAAGAGACGAGCGGACAACCCAGACGAGCCCGACGTCCAATTCGACTATCCGGTGAAGAAGCCCGGTGTCTACAAGCTGGGGAGGGTTCTGGATGAGTACAAGTTGGAGGTCCAGCGCCTGACTGGCAACACCTACGTTGTACCATGTCCAAAAGCTCGCGTTCTGCCCTCGCCATCCTCGGACCGCTGCCTGGGCGACCTGTCCGACTTGTCGCTGCAGGTCGAGGGCACGCCGCCACTGAAGATTGTCTACAGCCAGATGATCAATGGCAAGGACCACAGCTTCCACTTCCAAAGTTTGCAGCCAGAGGGTTTCTCGTCACCACTCATGGGCGCAAGTAGGTCTTCGGCCCTGGTGCTTCCGGATGACGACTCTTACGTCACGTGGGCTCGAGCACAGATTGTGACCGTGGGCCTGAACGAGTCGATGAACGCCGGCGGAGAGTGGCAGTACTCTGTGGACGAGGTCCAAGATGCTTTTGGCAACGTCGTTAAGTACGCGTCGCCGGCAGACGACCCAGAGATGAAGCCGAAGCCGAAGCATCTGGTGCAGCAGTTTAGCGTCAAGGACCGACCGACAGTGAGCCTCTTCGATTGCAACATGCGCCATCCCATCAAGGTTGCCAAGGGCAAGTCTACGAGCCTGCCCGTCAAATATGAGATCGCAGATCAGAAGCACAACGCCAAGCACTCACTCACCTGGCTCTTCTCACCTATCGACACCTTGACTAAGAATGGCGATCACGGTGAAGCAGCCACACTGGGCACCTTCAATGCAAAGAAGGCAGATGACGTGCCAAAGGTCTCAGCCCCCGGCTTATACACCCTCAAGACCGTCTCGGCGGGCGCTTGTGAGGGTGAGGTGCAGGAGCCCTCGTCCTGCCTCCTGCTGAACCCGCTCGAACCGAGCCTCGTACTGCGGTCCACCGACATTCCAGACAAGTGCGCAGGTAACTCCATCGGAGTATCCGTGGACTTTGACTTTGTCGGAACTCCGCCGTTCAAGGTCTCTTACAAGGCGATTCACAACGGTTCCCCCGAGAGGAGGAGCTTCAAGGCGAACAGTATGAGGCACCAGGAGGAATTCATTCCCACCGTTGCAGGCACCCACAAGTATGTATTTGAGTACATCAGGGACAGCGTATACGGTGATATTGCCCTCACCGGACCAGACATGGTCCTGGAAACCACAGTCAAGCCTGTTGCTTCGGCCAGCATTCGGAAGCCTTCCGAGGTCGTCAACGCTTGTCTGGAGGAGGAGGTCGAAGTCGACGTTGTACTGCAGGGCGAAGCGCCTTTCACGCTGGAATGGGAGCTCGTCCACGACGGCAGGAGGAGACAGCACAAGATCTCGGACATCCAAGACAAGCACGTCAAGCTCAAGACACCGCCGCTGACGCAGGGCGGAGAATACTCGGTCGCCCTGATCGCCATCACGGACACGTCGGGCTGCCGCGGTTTCCTGCAGGACGAGATGAAGATAGCCGTGCGGCGCCAGCGGCCCCGCGGAGGGTTCGGCCAGCTGGACGGCAAGTTCAGGACGAGGACCCTGGAGGAGGCCAGGGTCAAGCTGCCCGTGCGCCTGAGCGGGGAGGGGCCGTGGGACCTTTACTACAAGAACGTCGACGAGGGCGAGACGGCGCAGCTTAAGAAGCGCACGCTCAAGTCTGGCAACGACTTCTTGACCGTCGACAAGCGCGGTGTCTACGAGATCGTGGACGTGCATGATAACAGGTGCCCCGGGCTGGTCGACCCCCGGGCCAACCAGTTCGCGGTCGACTGGCTTCCTCGGCCGGAGCTTGGCCTGGTCATGACGCCGAGCATCAAGGTGGAGCGGGAGTTGGTCTATTCCAAGAACGAGGTTTGTGAGGGAGACATTGACGGTTTCGAGATTGCTCTTAAGGGTGAGTTCTTATTGTTTCTGCACGCATTGTGGAGTTTTGTTTACTAACCTCAAGCAGGCTCGCCGCCATTCCACGTCGAGTACGAGGTCAAGCACAAGCCTGATGCCGGTGGTGTCTCGACGCCCCAGAAGAAGACCGTCGACGCCGCTCTCGGCAAGGCCTCCATCCAGATGGACACAACAAAATCTGGTCTCTATGCATACAAGTTCACCGGGGTACAGGACAGCGTTTACGTTGACAACAAAAAGCTCAGCCCAGTCACGTTGCACCAGACGGTCAACCCCAGGCCCTCTGCATCCTTCACGAAACCCGGCCAGACGTACAAATCCTGCATGGCGGACCAAGACATCGAAGAGAGCATCCCCGTCGAGCTGACGGGCACGGCCCCGTTCTCTTTAGAGATCGAGATCAAGCACCAATCTGGCGCAGGCCTCGAGACGTACCGAATCCCATCCATCCCGACAAACAAGTTCGACGTCCGCATCCCCCGCCAGTACCTCAAGCTCGGCGGCCAATCCGTGCGCATCCGCCAGGTGGGCGACGCCCACGGCTGCCGGAAGACGTACGACGCCGGCGGCCCATCCGTGCAGGTCCAACTCTACGACGCGCCGACCATCTACGAGCTCGAGGGCAGGCAGGACTACTGCGTGGGCGAGCGCATCGGCTACACGCTGTCGGGCACGCCGCCGTTCGAGGTCATGTACACCTTCGACGGCTCGCAGCGCAAGGCCAAGTCGCCGACGACGAGCTTCCGGCGGCTGGCCGAGCACCCCGGCACGTTCGCGATCACGTCGATCAGCGACCGGGCGTCGGAGTGCAACTCGAACGTCAACATCACCAAGGTGATCCACCCGATCCCGACGGTCAAGATCTCCAAGGGGCGGACGTCGCGGGCGTCGATCCACGAGGGCGGGGTGGTGGACATCCTGTTCGAGTTCACTGGCTCCCCGCCGTTCGAGTTTGTGTACACGCGCAGCACCAACGCGCGCAAGGGCCAGCGCAGCCAGGTCCTCGAGACGCGGTCCGACAACAGCTATGACTTCTCCAAGGTCGTCAAGGCGAGCCAGGAGGGCACGTATGAGGTTATTTCTATCCGGGACCAGCACTGTTCGTTCCAGACTGCGCAGGTCCACGGGGAGACTGGGGATAAGCGGCTGCAGTATTGAGGCGTGTCGGCCCGTGGGATGGGGGTGTAGAGGTTGGCGGGGGATGGGGGGAATTTTGAGAGCGGAGAGGGGAAGGAGGCGGTGGAAAAATGGATTTATCGTAAATACCCAGGCAGTCAGTCGGTCAGTCAGTGTTGGGTGGAGCTTAGATGGGCCACGGTTTGTTCGGCTGGGGTTGCATGAGCATGGCGTTTTTTTCTCTCTTATGTTGTGAGGCATTTCTTGTGCCATGAAAAAATGAATGGAACTACACGTTTGATGCAGAAAGCATTGCCGTCTGTGATACGGAATCGTGCTGGTGCCAGACTGTGAGGGGATAAGTGTGAGTGGTTTTGTTCTGAGGGTGGTGTCGTTTTTGGTTCATATACATCCCAATGGCATAGAATTACATTCCATTTAGACTTGTTTACTATAGATGTTCCTTTTTTTATAAAAGAGAGGCTATTCTCTGGTGTTTTTGGGCATTGCTCTGGAACCTCCTTCGTCTCTTCTCCTTGGTTGTGCTCTAGCTGGTTGTGTTGGTTTGTTGATGAAGGAACGATATTGTGCTTATTACTGACTACCTACTTAAGTAGGTACCTGGGTAGGTGGTGTAGTGTGAACCTTAGTAAACCGTTGATCTGCTTTTGAACTGCTTCATGATTTTAGACCGTTTGAAAGAATAAACGGTCATATTCCCCCTTACTTGCGTGCGTGCGCGGTCGACTGGTTCCAGCGGTAGTTGAGTGGGCTGAGGTGCGCCAGACCCCTGCAGGCCCTGTTCCACCTAGCACCAGCCCCCATAGAAAATCGACGTGACGTCCATTCTTCCAACAGATTCGCATCCATCTCAGAACGCTCGTGGCACATCGCAGTCAGTTGTTGCCATGTTTGCTCTTAAACGACCAGCCGTGGCTGGAAGATCCTTTTTGAGTGTTATCTGGACTGGTAAAAGGTCAATTCCTGGTCTTGTTGCTGTTGATAGATCCTTTCTGGGTCCTCACGCATCCTCCACCTTGAATCACGCGCGTCCGTTTTCATCAGGCAAAGCAAGGATGGCGCCGCTTCTTGCACAAAACTTCCCCTCCAGCGGCTTTGAGGTTATAGACCCGTCTGTCAAAATTGAAGAAGAAACCCTGTCGTTCTACGATTCGCGCATGTTTTATCCGGTGCGAGTGGGTGAGGTCTTCCGGGAGCGCTATCAAGTTGTCGCCAAGCTAGGCTACGGCGCACATTCTACAATCTGGTTGTGCCGCGACCTTCAGTAGGCTAAGTTCTATTTTCTTCTTAGACGAGCTTCTGTTTCTCATTTCTAACATTCCCTGCTCCGAAGTGATGACCTCTACCGGGCTCTGAAGGTGCATATAAATACGCTTCAGTATAACCGCGAGCTTGAAATATACCAACACCTCAATAGCCCAGCCTTGCAGCAATCGGACCATGGCGGCAAAGACCATCTTCGAGAACTCTACGACTATTTCAGAATTGAGGGACCGCATGGAACCCACGACGTCTTTGTAATGCGCCCCTTGGGGGCCGCCATTAGGGACCTTCAGCAACTCGTGCCGGACCGCGTCTTTGATTACCTAGCCGTGCCCGATATGCTTCTTCAAATCCTTCCTACCATTCATTTTCTGCATACAGAGGCGAAAATCACTCACTCGGGTTTGTCATTCCAATATCATCCATATCTATCGCTCTTGCTTTTCCCTCTCTTTTCTTTTTTGGAAGAAAAGAAAGACGAAAGACGATGGAAATAAAAGTACAGTGTAATATGGTTCAATAGGCATGTGCTGATATGATCCCAGACATCCACACCGGTAACTTGCTTCAGGGCGTCAAGGACGAGCAGCTATTTGCAGAAATCGAGGCGGACGAGCTCAGCGGAACCCCTTGCCCTCGCAAAGCCGGAGACAGGACTATCTATACCTCCCGATCCTTCCACGAAGTAGTGGGCCGCCTCTATCTTTGCGACCTCGGAAACGCCCTTTTTGCCGGTGAAGATGTGAGGCCGGCCATGCCCGTACAATATCGCGCACCCGAGGTCATCCTTGGTATGGAATGGGGCCATGCTATCGACATGTGGAGCGTTGGTATGATGGTATGTGACGGTATCCGCCGCTTCAGTATTCGACAGTCACGGGCAAGTCTAACTTGACTGTTTGTGCAGGCATGGGATATGATGCAGCCTGCGGACCTGTTCAAAATTTACGATCCGGAGGACGAGTTTCTGAACAATGCACACCATCTTGCTGCAATGATTGCGCTTCTTGGTCCACCACCACGTGAGTTCCTGGATCGCAGCCAGGAATCCTTAAAGTACTGGGATGAAAACGGTCAGTATCCCTCCCCCCCAAATTGGTCAATTCGCAGCTAATGAGGACTCTGTTTTCATGTAAAGGTAACTGGAGGGATATCGTGCCTATACCAACCAGCAGGACATTTGAGTTCCTCGCGACGAAGCCAGAGGATGGAGAGGAGAGGGAATTGTTCCTCAACTTCATCTCGGCACTACTGTGGTGGGTTCCAGAGGAGCGACTTGATTCATTTCAGGTGTTCTCCCACCTGTGGATACATCGCGCCATGCAAAATATTCAGCAAGCTGAGGGTGATGGATCTAGCCAGGGCGGAACTGAACCACCCCCGCCTGGTAGTGGTTGATAAGAGCTTGGTATGGAACAGGATGGCAGTCACCGTCTTTGATAACGTGGAGCCAGACAGGATGAGCTCGCGCCTCCATTTGTATGGGTAAATCACCGAGTCACCACTGGCATTGCAGGCTCATCTATGAGTCACTCAGCGAAGGACTAAGAGGATGACCAGGCTGCTGGAAACAGTAGTAATTATAACATTAGAGACCGGATATTCGCACCCGCAAAAACAGAGGGTAATACACCCATACTAAGCAACTTAGAGATTAAAATACTCAGGTTGGCACCAAACCAGTTACTTTATAAGCTTGTCTTATAAGATATTATCCTAAAGGAGGTTATCCTAGAGGAGGTTATTCCATTAGAGGTTGTCCTATAGGACCTCAGGAGGTTGTCCTATGGGAGGTTATCTAATAGGAGGTTATCTCATAGGAGTTCATTCCTTGGGCTTGGGTGTACCCTCCATTTTTTCGGGTGCGAATATCCGATCTCTAACATTAAGAGTTCATTAATTTTCACCTTAAGTTGTTATTCTAGTCCGTGCAGCGAGACTTCAGGATATGGCACCGCTTGGGCAGTAGAGGTTAGCCAGGAGGCCGGTCCACCACGAGGTCCGGGACTCGGAGTGAGTGTAGACTTGCTCGAGTCCAACAGGGCGCATGGCCCGCATTACGTGCCCTAGTAGTATTTGTCCGTACCGATTGGCAAGATAGGTCTTCTTCCTCGTCGGCATCCATGAAGTCTTCCTGTCTCCTGAAGTCCACGACCTCCTTGAGCTTAGCAACTGTGCATTGTTCCTGAGGCACCGCCGTCTGTGATGCGGTTCATGCTGGTGCCTGTGAGGAAGACGAGCCTGTTTGTTGTCCCAAGGTGAGTGGGTAGGTGATGTACATGTCCGACCATGGCGCTATAATCTGTAGTAGGGAGAACGGACTTGTAGCTCCTGTGGTCCCCCATGCCTGCTCAGACGACTCGACACATTGATGGAAGGGGTTGCCAGTGCCCAGGTGCAGCTCGGGCCCTCTCAGCAAAGGTTGATCTCTTCCTCTGTGAGATCCCACTCTTCCCAATCGCGGCAGCCTTCCTCACCCATCATATTCGACTCATTGGGCCATATGACCGTCTTGCTTTCAACATAGACAGGGCCGACTACTTTGTAGTACCCAGGCTTTCCTCCTACTGGGCGAAGGATTGAAAGTGTCCCGCAGCCGTAGATGAGGGCGAAGCGATCACCTTCCTGTGTGATCGGTGGCGCTAAACCGTAGTATCCCCGGCTCAATAACACGAACCGTCGACGGCCTCTCATCCAAATGTGCTCAGCCAGTGTCTTGAGCGAGGGCTTCTCTGTTCCTGGTTCGCTTCGCTTTGAGACCGGGATGGCCGAGTCTGGCTCTGGTCCCGGTATGTATGATTGCAAAAGCTGCGCAAATGCTTGGCGCCAGGTTGACCACTCTTCGAAAGTCCCAACATAGTGATAGGGGCAAAGCACATCGAAGAAGGCAAAGGCTTGCCGCCCGTCGTATGGTCCCCCGTTCATGCTTGACGCCGCTACGACCTCCTTCCAGAGCGAAATCACGTTCTGAAGTGCCAGGCTTCTCTGGTCATATTCGCAATACGGCTCTTGTGTGGTAGAATATTCGACAGAGCCTAGAATCAAGCCGCGAACTCGGAGATTAGAGTTATTTTCTGTGAATGTGAATATTTTCGGGTGTTCACCCATATCTGTCGTGAGGGGATATGTGATTTTGGGATCCAGGTCCCAGCGTGGAACCCAGGAAGGGATCGCCTCGGCCACTGGCATGGTGGGACTGGCCAGACTTTCCTTGTTGTGCCTTATGTAGGAGAGAATATCCAGGTCTCCGGTCTTCTCTATGTACTTGACGGCAAAGTCGTGGTATATCTCCTGAAATGGTCGTTTATAGTCTGGCTCAAGCTGCAGATCCGCAAAGACCCTGTCGCTGTTGTCCAAGGCCATGAACGCGTAGATCCTGTCCCGTGGATCTGATAATTCGAGCCACCGCTCTTCGAACAGCATCTCCAGTGTTGATACTGAATCTGCAAATGTGATGTCTTTGTCGAACAAAGTGGCCTCCTCTGGGCGGCGACGAGCGAAACTGTTGGAATGATGCGATGGCAGAAGAAGTGGACTTTCTCCGTTCTGTGACTGGATCGCACGGTATCCTCTACGGCTGAACCAATAGTCTACTCTCAGAATATCAGTCCATTTCATTCGGACGGACGCCCATAGGACACAAGCATCATGCCCAAGTGATGCTTCCTGGAGCACCCACCCTCGCCGGAACCACGGGTGATCTAACATCACGTTCCATCCTAGCCGCCGGTGAGAATCAACTACAATTGTATCATTTTTTGTTGGAAAAGGGAAACTTCCTGGCTTGCTTAAGAAATTGGGATCTTTTCGAACATTTTGAATCATGAGGTTCACCTCGTCGACCAAGCCAGCAGCTTGCTGGGCATGTTCTTGGCCTTTCATGCCCAGACATATCAGTGTTCGTTGCGACGCCGTGTATATTCTGCCCATCGCAGCAACCTGGTGCCCCTTTTCGGTGTCGTCCGACTGGTTGATGCAAATTCCGTCGGCCCATAGCCGCCGGGGTCGATCGGGTAGCCGGGTCTGCAGGAGCGCACGTCGCAAGCTGCGTGTGATTCGTAGCAGCTGCCCATCAATAATTATGACGCGGCTCTTTTTAGGCCGACCCCACACGTAGGAAATCGCTTCAAACTTGAAGGGCTCAGAATCGGCGTCGGCGATATCCAGTAGTTTTAGGCTTCCGGAAAGAGGGCATCGCTCGTCATCGTTGGGGCCGGGCTGCAGAACGAGTACTCTTGTGTGCTCACTGGTTGGCAGTGGAACAAGCTCGTATCGGTACGGTGCCATCACCGCGAGCTTCGATTGGCCGTTGTTGGGTTCAGGTTCTGCAGTCCCAGCCATCGTCAGGCTCTTCGATTGGCTTCGTTGAACGAAAAGAAAGGACTCAAGGCAACTCAGGTAAGACTCTTAGTAGAGGCCTGAGCGAGTTCAGAGAGTGCGACGACAAAGAGTGAAGCTGGCTTTCCGGAATGCTGCCCAGGTGTGGAATAAAGGGAGACATAAAAGTGCTCCACCCCGCTCGAGAGCGAGGAGAATTGAGAGCACAGCAGGTACTTATCACTGCTGAGAAGATTCCAACGGAGTGCTGCAACGTGTACGTGCCTAAGCCTTCTTCAACATGGTGGGTGACACAAAGTGTAAATACTTACTAAGTAGGTAAGTAGATTTAATGCAGGTCAGACTTCCCCTCTCTTAACGTCTCGTTTCGTGAGATTTCTCAGCCTGTCTAGAGACACTTTTGCCACCAAGTGCATCGAGGCACTTATAAAATCTCGCGCCTATAATATACTTTGCTCTTGCAGGTCATATAATCTCGATCACTCCCGAGCCGCCACTCATACTTGAAGTCGTGCTGTGCCTCCGTCTTACGCCGAAGAACTTGCCGCCCGACCTGCCCCCCTCTTTTCTCTTGGACTTTCCGCCCCCACCCCCGGGCGCTTGTGAGTTGGCATCTTCCCTCAGAGATGATTCGTCTATATGACTCCTGGGGAACACCCCGAACTTGCCCTTCGAAGTCGACCCGCTCCAGCACCACGCCTCCTTGCCGGCCTCGGCAGGCCACCCGACGTTGACAAGCTTCTCCCCCTTGTCGAAGCCAAGCCAGCCCTCCCTGGCAGCTGCGCCAGGATCCCACTTCCACTTCGCCACAGCAGTCACACCACTCCCACCCACCCCGTGTGGCAGGGGCGGTGCGTCGAGTCTGCCTGGCATGGGCTTTTCCAGCTCGACGATCTTGGCCGGGAAATATCCCCACACCCCGTCGTGCCACCCCGTACACCACTTACCTGCATATTTACCGGGGAACTCAACACCAATGACCCGCGAGCCCTCAAAGAACTGCAGCAGGCTGTCAGGGCCCTTCCCGTCCGGCCGGGGCAGCTTCTTCTCCCCATACCGCTGCACATGGCCCTTCACAGCCGTCGCAACAGGCAGCCTCGCAACCTCAGCCTCCACCTCGGGCGGGACGCCCCCGCGCTGCGGCGGCTCAGTAAGCCACACGTCAAAGTCATTAACCCGCGGGTCCGCAGCGAGCACCTCCCTCCCATACAGCACAGTCAACCCAGGGACGTCAGGCAGCGGCTGCGGGTGCGAGGCCACGTGGCGGAGCAGCTCGTCGGCGCCGCGGAAGACGGTGGCGTCGCCCTCGCGGACGACCCGCCCGGACTGCGCGCAGAACAGGCACCCGTAGAAGGCCTCGCCGGGCCGGGGCGCGCCCAGGTGCGACTTGTACAGCAGCCGGATGCGGAAGAGGAGCCCGCCGCCGCGCGGGAACGTCGCGCGCGGCATGCGCTCGCGCACGTCGAGCTCCAGCTCCGACCACGCGTGCCCGTACGAGCAGGCCTCGCACCGCGCCGTCGCCGCCGAGTGGCCCGCCACGTGGCCTGCCACGCGGCGCACGCCGTCCCCGTGGCCCGAGGCGCGGAAGGCCTGCGCGCCGGGGCAGAAGCCCCCTAGGAGGTGGAGGCTGCTGCGCTGGCCGATGGCCGTGTCTGGCTCGCGGGGCTGGGGGGTGGTGGTGGGGGAGGTTGCGGAGAAGTTTGTGGTCGAGGCGTGGTCTGAGATGGAGAGGACGGTGCGGGTGGCCCAGTCCTCTGGGGCTGGGTGGGCTGGTGTTGGTAGCGGTACCGGCACTGCTGCTTCTGGGAGGCGGGTGTGGTGGCCTTCTGGGGGCTCGAGGGCGGCTGGTGGGAGGGATATGGGCGAGAAGGAGCCCTTGGGGGGCTGGTGGGTCGTGTCTGCTGGCGTGATGGGCGTCCAGCCGCCGTTGCTGGTGCCGGGCCTCATGATGTGGGTTGAGCCGGTCCGGAGGGACGACATGCTCGTGGCGTGGCTCAGCGTCGTGCTTCGTGATGTCTCCGGGCTGTCGGGGCCGGACCCACCTCCCGGCGACGACGACGGGTCCACGCCGAACCTGCTCAGCTCCGAGATGATGGGCGTCAGCGCCGTGTCGAAGTTGATGAACGAGTGGCCCGCCCTCGCCCGGGGCACGGGCATGCTGCTGCTGCTGCCCGCCGCCACGGCCTGGTCCTCCGGGATGGCCGTCTGCTGGAGGCTCTGGATCGCCTGTAGCGAGTGTGGCTCGTACCGCGAGGGCGGCCGGTGTCCGTGATACCTTGGGTTGGGTGAGCCTGCCTGGTCGCTCACCCAGGCTGTCGTCCTTATGCCGGTGTGTGGTTGCGGCACGGGGAAATCGGGTATCTCGGATATGCTGCTGGCATCTGTCGCCGAAAGGCTGGGCTGACGTGAGAGGGTTGAGTTCTGGGGCGTCGGGGGGCCATGTATTCCCAGGCTCGACGATTCTCTGCTCTCTGGCCGGTCAGCCGTGTTGTAGTGTGTGATCTGAGGGACAGGAGGCGCCTCGCTGTCGGGCGTGTATGCCGGTGGAGGAAGTGATCCGACGCTGTAGGCGCTCGATGCCCGTGAGTGTACAGTGCTATTGCTCTTCAGGCTACGCTGTGAGCCCGTGTTCAGGCCGACCAGATCCCGCTTGCCAGGCGGGAGCCTCGTACGGGGTGCTGGGAGTGTCGCCTCGGATAGATCAGGCGGAGGAACAGGCGTGCTCTGTGCGATGCGATCCGGAGAGGACGCCCCTGGTGGCAGCGGAGGGGGCGATCCCAGTGCCCCTGTGCGGCCTCCTTTCCTTCCCGGGGGCGTTGGCGGCCTTGGAGACCGTGCCCCGTTCACTATCCGTGATGGGCTCTTCAGGGGCAGAGGAGGGAGGGGAGGAAGGGGTGGGAACTTGGAGGGCGAGGGTGGTGAGTAGGGCGGAGTGATGGCGGTGTCGAGCTTCAGCTTCTTGATGACATCGATCACGTCCATGGCGAGCGACTTTGTGGCCGCCTGCAGCTCGGCGAAACGCTCATGCACGAACGTGTCCGGCTCCGCGTAGTCCTCAAAGTCATAGAGGAGATGCTCCAGCTTGCGCCGCCTCTTTTCTATCGCGGCATCCTGGCCCATGCTCTCCTTGAACGCGTCGCCGTACTTGTCGACCTGGCTGTCCCAGAGGGGCTGCAACCTCTTCAGGGCCCGCTCGCCCTCCTTGACGACAGCCACCCCGGCCTTGCCCATGACCTGTGAGAGCTCGGCATCCTGGTCTGCAGCCCTCTCCGCGTTGGCCACGGCCTCCTTTCCTCGCTCGACCACCTCGTGGAAAGGGTTGAGGATCAATTCCTCGGCGTCAATGCCCATCTCTCCACGTCAAAATAGAAATAGCCACTCCCGAAGGGGTCTGTTCGCTGCTCACTGACCTCGGCCCACGGGCCGCGAAAGGTGGTGTTGAGGGGCCGGGGCGGAGCGGGACAAGATGGATCCAAAGTCTTGGAGATCGGTCGAGTCGGGGACCGTGCCGGGTTCGATCTCGAACACCGTGACAATCACGGTGGGAAGTGATGCTTGCTGCACCACTAATATAAATAGTCCGGACGATTCACTCTGGTCCCCCACTGCATATCACCTTGAATATATCAGCTGATAATAACAAAAACGGAGGAACACGAAAAAAAAAGAAAAGTAACAGAATGCCGGGCTCCTCGGCCTACAAAAGAGGAAAAGGGCAAAGAGGGACGAGGAAACCCGTTGGTTAGATGAGGAGACTCGGTGTCCATTAGGCCCTGGCGGCATGCATCTGGCTCCCCTGGGCCCGGAGAGGACCCCTGGCCACCGACATGGTCCAAAATTTCTCCCAAAAGCTTACCATCCTGCCGTCCAGGCACGAGTGACGAGGTCTGCCAGCCAGCCAGGCCAGCCAAGCCCAGCCCGAGCCGGGCGCCACCCTGTCGCAGGATCCACCTCGCAGCGTACCATCGATCACAAAAGGCGTGCGCGGGACACGCCCATTGGAGCGGACCCCCAAGAACTGGCTCGGTCGGCCAATTCGGCCCCAGGTGGCCCCCCCCAAGCTCTACATGCCCGTCCTGCGTGCTAACTAGGCCGTACTTTGACTTTCCGGCCGCCGCCAATCTGCGTTGTCCTCCACTCGAATCTTACTCGCCCACACGCATGTTTAGTAGGAGACGCGGGCTGGGAAGAGATGATGACGAGAGGCAGGCGGGCTCGTTATTCGGTGGATGTGTGATGTGACTTGACTTTGGGCCAGGTTGCCCAATAGGGCGTCGTGAGTTGGTCCCTCTCTCCCTTTCCCCCCCCGGAATACGATTTCACGGCTGGCCGGTTGGTGAAACCGCTGTGTGACAGGCATTCCGGATGCGCGTCTTATCACACCAGCCGCTTCACATCCGCGTCCCTAGGGCGGAGGGGTGATTATGCGCCGGGCGTGGGTTCCGCGTCCGATAGTTAGCCCGCCGTGTGTGGGGGTGGTGTGAGTGAGTGAGTGAGGGAGTGAGTGTTTGTGAGCGTGGCGTCTCTAAACAGTTCATCAACTAACATCCTTCTAGACCACCACGATCCCCCGGGGCCCACCCCCGTCCAATTTGAAACTACGCCGCCAAATTACCCTCCGTAGTCCAGTCCCGCATTTGTTTCCATCTTGTCACGGCACCAGTTCATCCGATACTTGTTGATGATGATCGGGCGGGCCAGATTTTCTCATCGTTTGAGATACCAAGGTTTGCATTGGGCTGCCAGCTGGCGGGGCGGGAGTGCTAAGCCTTGATAAGGGCCGGGATGTCCATGCTTGTGGCTCAGGCGCGCCGGCTCGACTGAAGCACGAGCCTGAGGGACGGCCCGGCCAGTACCAAACAGACGTGGCGGAGATAAGAGCCACTGACACCACGGCAAATAGCCTTGCATTTTGGTTGTTCAAGGCGCAGCGGCGATAGATTTGAAGAGAGACTTCTGACATGTCTTTTGCCTCTTGGGCGATCTGACCATTTGGGCCTACCATGCACCAGGGCCTGGAGAACCTGGTACACTCTTTAAACATGGTATTTGAATGTGACCACGGAAAGGTTATACTTGATTCGAGCCAGACTCTCATACGCAAGGCACCTGCCCGAGTGCTCCGCTCGTTAATTTCCTTCACCGCGGCAGCTTGACAAGTCAACTCGGAAATGGGCAAATAGCTAACTTAGTGCATTTGTGAAATGAGCTCCGAACTAAGTAGCGGTTAAGACTGAAAGAGACTGTCCATCCTCTGTATGGCCTTCATGGCGACCTCCCCCATGCTTGCAGGCGATGACACGTTATCCGGATGATGACAGAGTTTTGGGTTGACTGCCTCGTGAGATTTTCTCAAGTTGAACAATCAAATGTCAAGTATACTATCAACGTAAGGCTGAGGCCACAAGCACCTATCGTATTATAACTATCCTTATCGACATCGTGTCCTTTCAAGCGCTGGGTCTTGAGCTCTTACCACCGTATAAAGGCGCCATGTATGTCCTCGGACGTATACGGAATAGAAGCGAAACCACATACTATCAACGTCACCGGGATGGCCGTTGTAGTCGGGGAACGTGGCCTGGAACGGGGAAGCAAAAGTTTTCGTGTCGTCAACCTGTCCTCCTTGGTCAACAAAATAACGATCTGGGTGACTGAAAATGGAGAACGTTAGAAATACACGGTTGAAATACCGCCCGTCGATTTCGAACGTTGCATGGTTGGCTGTCAGTGTGACGAAATGTCCTGTGCCATTTCACCACATCAAGAGCGTCATAAAAGAGTTTCATTGGCCCGTTTCTTCTGGTTTTCCCTTTGTTATCATATGTGTGGCCAGGCGTGTTGTGTGGTTCGCCAAACCAACGAACAATTGGCCATTGTTCGGCGCTTTGAGTGGCCAGAACACACAACCTGAGGCTTATGCCTAGATCAGATGAAAGCTACCAGTCACAGTTTGCAGGTGCAGGTGTGGTTTACTAATGGAAGACATTGAGCCTTTCCAACACGTGTCGAACCAAACGGCCAGCAGGGGTCATATAAAGCCAAAACCTGAGTCCATCGTCTTTGCACAAATATCAGGGCTGCAACGTTACCACAATAATTGCCACCACACCAGCCATTTGATACAGCTGTGGAAGTCCGAGTGTGTTGAAGCAACCTGAATCAATAAACAGAATGGCGTCGTCGCCGGCGAGGAAGTCTCCCAGCGATACCGCGTCCACCCAGGACTTGGCCGATGCCTCGCCCAAACCACGCATCGCCTCGGGCACCCTGCCACCCCAGGCAGCCCAAGCCCCAGAGTTCATCCCAGGTGAGGCATACCAGCTTTTTATTCTTGGACCAGCTTGATGACGGCAAACAAGGTGACCGAAAGACGTCAGATGTCAGCTCCGAGAGAGAGGAGGCCGCCGAGAAGAAGAAGAGAAGCAGGACGCATAGGAAGCGCCCGAAGGCAGAGAGTGAGGCCGAAAAGCAGGCGCTGAAGAAGAGAGCGATGGACGAGGAGTGGTGGTCTGGGGATGATGTTTTTGTACCTGATATGCAGGGCAGCGAGGACGTTGTTTGGAGCGACGATCAGAACTGAGGGGTCGTCCATTCGGACATCGCAGCTTTGGAAGCCAATCAGTTGAAATCCAAGATTTTGTCCGCGTTTGAGAGCTTGCCAACGAGTTCCATTCAATTCTCGTTGAGTGAGTCCCAGCCCGTAAAATTTGGATGTTTGAAGTTACCTTGCCTTCGAGAACGCTTCTCCATGAGGCTGTGCATGGAGGCAAGGCAATTACATGGGCACAAGGAAGAGCCGATTGCTTTTATTGGGGAGAGACTCAAATTGCCGCGGATAAACAAGAGAAGTCGTACGTAACTGTCCTATCATCTACCTGGCTGCTCGGCTACTCGGTTCCAAAAATTCCGACCAAGAATTCCGACCTATGAAAGTGTGTTTGCATGACGTGTTGTCTGATCAAATCTCGAAGCGAACGGTGGCATTGGGATGTGTGACTCGACCTTGAGCTACATAAGAAATGAGCCGGGGTAAAAACAGGTTGCCCTAGAACCTTTCCAAGCGATGCATTATTTCTTCTTTCCCTCCCTCATAAGAGCCTGGAATTTCATGAACTTCTTGAAGTCGGCCTCGGTGATCTCACCTTCGTCCACGTCTCCAGTGTCCAGCTGAGCGGCACTTGCTTCACCCGCCGGCTTTGCATCGCCACCACCTTCATCCTCATCCTCGGTCTCCGAGTCATCACTACCCTCACTCTCTGAACTGGTCACAGGCGGGTTCGGGTTGCGCGAAGAAGACCCTTTAGGCGCTGGCTTAAGCGAGGACGGCCGCGTGTCATCAGCGTCCTGGTAGATGTCGTTTCGCCATTGGTCCCTCATAGCAATCTCGTCATCTCCACCCTGGAGAGTTCTCTTCAAGTAGCAATCAAATTCTTTTGATCCCTTGGCTACTGTCTCAAATTGTGCCTTCCCTAACACAGGTGTCGGCTGACCCGGACTGAGGTGGGCGGCCTCGTGCTCCACAAGGGCGATGGCTGTCTGGCAGGCGTTCCGTATTTGTCTGGTGTGTCGTCAGGACTAGGACCTCACTTGAAGAAAAGAGTAACCCAAAAGGACTTGGAAGAAACACTGACCTTCCATTCCAGGTGTTAAGACCATCTTTTCGAAGACGTTTGTAGTGACTCGAGGCAAACTTGAGAATCCCCTTCTCCTTGATCTTGAATTGCGTAACTCCAACTCGCTCCTGCTCGTCCCGAGCACGCTTTAAGAAGACCTGATACAACTTCAAGGTTGTCTCTAGATCGATCGGTGGGTAATACAAGCTCAATTGGATCCGAGATTTAAACGCTGGGTCGATGCTGCCCACACGGTTGGTTGTCAAGAATAGGATGCCGGCATAGTATTCCAGACTGCGCAAGAAGACACTGGTGACAGCGTTTCGTCTGAGGTCGGTCTTGTTCCGTTTCGCAAGGAAGACGTCTGCTTCATCGAGCAGGAGGACGCAACCCCATTTGTACGCCAGGTGGAAATTATGATGCAAGTTCTTCTCGACTTCCATGGCTGACTCTCCGATGTCTCCACAGGTGATGGGAAATAGCGGCCTCTTGGTCTTATCGGCGACGCACTCGGCCGTTGATGTCTTCCCAACCCCTGATGATGAATTAGTAAAAGCAAATGTGGCTAGAATAAGCACGGAACAATGATGATTACATCCTCACCTGGTTCGCCGTGTAAGAGAATTATCAGCCCGGCTCCTTTACCTTTCACCAAGTCTAGCGCGGGTCCAACCGAGTGATGACCTTGCCCGGGACCTGACCTCGCATTCTCATGAGTCTCGACGAGGGCTGCTATGGTCTTTTTATGTTCCGGAGAGAACATAAGCTCGTCGAAGTTGTTGCTGAAATGCACCTCTGAGAGGTCTTCAGTATTCAGCGTCACCCACTGGCGACTTCGCAACACAAAAGCATGAACCCACTGCGGGAGCAATATGAGATCCTCTTCCTTGATGTCTTCTTCGACAGGGCGGGGCCGGAGGAAATCAGCCACATTAATATTCGAGGGGCTCGCCCAAGAGTGATTCATGACCAAGTCTTTGAAGATAACGTCTGATCCACAATGACCCTCGGCCTCAATCGAGTGGTGGCAGAATGGCGGCATTATCGTCTCGCGCTCGTCGATCTGCGTAAAATCGTCGAGGGACACTTTGCTACGAAGCTGCCAATCGGGCTCCTGGTTCATTGCCAACGTGACGTCCACGATAACTTGAGCGTCTAGTTGTTGAGGTGGCTCGTCTCTTGTCTTGCCCCTGAGCATTTTGTGAGAAAACGGTTTGCGCGTTAGCTGCAAGTACCTCCGCCCCTGTTCCTCCAATCGCTTATAGCTAGCTTCATGCTCCTGGTCGAACTTGAGCGGGAAGATCTCCAGAGATGTGATTGCCTTACGGCCCGAATACTTTCGAATCAAGAACTTCTTCAACACTGGTACGTAGCTTGTCCCGTCGAAACACAAGCTGCAGCAGTCAACCGCAAATCCGCCCACGCTTTTACCTGGCTGTGGATTGTGTCTATCTTCCTCTGATGGAAGAAAACTTATCAGAGGGTCCCTTCCACCGGTGAAGTTGACCACACGATAGGCCTGAGTCTTAACATAGGGGCAAATGACCGTGTCCCCAATGTGAAACAGATGCCACAGGTCGCCGTACTCGATTTCAGTCGCCGTGCCATCTTTGATTGCGCCACGCAGGTCGAATGTCGGTTTCAGATGCACGTCAAGAAACTCCACCAGTAATTCCAGTTCTCGGAGTAGGTCCTCCCGCTCATATTCAACTGGACCCGGGGTAAGATGTCAGAAGGGCCACTCAGCAAAATGCCCTCCAGACAGTGCGGTTCTTAAAGATACCTTGGTACGAAATACTAGGGATGAAACTCACATCCTTCCACTACCCCTTTCTTAATCACACCTTCACTCACAACCTCAGGACGGGCAGGATCAATAAGTGTGTCGATATTCTGGACGCTCTCCCGAATTTCTTTTTCGTAAGCGATGAGGAATTTCCATGGCCTCAAGAATACGGATGCGGAACCACGACTGCGCTGCTGCTCTTCTAACATTGTCGGATTATCATGCCAGACCGATCGATTTAGAGTTTCCCTAGAAATCTTCTCAAGTATCTTAATTAGCGGACCGTAGCGTATCCGCAGCCTTTCTGCTGTCTGTTTATCTGTACGCCGACTGAAGCTGGTCGAATAATCGGTGGTGTGCTGTTCCGGACCAAGATTAGTTGGCGTGTCGTGCTCCGTAACAAGTATCTCAAAGGATGCGCGCTCAGTGTCTGGGATTTTCAACAACTCGGGTTTCAGCAGGAATTCGCTGCGTGAAGATGACTTGATGTATGACTTGTATGTCGGAGCTTGAGACCTCATTGTACTGAGCCGAAAGTCATCCGGCTTGTTGTGAAGCTCAGCCTCTAATTTCCGAATCTGGCGTTCCATCTCGGTGATTCTCATCTCTGTGAAAGCCAAGTGAATGATTGCCTGCCTCGATCGTCGCCTGATGTCGCCATTCCTTTTCTCTTCCTTCAAAAGTTTCGCCGCCGTGTGGTCCCATAGTATGGCTCGGGCCTAGATTCAGTACTCAGACATGTTTTTGAAGGCAAATGACTGTAACATAGAGTATTGATACGAACATTTGCTTCGGCTACATCGGAAGCTTCGTTTTTCAGTCCGTCTTCACCTTTGGCCGCCCCTTTCAACAGCTCCACGGGGGCAGCATCTTCGGTAATATCGATCCAACTTTCTTTATCTCGTTCCTTTGTAATTTCTGGCATTCCTCCAGGCACATTTCCGTCAGTCGAGGTCTTTTCGGGCCGAAGCAGAGGTGTACGATCGTCTGAAGGCGACATCTGACCAGGCCGCTCTAATACTGGCGACCCCATGTTGGGGACTTCAGGGCTCATAGGTGACAGGATGCAATTTGAGATCCGATTCTAGAATTTACAGAAAGTACTACGCTGTCAGTGGCAAATGAAGAGTTCTTCCAGTCTTGACGTTGGGGTGAATACCGGGACGCCGTCTTGGATCATGCCACAATGTGTATGGAGGAAAAGACTCAATCAGTCAAAAGAATCAGGAAGATCTTCTAGAGCCGCATAGTGCTCACCTGATCGCCCCCAATTGCCGGGCAGGGCACACTTGTGTGCCCAGACACAAGCGCGTATTCCCGGAGTTGTGGTATGACGATGCCAGTCTATTGGTGGTGGACCCAGGATTGTCTGCAAATATGCCGGTAAATGTAAGCCTCGCCTTTACATAGTCCCTGTATGCCTACCCTGGGGTAGCAAACATGGCGCAACCTCGCGCGACCCTGGGTAACATGATCAGCATGACAGGAAATGCACCTAAATCCACCAGTTGATGGGCCCAGGCCACTGGCCGTCACGAAAGGGCGCACATCACAGTCTACATCAAGACCTCGTGGTTTTTCTCGCCCACATTCGTTCTTGCTCATGAGCACCTACGGCCAAGAAAAATGGATGTGCAACAACAACTCGAACGAAATGAATACCTCATGTGCCGTCCTCGTGCCCCTTCCACCAATGCAGCAGTATTCACGGAGATGGACGGCCCTATGCGTACTACCCAAAGTGACCCCGCATCTGTGCACATTGAACGCCTCGAACGCTTTGATTCCGAGAAAGAATCCAGGAGGCAGCATCAGATCAGGTGAGGTCATTTTATGTGACAGGCTTGACCGCGTATCAAGAAAGCAAGACTGACATGTATTCCCCACCCAGTATTGAGATGTGGAAGGAAGCTGACGAGGAGATCACTCAATTATTTGTTTTGATGGCAGAGGTCCGCACGAAAATGGACAGAAAGAGTCCTAGCAACCACTCCCAGTCAACAAGTGTGAACTTGAAACAGTGCACATGGGATCAAGTAATGGGAGAAGTCCATTCACTGTCAGTTAGATGGTCCACGAACCCAAAGAAAGCATCTAAATCGGTGGTGTATTTGGAAAAGATTGGAAAGAATTCAGACGCGTTGAAAGCCTGGCTGGACTTGCTACCGGAAGGTGACTATGGCTCGAGGTATGCAGGCACTATATGCGCAACTGAACGAGGAACAAGGCTAATTCGTTACCTAGCATATGTGGTATTTTTACACTTGCAATTGGGGTGCGCTTAATTTAACACACACACTTGTTCTAAGGCAGAATCCACTGAACAAGGTGGCCTGTGCGGAAAAATAGCTGACTTTATCTAGGCTGTTGGCGCCTTCACCAAGGTAGAGACTATCATCCTCGAAACACTATCAGAGATACCAGAGGTCATGGATGATGCCAAACGGTACATCGAGATATACGGCATATATCGAGACCAGCGTCTTGAGAGAAAAACATTCGAGCTCTATCTGTCCATTCTCACGGCTCTGAAGCACATTATGCAGTTTTTCGCGGACAGCTCTTGGAGTAAGTCCCAGGTTGCACTCCCAGCAATAGTTCAACGCTCGTCTGAGTACTCACGAATCAATATCATTCATAGGCAAGGTATATCAACCCATACTAAAGCAGCAATCATACAAGAGCGATCTGATCGAGAGCTGCAATGATATCAGATTAAAAGCGAAGCGAGTCAAGAACGAAGCCCAGATCTGTATGCAGGAACGCAACGTCAATTTGAATGAAGCATTTCATCTACAGCAGGCTACTTTGGACGATTTGAACGAGAAAGCGGACCGGATCCTCGCTACTTCGAATATATACTATCAACTCATTCGCGAGCTCGAAATTCAGTTTCGTCACAGTTTAGAGCAGCCGGGCAAGCTCAATCCACCTCGATGCTAAGGAGTAAACACAAGCTAACATAGGCCAATTCAGGCTGCGCGGCCAAACATCCGCAAGTCGCTAAGGATAAGAGGCTTTCAGAATATGAACACAAGCGTAAGTGGGGGCTTCTCGTCACCATTGCTCGAGGTTTCATCCAATATGACTAATATTTAACTTTCCCAAGGCGATTTGGAACGGGCGAAAGACTTGCTAGAAGTATTGAGCTACGACCCCGACATCGTTCTTAGAGACACCATGACGTGTCTCCACCTCGGAGCGGCCTTGGAGGAGGCCGGGAAGGCTAGAGCGGCAGCTCTCATCAGGAATCCTATATTCAAGGCATTCCTGACGAAAAGCGCTTCATCCGGTACCCTGCTTATTAACGGAAACGAAGATATCTCCAATGCAGAAGGGGTCTCACCTCTCAGCCTTGTGGCAGCCAGGCTTGCCCAGATATCCGAGCACAACGAGACCACCCAAGGCCTTACCCTGAGATACTTTTGCGCCGAACACAGCCCCTACGGCAAGGTGTATTCAGACTGGTCCCCTGCAGAGTTCATGATGGCCAGTCTTACAGGCCAGCTCGTCAGTCACATGGTGAGCCGGTCTGTCGCGATCGACCTCTCCTTTTTGGGACATGGCGATTGTGATGTTCTCGGGAAGCTCAACCTTAAACTGATGTGCACCGCCTTCTTCAAACTTGTGAAGCAGCTGCCGTCGGGAACAGTCATCTTGTGCATCCTCGACGAGGCCGCCTTGTACGAGACAGATGTGTTGAATCGCAAAGTGGACACGGTTGTCAGGAGATTGGTCCGACTTGTAGAGGCGTGCGATGAGGTTGTCTTCAAGCTGTTGGTTACGTGCCGGGGGCGAGCTCTAGGCATTGGTCAATACTTCAAGATGAACACGTTGGATCTGGACGAGGAAGTCGAAGCAGACGACTCTTCGACCTGGCAGATTGCCAATATCGGGTCAAAGCCGTGATCAAAGGTTGCGTCTTTAGAGACAAGAGCTTGAACACAAGGCCATGTCTATGCTATATACATGAATATGGGAGAATATACAATGTGCATCCCTTAGCAGTACCCGTTTAGCAGATGCTGGTGGCATTTGTCCTGATTGCCAAAACCTGTGCGCCGACCACGGTATCGCCGTTGACGGGCGCCACCATGCCGCCAGCGGTAGTCACATACAAAACATTCGAGTCGCCCGACCTTCTCCCGAACCTGGCAGAAGCGGGCTCTGCGATGGCGGTCGAGTTCAGGTCCCCAGCCACGATGGCGACGTCTCCCCCAGGAGTGATCCTCTGGATGGTGTTCGACCCTCCCGTGGTTATGAAGACGTTCCCGTCGCAGTCGATGGCGAAGTCGTCCCACTGGTCCTGCGAGGAAAGGCTCTGCGCGATTGTCACTGCCTCGCCGGCGGGCGTGCCGTCCTCGGGGTTCAAGGGGATCTTCACGAGTGTGCCCTGCCCAACATTGGAGAAGTACAGCTCCGAATCCCGCACCCGCAGCCCGTCGGTCGCGGCGCTGCCGAAGCCGTACGTGACAGCGGGGGCCGTCTGGGCCACACTGTTGTCGATTGTCACGGCGGAAGCTCCCGTGTCGATATTCACGGCGTAGATCTCGCCCGTGCGGATGTCTCCGGTCATGAGGAACTTGTTGGCCCCGCCGGACAGCACGTCGATGCCGTTCAGGCAGGTTGCGGCCGGCACGTCCGCGAGCTTGGTGACCCTGGGCGGGCTGACGTCGAGGGAGGCGGAGTTGATGACGGCGCCGCCCATGTCGACGCTCCAGATGGACCACGAGCCCTTGGTGCACTCGCCCGTCGCGAAGGAGAAGTTCCCGGCGAGGACGGCGAACACGTCGTCCTCATATTCGGCGATGCCGGTGATGCCAAGGGCCTCTGGGAACTCATGGACGAGGACGGCCTCGCCCGGCACGTGCGGGTCGACCAGCCAGAGCTGTGGCGAGGTGAAGACGTCGAGGAGGATCTGGCCGTTGGTACGGACGGCCAGGTTCTCGACGTACGTGTTTTCCGGGAACTGGTAGATTGTTTGGATGCTCTCCGTGAGGCGGGTGCATGGTTTCACGGCCACTGCTGCGGTCCAGCCGGAGAGCATCGCCGTGGTGGCGACGAAGGAGTTGACCAGCATGTTGGACGAGGGGCCTCCAGGCGTTCTGACTTCCCGATGGCAATATCTGGAAATTTCTATGTACATTCTACTTCTCCAAGCACCGTGGGCTTCGGCTTCTTTTATAGTCCCAACAACTTTATAGTCCTTGCCGAAGATTTAACGAGATGCGGTACATAACTATACACAGTCCGAGGTTGGAAGACTCTTCTTACTCCACCCAGGGGCAAATCGCCATAGTCCACCCGCTCTTGAAACCTGCAGTAGAAAACCGGGGACATCCCTTTTACATCCATTTCCAAACGACCCCATCTGAGGCATATTGTCCTGATCCTCGTCACTGGGGCTATTCGGGCCATCTTCTGATTCGATTGTGGGGCGCAGGATGCCTCTAGCCCACGCAATGCCGCTAACTACGCGATGCGTTGCTATACCAAATCGGGGTTCAGGTAGCGAATGATGCAAGGCAAAGTCTGTTAGTGCCTCGTTGTACCGGCATGGTTCCGAGATGATAGATATCTCGGGCACCTGGGGGTTCGATCACAGGCCCCATGTGTTGTGGGCTTTAGTAGCCGTTGGGTAAAATGGGACAACACTTGAGCCGCAGACGTCCGTGAGTGGATTTTATAAGTCGAAGAAGAATGAGTGGCCCAGGATCTCGGTACCGCATTTCGGTACCTGCAAGTGAGATGGGTCCTCCTGTGGCGAGATCTTGCCGCGGCTCAGCCAGTCCCAAGCTCCACCCATGACGGCACAACGCCACAGGCGAATATAGCGCTGTGAGCGCTAGGAGAGAGAGAGAGAGAAAAGCCATACCGGGCAGAATTTTGTTCACAATACACAGTACAGCCGGATCAAACAACATGCGTTTCCTCGTGAGTCGCGACTCCAGTCTGTGCAGTCAACGACACAGGTCTAGTGTTGTCCACCTGAACATGGCAATCTTGGATGGAGCCTTGGAAAGGCCAGGTCGAATCGGACCGGGGACGGAGCGTTGCGCCACTGAAATGCCCATAATTTTTCTGAAAGATGCGTGTGTGTATCGTTGTAATTGGGATTTTTGCAGGTCTGGCATCCAGCCCTCCAGACTGGAAATTTCTCCTACCGGAACAAGCGAGCTCAGTTCGTCTGACCTCGGCCAATTTTATGTCGCCAGCTAATGAGCAGCATCAAGAGGTGTCTCCATCTCCTCCCGCCTCGCCTCCTCCCGGGATCCGCCAACAAGCGGCGCATCGGTGGGTTCTTCGCTTACCTAAATCCGAATCAGAACAGTTTGCCGTACCCAACAACGCACGGTAGACGATCCCGCAATTTGGTTCGTACCGACACTGTTTACTTTCCTGTATTGTGGCCCCCGACGCACCCACAACATATTCAATTGACTGTCATAGAATGGAGTGAATTATATTTACATCGCAACCACTTCAAAATGTACACATTGCAGAAGAAATTTTAGAACAGCACTACCGGACTGGGCAATCTGTCTGTCGAGCCCCAGACCCAGCAGCTTGCCCCACCACCCAGAACCCGCTGGCACGATGCACACCCGCGACACGAAACAGAGTGCTCACCACCTGTGGACGCCGAAGGTCCTGCGGGCTACCCAGGATCTCAATATCCTCAGGTACCTAACCTTGCAGAACCCCTCGTGCGGGCCAGGACGATACGGCAGAGGAGTTTCAGCCGGACCTCTCCTCATCGGACGACATCCACGTTCGTACCCGAGTTCACGCGGCGCCCGACGCATATTAAGACGCCGGATCTGGTGCGGGTCGGAGTGGAGGCGCACACCTGCATCAGGCGGAAGGCCCTCGGCACCTGACGGGCGGGTCACTACGCCATTTTGTGCTGACGGCGTGAGCGGCTGAAGTGGCGAGGAGATGACGCTGGCGTTGACACTGGACCCCGGGGGGGGGGGCATCACGGTCACGGCAGGCGAGCTGGCTGTGCGAGTGTGTTGGGATGCGGACACGACTGAGTATCAAGCTTCTCATCGGCATCGTATGTCGGCCGACACCAAGAGGATCCGAGATTTGAAGATGTGTAGTAGTCTTTTGTGTGACTAGTGGGATGGGCCCTTTCGAGGCAAATCTCAGCGGTCATCAGTTCTGGGATATAGAGATCATAAAGAAGCAGACTAGCAAAGACTTGATGAGCTCTATTTGATGGATATAGAAGCTGTGGCCTATCTTTATTCTTGAGCTAGCATCTCACACAAAGTTGTATCATTATCGTCCTGCCCCAGCTTAGTTCTCCCATTCCACTTCCATAAGGGATGACCCTATGAAAATTATGATATACGAGGGTAGTCTCTTGTAGGCGGTCCATCTAGGAAAATGTATATCCCATGGCTGCGGAGCGGACAGCCGAGTAGAGCCTTTAATAGCCAACAAGCAAGCGTTACTTAAACTCAGATGACTGACTCTGCACGCATGAAACGACTCGTCGACTTTTCTTCAGTGACATATAATCGTGGAACAGCACCCCCACTCTTCACCGCCCCATAACCAATGCAATCAGTCCACAAAACGCGGCAAGCGAAATATTCCGAAACGCCGCGGCCTCAGCATTGTTCTCTGTCGATGACGTGGCTGCCGAGACGAAGGAACCCGTCCCAGTCGCAGAATTACTCGCCTCTGACGAACGCGATGTTGCAGACGGAGCTGTCTCCGACGGACCCGATGACGCAGACGCAGACGTCTGAGCTGATGCGGAGGAGGTGGGTGTGACCACAGCCTGTATCTTCTCCAGGCCGGCCGTGATCGTCACCTGGCGCATAGCACCGATCAACTCTTGTTCATTGAGACTCCGAGTCGACTCAACAACCTTGATCGTGCCTGTATCTTCAGAAAGTGTCATGTCACAGAGGTACCACCCACTGGTAATGTTACAATGGGTATCCCAAGTGCTTGTGGGTAAGTTAGCTTTGAGTCTGGTCTGCTCGGAGGACATCGTGCCGGCGGAAAGCTCACACAAGAAGTACTTACGTGAATTCAGGAATGGTGTAGAGGCGCGCAAAGGTTGATGGGCCGTTGACGTAATGTCTGGTTATTATTGAGTTTTCTCCAGGGCTCGCGCACTCTCCAAGATCCCACAGCTATCCGGTGTCAGTCAGATCTGGGACGAAACTTCAAGCTCGGAACCTTCTTACCTCGTCGGTGCAGTCGGCGTCACGCACTGGCCTGACGAGGTACGTAGTAGCCTCTGGTGCGGCGGAAACCACGGATCCGGCGAAGATAACGCCGCGGTCCTCGTTGCTGTCAAGAAACAATTCCATGACCGACGTGGTCTGGGCCATCGTGCCGAGCGTCAGACCGGCGGCCAGCCAAAATGATTTGAGTTCCATGATGGGTGTTCGTAGTCTGTTAGGTACGAGGCTGAGTGATACTCTGTTAGCTATCTGCCCGAGTTGTAGACGTCAGTTGCTTGAGGAAAAGGGCAGTCGATTGTTGGAAGAGTCGCACAATCAAGAGAGAACTGGGAAGCTCAAAAGCTCATCGTTGAATTCCTCATGTCCACCGTTCGACCGAGTCTGGTCCTTGGCGCCAATCACGAAGGATTTTGTCAGTCCATTATGGCTTAGCCCTATGCACTTTGAAATTGGCCACCCGGGCAACAGGGAGCCATATCGGTCCACTTTATTAGGCACCCATCGCGGCTCAAGAGTTCATCACGTGGCATATGTCAGATAAAGGTTCCTGCTTCCAAGTTCTGAGCGCGACTGGATTTGAGCTCTCACGACGTCAAAGTTTGACCATGCCAAACGGAGGCCGGCTCAGCAGCTGTTACTGATCTGCACGGAATTAATCGTTGACTACTTGATTAGTTGTAGGGGATAACAAAGGCTGGCCCACTGGCGACCATGCCTCAGGTTTCCGGTGCTTGACTGCCATTCGGTAGAGGTTGTGCCAGACATCAAATGCCACATATTACCACATAGGTACGTTCGTTTAATATGTATCTGGTTTCGCTTCTATTTCGGATGCATCCGAAGATATACATGGTGCCTTCATACATAGTGCACGCCCAAGACCTAGCGGGGATTGGAAACAAAACTACCACCACCCCTGCGAAGAGGATGATTGCCCACACAACATGGCGCATAGGTCTCAACATTGCGCACCACCCGTGTGCACAGCAGAGAAACCGTATACACACTCTTCCCTGGAACTCGGTTTCCAGACATGACCATCAAATCGCCCCCAAGCTTGCAAAGGCTGGATCATCAGTCCATCAGTTGATCTCGCGGTCAGTTCTATTATCGAAGACCCACTATATAAATATGTACTCCTCCTGAACGGTCTGCGCCGCTTGTAGCGAGACTTTTCGGCAACTCGATTCCACTACTCCATACGCTTGTTTTGTGTGATAGCTTCTGATCATGGCGAATGTGGACATGAATTGTGCTGCGAGTGGAGGAAAAATGGACACGGTCTGGTGCTGGTTCCTCTAGAAGGGGCATCGGAATACTGCATTTTTTCACCCGCGTTGAGACCTTTCAGTGGGGGATACACAAGTATGAAGACAGTCTGTGGTCCCTGAAATGTTCAACTTATAACGACGGAAGATATAATAAAGCTACACTGTATAAGATGTAGAACTCAAGTTGAGGAGGATAAGCCACCTGGGCAGGAAGGGAACGTTACAGTAGTCAGCAAGGGTCGAAGAGGCACAGCGAGATCATCACCTACGTATTATACCGCAAGGGATCTTTGCACACCAGGCTAGTGTGATGGCTGTATGCAGTCAAAAAGCGCACACAGGACATATGAAAGGAGATCCAATATCCCATTACACCTGCTCAATCTCAATCCATTTTTGTGTGGTCTTCATCCATAACGACAGATCTCTTGTGGTTTTCCTGCAAGACAATCGAAGATATGCAAGAATTTGAGACATGCTAGGATTTGTCCGTGTGATAGCGGGGGCAAGAGAGTATGCGTGTCCACACCCGAAGGCCGGGAGCGGTGATGCCCATAACAATAAGCCCAGTGTGACCAGACCGTCTCGCCTTCCAAAGTTTAACATGCAGACCTGGGGATGTGTTCGGCGCAAGACCCGACGTTGTGAGCAGCCACGATGTAGAGCGAGTACGTATCCACGCATAAAAAAAATAACGCGGCTCAATCGGGATACACGAATGTGCATGATGACATCGCCCGATAATTGTGGGTCAAGAGTGTGCTCAGGAGCACAATATCGTTGACGACATGGTCTCGATTAGTTTTGCAAAAAGTATCGTTTTCCTGATCAGTCTGTTGTAAGTATGGCTTGAATCCGGCAATCATCAGGCCGAAAAAATAGTACACACCTTCTTGTCCATGGACGCCATTTTGTCTCACTTTCACCCTCGAGGCGATGCCTTTATTGCCGAACACGCCCACGGATACTTTCAAGAATCTTTTTTGGAGGTGTTGCCGGAATTCTGGCCACGGAGTGCAGCAAAAGGCCAGTCTCGCCCGCCATGGATGCGGTGTTCTGGTCTCGGCCATTTCGGGCCCAGGCGGAAGAGGCACGTCAAAGTGGTAGGAAGCGTAAAAATAGTCGGCCATGGGCGCTCGCGTTGCAACGGGCCAACCACCTGGAGGATCTCGGAGGCTTGCGGCGCAGTTTGGAGGGCGGGCGGTTGGCTCAATAGTTCACAGCACAGCAGGGGGCCGGGCTTTTGGGGCCAACGCACCTTTCGCATCCCACGCGCTTGTTGACCTGCGGACACCGAGTTTAATTTAGGCTCCCGAAGATTCCTCAGCTCCCGAACCATCCTCATTGTCCGTCCGGCCGCGCCAACACCTGCGCACGTAGCACGAGATGCATTTGGGCAGCTGAAAACTCAGCTTGCCCTCAATATTGACGTTCAACATAACTGCGCCCTCCCCCCCTCTCCCATCTCTGGGGCTTGACTGCAACCGCACCTCTCATGCTGTCTTTTCGAAGCTGACGGTCAGCCACACTCTATTCCTCGCCATCCGCCGTCAGCACAGGCGCACCCAGCGGAATCCGTGGTCAGCATCTGCACGCCTCAAGATATATCAAACATTAGCCCCGGCATTTCTCAACGACGAACTCACCCAAAGGCTTATCTTATTATTCGAAGAACATGTGGGCAGCGTCACATTCGAGATCGTCGTCGGTTCGTTCCTTCGAACAAGACGACCACGGAGGCCATCACAGAATGGCCAACGAACCCATCTTCTCCCACCGGTGCGCCGTGCCAGCACCGCTCCGGATTTCCCCAAAGCCCCCCTCCAGCAGCAGCAGCAGCAGCGATCCTGGTCGACCGCAGGCCAGCCCGGACCCGAGGGCGACCCCCTGCAACCTGCGCTCCAGGCTACCGGGCCAGCCAGTCTTCGACCCTGCCCCTGCCGAAGGATTCAAGCCCGACAGCCTGCGCGCGGCCAACAGCAAGTGCAGCTGCCCCAAGAGCCCTGCCTCGCCCATGCCGTCGCCGCTCTCGCCAAGGCTGCAGGGCAGCGCAGTGCCAGTGTTCCCCGGCGGCTTCAGCGCGAGCAGCAGCAGGCGCAGTAGCACCACCACCACCGCCAGCCGCGGTCCGTCCCTGGACTTTTCCTCGCTCTTCATGAGGTCCGAGACACTACGTCATGAGCTCGAGACTTGCGCATGCCACCAGGGCGATGCACCCAGGTCCGCCGTCGGTTGTCCTGTGTTGCCTGCTGCTGGGTCTGACCGGAGCTTTCGGAGGGACAGCGTAAGCTCAGGCTACACATCATGCTATTCGAATTAAAACACTTATCGGGACCGCTCGGGGAGTTCGGCGTTATGGGACGGATGCGATTTGTCTTTTTTCACCACTGTCATTTATGCGAAGCCTCCGATGAGAGGAGACCGCCCTGATGAAGGCGACGACAAAGAGGACGCAGAGGAATCTGCTGGCAGCGAGGATGAGAGGTCTGAAGACGATGCTCGACTGCTTAACCATGATGGTTATCATAGGACAAACAAGATACCCTAATTATGAAACTATCTGGCAGATCACGTTGGTCGTCCCAGGGGCGAAACTTACTCCATCATAACTACGCCATGTGAAGTTGGCTCATATTCAAACTGTGCTCGGCTCACAGACTACTGATGAAGGGGCTTTGCTGTATACTGGAAGATAGTTCCCGACCCACTCATCCCGAGTAATTATTGAGTAGTTGACCCTCGCCATCGCCTCCCTGCCTGACAGGAATTCTTCAAGCCTTTTTCAGGTATCGGCCATGTCCGTCCCACCAATATCCAGGGCCGAAGCTTTGCCAGACTCTCCATCGAAGCAATCATGCAGCTCGATTCTCTCCATGTTCTCGGTCCCGAGGTCCGACGAGTCCTTTGATGGGAGTTTCAACACATGTTCCGGGCAAAATTCCAAGGCGGGAATACCCGGTCCATCGATTCGGTTGGTCCATCTGCGACTCTCTGGGCTCATGACGGATATCATGCTGTTTGGGACACCAACACGCGCAACCAACAGACGCAATCATCCTGCCCCAACAGATTGGTTTCTTGAATTCCCTCCAGTGCCCTGAACCCTGGCGGGGACACACCAAGGCATTGCCCCTGATCCAGACGCAGACATCCCGGCCACTTTGTTATCCTTCTACTTGCCTCGTGGGTCTGTCCTCTTGATGGTGCTCAAATCCTTCAACAGTATTCAAATGCATCTTGACCAATGTAAATGACCTCCAAATACCGACGAACTTCATCAGGGGCCCTCCCCCATCTCGGTATGTTAGTTAAAGCCGCTCCTGTCATTTTTGTCAGCCGCAGGACTGTGGAACCGAAAGCAAGCAACCAACGTACGCTTCGAGGCCCTAGCTGTCAACTTGCGAGCTTTGAAACAGACAAGCATCATTGTTATCTCCGTAGCACCGAGAGCCCCGAAGGAACCCTTCACTACCCGAGTCGCCAGCCGGAATTCCTCGTAAGACAAATGATCTTCGACGCTCCAACGCTGACGGAGTTCCCCCACACGTTTGGTCCAGCTGTTGAAGCCGTCTTCTTCAGCAAAATCGGGATACAGCTGGTACAAACCAGAATCGATGAGTGACTGGAATGGAACGACACGACCTCGCCCAGAGATTTCGAGAGACCCTTGAGACAGGTACTCGCCATTGTAGAATTCCTGCCGATCGGTACGGAGGTTGAACAGCCTCTTTGCGTCATGGCCAGCAAAGTCAGTGTAGGCTTGAATTAGCGGTATGTCCCGGGCGAATTGCCCACGGGGAAACTTTTTCGTGTCGACAGCGCAGATGTATATAGAGTTTGGACCGATATTGTATGTATGCTGGCGCCAAATGGCATATTGAATGGCAAAGAGAAGCGAGGAGGTCCACGAAACAAAGTTGTCGGAAGTCTTCGCGTAGTGACATGGCTTGTCCAAATGCTGAAACAACAACTGCGCGGCCTCCCTTCCATTCAAACTCGAGATATCGACTCGTGAATTTGCATGTCCCTTCTTGCTAGCTTCCGAGGCGATGGTCATCCTGCTGTTCAGGCCCGAGCTCTTACTATCCATTACTCGAAAGAGGTAACGCGGTGTGTCTTCCAAGATGAAATAGCCTCTTTCAGAGCTATGAGGCATCTCCAGAGCCCAGGTGTCACGCTGTGGATTGAACAGAGTCGGACCAGATGGATCGTCATGCAAGATGTCGGTCCAGTATCTTGGCCAGGATCTCTTTGTCATCTCGGTTTCGTGGCACTTGCGAATAAACTTCCTTCTATGTGACTCAGCGTAGTCTTCGTCAATTTCAAGTCGAACAATGTGATCGTAGTACTGTTTGCTTTCGTAGTCCGGGTCGTATGGCCATTCAAGGGCCGCTGCTTCCCGCGGGGCAAAATAGTTTTCACCGTCCAGCTTTCCTCCGCGATTCGTTTCGTGAAAGCATTTCTCAATGACTCGAAGGAACATCTTGTCCGGTTCGATATCAGTGTCCAAGATGACCTCACAGGAAATCTCTTTGATCTTTTCCTCGAAATGTCTGATAAGCTTTTGGCAAAGCGCATTAGCTCTTCCAGTGAACAGGATCTTGGAAACAACCCAGTTTTCGAAGAGTCTTGTACACGCTGCACGAGTCTCATTAAGTTGTAGCTCCAGGCTTCGAAATTGGTGAAGAACCCTTTTAAGATCCATCAGCGCTTGAGTGGTGTCATGGTCCTGCAGGCGAGCCTCTTCTCCAGACACCAGCAACTGAACCGATTTCATCTGGGTTGAGACCCCTTCACACATCGTTTGGAGTGTCTTTAACACTGAATGGAGTTCATTGTGTTGGCTGTCGAGGTCCAAATTCTTCAAGGAGTCACTCAAAGAGTCCATGTTCACACCTGAGGTTGTATTTTGCTCGAAAAGATGTCGTTACTGTTTTGGTGTACGGATCAAGATTATTTCGTGAATGGGATTTCTTCAATAAGATCTGTTGCGGGGTATCAGTTCAATGTTGCTGCCCGACCAACTCAAAGTGTCACACTGCAGGTGGCTGTGCCAACTGCAGGGTAGCTGCATGTTTATGAACCCAAACTGCTTCGATTCGTCAGCCAAGTCTCAGGCTGTCGTTGGCATCTGGATCCCGGTCATGAATCTTGACCGGTGCTTTGACCCTACGTGCTGTCTAAGTGGAGGGCGATCAATGTTATGGTTGTTCACTTTTTTCTGCACGACTCGGCAGAGAAGAAAAATGTCTGCATGGATTAACACAACATCATATTTAGATATTTTCTTTAGCCAGGGAGCATTGAAGTAACACAGGCAAGTTCTAAATGAAAATTCGTTCAAGTAAATGCTCCATTACGAAGCCTCCGTGTGGTGCCACTGCCAATCTTCGTGTCTCAGCCTCATATGCCAGCCCAGGCGAGTCCCATCAAGTGTGAGCAAAGAGAGCTTTCGACCTTTTGTTTATTGTCATAGACACTCTTCAATAGTTCCAAGTTTTGTTTGAAGGGACTCGGTAAATTACTACTTGAGAACTCCAGGCTAGCGCATTTCCTACGGAGTCTTGGATGAATGTTTACAAGATAGGCTCTCAAACTTCGTAAAACTGCATCAGTCTCTTGAAATCCGGGTCATCCGCCAATTGTGAGGCAGTTAGACGATCCTCTGGAAGATGACAGAAAACCTTCGCGATGAGCGATAGGGCACAAGCCTTCTCAACTGCGCTGATGTCCGGTCGATGTTGATCAAGGAAGGCGCTAAATGTATTCGTCGGCTGCATCTCTCGATCCTGGTCGTACCATGAGCCTTCGATGGGCTGTCCGTATTCAGGAGCGTCCCACCGGCCCTTCCAATGCGCAGGAAGCGGGCCCAGGCGCTCGATGATGCTTTGCATTTTGTGGGCGGGATAGAGCCCAGGGAACAGCGGGTGGAAGCCTCCCGAGTAGAGGTACATAAATACGACCATGTAGCTCCATATGTCGCTGGAAAAGCTCGGTTCGAAACCGTGGAAAAGTTCAGGCGCGCAGAACTCAGGCGGTGACTGGAGTTTGACAGGTACCGCGGTGCCTGAATCGACGAGGATGCCGAAATCGCACAGATGGGCGTGGGAACCGACGAGACTGGCCGGAAAGGTAGCTGGCTCGACGAGCTCGCCAGGCTTGCTGGTTTCTACCCACATCCTTGCCTTCCTCGGGCGGCCTAGAAGCTTATATTGGTCATCAACCGTGAGGTTATGGAACTCGGGATCAATATCCCAAACAGTGTTGGCAAGTATAATGTCTGCGAGTGTTCTTTGTGTCAACGCTCGTCCATCATTGTCTATGAACATGTAATAGACTTCAGCTGGTATCCATGGATGCGCTCAAACATACCTCTATGCACAAAACCAGCACTATGGAGACTGATGACGGCTTGTAAAAGATCTTTCGCTGCCGACATATAGACAGCAATGGGTCTTTTGCTCTTCATAAGGTACGAACTCAAGTTCGGGCCGCGTAATGGGAGTACGAGCACATGATGCTCACCCTTGGATCCCTGAAGCATGAAAAAGTCCTGGCAGAGGACAAGGCGGGAGTGATCCTGAGCACGATCCAGAAGTTTTCTGTGTATTTGATGCTCCTGGGCAGCAGCGTCTGATGAGCTGAGCACCTTGAGAGCTACATTCTTGTGCTCCCTCAAGTCCCGCGCCAGCCAGACAACAGAGAAGCCGCCGCGGCCGAGCTTGTGGTCGATACGATAACGTCCATTGTGCAGGGTCTCACCGATGCAGATAGGATAGAAGTGGCCGCTTGCGTAAAGCCCTTGATCCTCGGAAGCGAACTCGACCTCGCCTTCGTCTTCAGAGTCCACGAATTCGCCATGATCTAGCTGATTCTTAAACGGGGGCGAGGTTGGTGATCTCGCGTCGACTGACGATGCCGTGCACGCTTCAGAGTCCATCGCAACCAGCCTGATATGTTGCTTCTCGAGATTGAACAAGGCCAGAAAGCATTTGCTGTTACGGGAATCGAGAAAGTGGATGACTTCTTAGGTGTATCCGGGTGTTGTCAAAGAGTAAGTCTACTCACTCAGACAGAGCAAAAGATGTAGTCCAATGCCTCAAAGGTGGGCGACGCCATCTCCACCCAGAAGACACTGTGATGGGCCTGTATCTACATTCACTGGATCCACGATTCACATATAATGGGGCCTCGTTGGTGGCTGGGCTGTCGGGTGAGTCATCCGGTTGACATTCACCGTGGGTGGCAGTGTTGAGTTGAGCCAACACTCAGGACAACCCCACCTTCTTCCAAGTCAATACCTGCGACACAATCGTCCGCGATGAAAGTGTTCTTCCGAGCCTTTATAGACACTCGTAGGCCGCGAGAAATCTTGTCATTCACTCACTTTCAACCTTCTAAATCGACCAGCATCGCCCAGCGTGGAGGAAACGCTCGGGGAACCCCTTTCAATCGAGCTTCGGGTCAAAATATGTGAGCACCTTGAATTCAGAATAAAACCTTTCAAAAGACCACAAGAGGATGGTGATTATGATTACTGCTTCGATCGTGTCGGTCTGGCAAGGGCAGCTCGCGTCAACAGAAACCTCATTGCCATAGCTAGCTACGTGGTCGTTTTACCACAGCTTGCGGATGAGTGTACGTGTCACCCACCGCTTAAAGTCCGACGAGAACGACAGGTGCCAGGTCGCACTTAGCGAAGGTTTGACGAGGCTGGGCTGGAATGTACGCAAGTGTACGGAGAAGGGATGGAACTCAGCTGATGACCTTTTCCAATACCAATGGGTGGCCCTGGAAAAGAGAATGCCCTAGAGGTTGGAGATGATACCGGTGGTAAATGAAGCTACTGTTGTCATGGAGCTATATCTGGCTGCTTGTTCCATACTGAATGCAACGAATAATTACAACATGAGCACGCAGCAGCCAATTTTTAACTCCCAGCTCCTGGTCCACCACGCGCAAGGCTCACACCGACCAGAACCACCAGCTAGACAACACGCCGCGCTTCCTAGCCTCCCGCGTCGTGGAGTCCGACCCGTTGGTGAGCAGTATAGCAAACGCCCACTCGGCAGTGGCGTTGTGGGGCTCCGTCAGGTTCGCCTTCATCCAGCAGCTGTGCTCGGTGCCGTTGTCCCCCTCGAGGTAGCCCCACCCGGCGCCGGTGCAGTTGGACTGCGAGGCGCAGGCGTCCATGCACGCGTCCATGCTCGTCACCTTGACGCTCCCCACGTCGACGGCCTGGTCGCCCGAGAAGTCGATGCCGCAGTACTGCTGGAACCGCTTCGAGTCCGTGTCGGCCGTGTACAGCGTGTTGTTGGACCCCGGGCAGGTGATGTTGGACGTGTCCGCCGTCGCCGAGGCCGAGGCCGAGGATGATGTTGACGTGGCCGTCGCGGATGGCCGGGCTGTCACGTATACTGTTGTTGCTGCTGCTGGCCTGGTTTTGCGATGTTAATGTTTCATGCATTCTCGACATGAGTTCTGACGGTCTGGCTGAGATCGGTGTCTGCACTCACGATTCTGTTGCCCTTGCGAGGTCGGCTTTTGCGTTGCGCAGATTCCTTTGGCTCACGCCGAGGCCGGCGCTCAGCCCGATGACCGCGGCGATGAGGAGGAGGAGCGCGGCCATCAGGGCGAAGCACGAGCTTCGTCTCGTCCCGGACGATGCCGGAGCTGTGGATGTGTGTGCGGGCTGCGTATACACTGCGCCCGGGGCCACGTGGTGGCTATAACCAGCGGGGTTGTGCCCATTGCTGTATGCAAATTGCTGTTGGTTGGGGTTGTATCCCATGTTCTGAGGCGGCACTCCCATGTTGTGACCCTTTTCGATGCCCTGTTGTGTTGGGTAATATTGCCCTTGGGGCTGCTGGTATTGTGAGTCCATCTTGAGCTTCGCTTTGCTTGGTGAGCACTGCTTGAGAAAACGCTGGTGTTCCCCTTCTGGATGAGGGCTCGGAGCTGGGCCGACGAAGGAAACCACGCGAAGATATTGAAACTACTACTCCTATGGGGTCGCCTCTACCCTTATCTCTTTCCATCGACTAGTAATGCAGCCCGACATCCTTGCGCATCCTATAACCAGACCTCTCAAACCTTGGTCCCGATGAAGGAATATAGTGAAATAGGTGGCTTTCGAGACATAGGCATAATCTGCAGCCCCCCGGCTAGCGCTTTCAGCTCGCGCCCAAGGATTAGACGCGAAACTCTGGATCAAGACAGTGGACAACCCCCTCTGAACCTTCGAGGCGCTCTGGTTGGTCCGGGAGGCGGCTGAGTAAGAAGCCTCTGTTCCAGGCAGCTGTTTAACAGAGCTGTTTTTAGCACCCGTGCTACTGTAAAGACTGCCGTGGTGGTATCGATGCACCACTGGCCACCCTTGTCAGGGCTACATCGGCCAGATCCTGCAGAGATAGCGGGAGCTAATGGGCAGTGGGGTCTCTCGATCGCTTGCAGCCGGACTGTGCCTCCGGGAAGGCTCTAGACTCTGGCAGGGCGATGGGATTCTGGGTTCTCTTCGACGATTTATCTACACGTTGATAATTGGTTGCGGAGTCGGCTGCGGCCATGGCGTTCGCATATCTGATTCTATGCTCAAAGCCGTGACACCAAGGAGCACGCCTAACCCATGCTCCGCCCCTCGGCCCGGCACGCGTCCCGTTGTCTGAAATTACATGCCTTCCACGCTGTGATCCTGGTTATGGCAGGGGAACGGAACAGCAAAAGCAGCCACGTCGGCCTCCACTCTCCTCCGTACCGAGCCCCTCAGAATTCAAAGTCGATACTCGTGAGGCCTTGCTGCTGACGCTTCCTCCGCCGAGGAGAGCTGTTCGAGTTGGAGAAGACACGGTGGGCTCATCAGTCACCACTCCTACAATCTCCTAGAATTGCCGTGGATTAGGGTAGCGATATGAGGTTGAGAGGGTTAATTTTCCCACTGCAAAACCTCTAATTGGTAACGATCTCGAAGCCAGGCTAGGGTAAAGTTTGCTACGCTAGGTTGCTCCATGGAACATCTGAAAGCCTCTGTTGCGATTCTAAAGGAGCCCCGGGCCGAATCCTCTTTGACTGCATCGTTGAAGGTTTATGGGATAGCGAAAAACAGTCAATGATACACTCAGGCTCTACTACACCAGCAAAGGGTTGTTGCACAATGACGGAGTACCTTTCTGCCATACACGAGCGCCCATGGGCAGTTCAGCCTAGGAGCCGCGGATGAGCCGGTATTGTCCATGAGCTGCTGCATGATATGATTCTGACAAGTTTCTAAAGGATATATACAGTTGCATAGTACTTGACTATGGAACTTGTCTTATGTACAAATGAAGCACTATAATTGATTGTGAAACCGCTTGTCTGTTTTCAGCCATGCATAGGCCTCGACCGGCCCCAAAGTTTATGAGCATGTCGCCACCGCGCCTCCCGGTGCCTTGTATGTTGTAGGATCGAAGCCGTTGTAGAAGTTGGGAATGTAGATGTTGCTGTCGGTAGCCTTGTAAGCGCCAGGCAGTGTGATCTTAGGGCTGCAGGTCGCCGAGTTTCCAGTGACGCGGAGCTGCATGCATCCGATGTAGAACTGAGCGCCGCCTTGTGTCTGCGCGGCGTGGAGTGCGAGCATTTCGCTGCGGAGCTGTACAACCACCAGTCAGTCAGTTTGCTTTCTCTTAGGACTAGCGACCAGGCATTTCGGGCGAGCTCCTGGGGGAATGCATACCAGGTAATCGCCACTCGCAAGCTTGGCGGGCAGCTTGAACTCATGCGTCATGTTCACCGCCATCATGATCTCGTTCGCCCACTTGCCGTTAACATAGTCCTGCTCATCAACCTTGACCCACGAGCCCACCCCGGTGGCCTGCGAGGCATCGGCGACGGGGCCGAACAGCATGTGCGTGATGGGGCCAGGGTGCGTGGACGAGTCCCACTGGACCTTGATGGTGTCGCCGGCCTTGGCGGCGATGGTGGTCACGCCCGAGGGGACCGTGTTGCCGCCGACATTGCATGTGATGTCGTTGCTGTTCACATCTGTGACTGGGCTGTTACTCGGAGCCTTGCGGATTCCGACCTCGTAGCCTGGGGAGACGCCGTTGACCCAGAACTGGTGGATATTCTGGTGTGCAGTGGCTGCTGCAGCCAGCGTGGAGACGAGAACGACTGGAAGATACATCTTGACGCGACTCGACTGTCAGGGTATTGGTTGTTTTGTCAGTTGCCGTGATCAGTCACTGAAAAGTATCTTGATTGTGATGACTTGATCAGCCAAGGCGAATCTACCCATATAAAAGTTCCGCGTCTTGTCTTATATACGACATGTTTCCTACAATCTCGATAATTCTATACTACCGGCTCCACGGGAAGGCCCAAGGCTCATCCAAGTCACTTGGAAGCCCAAGGTGGATGTGATCTGATCAATCCGAAAATGGAAAGCCTTGTACAAGAGATCTACACTTGCCGACTGGACGGAAAATCGAGGCCGCTCCACCAAGGCCGGGCCGTCATGCTCCGTTTTAATCTACTTGACGCCCATGAGCCTTTGCGCCTAGTCGATAAGTAGTCATTACCAGGCCACAGTATCATACCCTGAAAAGAGCTTCCGATGCAATTCAAGTTAAGTGTGGGCTGGGGGACGGACCTCGGGACATAGAAAGTCTCCAGTCATCCCTTTTGAGATTCAAGGAGCCAATTTCTCCCAGTGCCGAATGCAGCAGTGCCGGACATGGCCTTGGCATTTGATGCACGTGTTGTCGGTGGCATGCCCGTCCTCGTGCGCCATTCCAAGAATAAGAGGGCAAAAGACCCAGTCCTGCGTACTGCGTACCATATAGGAAGTGCAAGTGTATAGAAAGATTGTGTGTCAAATGAAGGATCAACGTCACCTAGACCGCCCGAGTCAACAGTGAGCTGCTTCTCCGAAGTGCTGGTGAACCAGGCTACTTAGTAGGTTATCCCACTATCAGATATCCCACCGTGTCCCCCAATCTTTGCCGCATGACAATCAATGTCCGATGAAGCACTATCATACAACAACGACTCACTGTCCACGGCAATCTCGGATAGCACTTCCGGGCATTTCGGTCGGTCCTCTCCTTACATCATCGCCCGCAAGGACAGGGCCGTGAAATTTCTGATGCTCAGGTCTCCACACCAACCCGTCCGGGATTCCGGCCAGACCCACCGGCAACTGCGTGAGAATGGAGATGATGTCCATGGGAGCGCAGGGTTTCCAACAAGGCCTGTTGGCCCAATGGCAAGGCGTCTGACTACGACTCGTGATCATCACGGGAATTCGACATCAGGAGATTGCAGGTTCGACCCCTGCACAGGTCATAATATCTCAAGGATGTTTCAACATCCTCTTTTGTCATTTTTGCTCACTCTGTTCTGGCCGCCAGAGCATGCGCATCACATGTTAACACATCTTGTTCGTGCTAATTTCTGCCAGCTGTCTTTGTTTTGTTTCACCTTTGATCACATCCGATCACTTGCTTTTTTAGGGGTTGTGTTGAAGGCTGCTCTTGGTCTGAAATTGCCTCTTGACATTTCTAATAATGTACTACACCCTTTTGATGAGTTATAGTCACAGTCTTGAAACCAAACATCACCCGTTACGCTACCGTCATAATCGAGAAACGGCAGGCTCCAATCGACGCTCATGAATCCGCTATGATGTCGGTGTCCTTCTCAATATCACTCGTCTTGTGCTCCGTCGCTATATGATCCACCAAGTCCTCAGGCGTCTCGCACAAGACAACCACCGGCGCAGAGTCCCCTCGCGGCCTCGCGCACAGCGCACATGCGTACTCGCCCAGCGGCGTGTGGCACTTGACCACAAACCTCGCAGGGATCCGGATCGTCAGCTTCTTGCCCGACCGCTCCGTCACCGCCACCACCTCCTTGCCCGTCCTGCTGCGGCCGCGGGACACCGCCGTATCCCCATTCCCTGCCGCCGCAGCTGGCGCCGGCGGCTCTTCCCTCTTTTTCTCGGGCGGCGGTCTCGATGACCTCGGCGGCCCGGGGCTCGGCGCACGCGGCGGTGCGGGCGCTGGCGGCAGCTTGCCTCTGATGTGGAAGTCGACGTCCCACATGTCGTCCGAGTCGACCGGTATCCGGTGCTTGCACGCCGGACACCGGCTCTCCCGGCCTGGGTCGAAGGAGCGGGATAGCGGCATCCCGGGCGAGCGTTGTAGGTCTGCGCTGTACCGGCAGAAGAAGTCTTTTGTATTTCTCATACTCGAGGATGACCGTGCGGGTGGCGGCGGCGCCTGCGATCTTGATCGCGGCGGGGGCAAGAGAGCTCTCGTTGGAGGGGGCCGCCGCGGCGAGGACCCGCGGGAGCTGAGCTCGATCACTTCGGCTTCTGTGATCGCGGGGACCCGTGGGGGTGGTGCGGACTGCAGCAGTCTCTGGTACTGGCCCTGCAATGCATCCAGGGACCCATTTCTTGCTGCTCTGGAGGCGTAGACCAGCTTGTCCACGCCGGCGCGGTCGATCTGTCGTCCGCTATAAAGTGCATCCTCGAGGACGCCAACTGAGAACTGGTCAACAGCTGTCACGCTATCGTTCGAATCAAGTGATGGTACGTGCAGAGCTAGGAATGGCCATTTGGTGGACCCAGGAGGCCTTGTTTAGATCCCCCCACGAGGAGGCTCATGGCACATCGCAAGTCGGAGCATATCACCTGCATGTCACTTACTAACGGTTTGTTGGAGCAGGATAATCTGCTTTTGCAGCTCATTCTCCGTAATCACTGTCAAGTCGTTAGCCAGAACATGTGCAGTGCGAGGTTCATCCTGTCTCCGTTGCATTGAGATGGCAGTGTTTCATCCCACACCGCAGATTGGGTTCGCTGCCGCATGAGAGATCAGCGCTGTCACTTACTATCGCCGACTGCAAACCGCCGGCCGAGTCTGTCATAACCGACCTCATATTCTTGTTTGATCAAAGGCCCGGAGGTAGTGAGATTTCTCTCGAGCTCGTCTGGCTTTTTCTGGTCATTCTTCCCGCCGGATTTCATCTGCTCGATCTGTTCCTTCAGCTTCTTGATCTCGCTGTCCTGGCCTTCATCTTTCTTCTTCTGCCCTCCAGTCAACCGTTCGTAAAGGTTGTGTGAGGCTGCAAAAGTTCCAACAAGCGTGGAGACAAGCGTTGCTACGATGAAGGTTTTCTAGTATGGTCAGCGACTTCGGAGATGCCCACAAAGCGCCCAGCTTTGCACTTCCTTCATCCTACTCGGCGACTCACTTTGAGGCTTGCCTCCTCGATCATATTTGCGTAATTCATATTGACCTTATCCGGCACCAGCACCGGCATTGCGCTGGGGACATCGCAGGAATCTTCATAGAGTGTTGAACGTGGTCTGGTCAGGTGTGGTGATACAGAAGCAAAGAGTAAAGTTGCAGCCCTGAAATTTGAGGGAAATTCTCAAACCACGCGAACGGATGATCTAAATCCGTACTTGGGAAAGTTTTGGGCTCTCCTGGAAGTTTGAGTCGGGCGACATGCCAAGCACTCCGAACGATAATGTCACGGGTTCAGCCGTGTTTAGAATTCACCTCTGCAGACCAGACACAGAGTATTCGGCGCCTCGCGAAGACGGACACTGTTCCGATATCGACGTTGGGTCCTCGGAACTGCGTGATGCCCAACCACCGCGCTACGAGCTTCTGTATTTTCGTTGCGTGATTTGAGCTTCTTGACCGAGCTGATAGGCGGAGTGCGGGGATATTCCTGGCTGACAAGATGACGTTTCACCGCACCCGGACTAGAAATCCGTACTCCGTACATACTCCGTGCTCTGTTACCCATTCACATTATTAGCCCGGCGCCGAGCCAGAGCCCCCAAGATGCTGACCTGATCAGAGCCTAACCACAAGAGTCGAAGCCGCCCCCAGACAGATCGCCGATGACCAGCCCAACACTTCGGGCGCTGATGCCAATTTCTCCCAAGGCCCGGGCCGATGTACAGCCATTAGCCGGGGTGCGGACCGTTGCATGTAACGCCATGCTGCCACCCAGAATAACATTCAAACCCGTCATGACTCAGTGCTGAGGTGCGTCGTCTAGAACGCGCTGTGCATCCCTGGAGATTATCTCTTGCTCGATCATGGATGATATCAGCTGACGAACCCACCACTGGCAGTCACGGATTTCCAGACGTACGCGGCCCTGCTCGGGAGACAGTCCGATTAGCAGGATTCGCCAAAAGTAATGCAGGAAACGAGTTTGGGGGTCCAAGTTTCTTGAGGGATTCAGATCGACATTGATCCAACGTACATCTTTCGAGGCGCCCCGGCCGAGGCTTCGTCCAGGCGCGTCGACTGACAGTGCCAGCCGTTCCAGCTGATTGCATGCCGTGGCATCTTTGCCATCTGGCACAGGCCTCTCGAATTCGATGAGGTTCTTTGCTATCGCCCCCAAATTGAGCACTTTCGGCGGTTTCTCTGGGTCCTCGCTGGGAATGTATCCCCTCTCGAACTCATGCGCGAAGCCGTTCAGAGGATCGCCTCGAACGTTGACCACAGTGCCACATGTCGGTCTTGCTTGGTCTGGTACGAAAACCGCCCAGTGTGCGTGGAACAACGGCGATGGCAGATAGCAGAGGAGGAAGATGTCGACCGTTCCAGCATCGATTGCTGGGGCCGATGATGTCGATTCGCAGTTGTGGTCTTGAGTGTCGGCCATGATGGATCGATCAAACACTTGGAATGTCTTGCGCAAAGAGTGAACCAGCTTCCAGCAAAATGTTGAAGACTCGCTCACTTGATAACGAGAACGCGTCTGCGGCTGCCTGAGAGCGTATTATCTCGCGTTGCTGTGCCACAAAAGGTCTGTTGCCTGGGACGCTCAGCCACAACTCCATGACTGGACCCACTTTTGACTCTCTGCTGCACCAAGCAACCAACAAAGACTCAACACCTCTCTCTCAAGCTGACTTTCATGTAGTCACCAAGAGCAAAAAGAACTCCCACGCCCGGAGTCGAACCGGGGTTACAGGCGAATGCATCTTATGGTGACAAGCCTGTGTGCTAAACCCCTACACTACGCGGGATTGCTTTGGTTGAAAGGGAGTTGGAAGCCTGGTACTAAGTAGGGGAGTGCTAGTGGTTGAGGGAGCCCTGAGAGGTCCAAAGATCGGATGAAAACTTGGCCCATGGGTGTGTGGTGCCTCATGATGACAGTGGCATACCTGACATACGCATCTCAGCCGTGAGTCACACCGTGCCCCTTGATAATTAGCATACATACTTTGTCTAGGCTTTCAATTAGGTGATTGACTTATTGGGGCTCACCCTGAAATTCCTTTTAAGTACCGTTACAAAGACTCGCAAACAACTTCAGGGTTGGACACCTTTGCTATTGTAGTCTCAGTACCCTGGCCGGGTGGGCTGAGCATCGGCATGCTGGGAAATGACTTGTATTGTTTGTACAGAGAAGTCAGGGACCTTAGATTAGACATGGCTCATACAGGGGAGTTTGTCTGATAACAATTTGCTACCTAGGTATGTATCGAGCTGGATCAGAGGCGATCTAGGCCGAGCTTGCTTTTGTCTTGGTGGATGAAGCATTTCTGTCCCCATATGGAATTTCGCCACTGCTGGATCTTTCCCACCATCAATTACTTCCCATTGCAATCCTAGGGTGCTGTCAAGAACCCAAAGACACCCAAATGCTTCTTTCTGCCACCCGCTGCGATCATGACCATGGAATCTGCCAAATTTCTTAGAGTACCAGAGAGTTCAGAGTGCCAGCCAGTGATTGACATTTTTTTTTTTTTTTTTTTTGAAGGGATACATAGCACAACTTAATCATTTTTAGACACTGCGTAGGTCTTTAGAGTTATGATGTTGGATGCAGCAAAGTCCACTGGCTGTACGATACGACAGCGGCGTAGTGCTGGGCAATCCGAGACTCCTAGAATTGCTGAACTTTTTCAGGTGGAAAATTGTTATACAAAAGCCTCTCGACTCTTTGTCAAGCAGTTGTTTCTGAAATTGATGGCACGAGTTAGAACAGGAACTACCAACAACGACGTCAGTCAGGGTTCATTCAGCTCATGCGGCCCTTCGTTTCGACGACTTCCTGCTGTCCGGTCCACTGACCACCAGAAATGGCCGTCAACTGGCTCAAGACCACCTGGGCGATTACAAAGTCAGAAGTAGACACCACATACCGGTACCCACCATGAAATCCCCGAGAGCACGCTCCCCATTGCCGTTGTCGCGCTTTGAGAAGATCGTTGGGATGCCACCAAGCCCAGGTGAGACTGTCGTCACGAGCACGGGACTCCACTATTGTGCATCTCTGTTGTCTGTAATCTCAGGCTTCCAACACTTACTATTCATAGTCAGGAACGCAGTCAATTTGCTCTGGTCGGTATGTCCAGCTCAGGCTCGTGATAAATGCCCAGCTAGCACGATCTCCTGTGCTTGTGCGAACAGAGAATTGGCATGATCCAGAAGCAGCTTGAACTCGGCATCTAGTCTCTCACCTGTGGCTTCTAGACTCATGATTCGCAAAGAAGTACACCAAGGTTGCATCCGCGAGTGGTGAGGGTCTGTCTGAGAGGTGGTTTTGGTTCTAATCCCCATACACATAAAAGGGTTGTAAAGATGCGGCGGAATTCATACACCCTGGACTAAAAGAATTGTTCACTTTAGTGAGTTCATTGTGGAAGAGTACTGTATTCTCTTTCCACTGTTATTGACACTGTATTTTTTTTTTAAAAAAAAATCCTGGGTCTTGAGCGTTTACCACTCTATGAAGGCACCACGTACATTTTATATGTATGGGGATTAAAAAGAAAACCACTTATTGTGGAAGAATACTGTGCAGGTAGGAAGGTAATCGGCCCTTTGCATTCGATCGACTCACTCAAACCTGATATTCAGTTTTCTTTGTGCGGAGAGGAACTGTCGTAACCGCAGGTCGTTCAACCAAACATTCTGTAACCCCATTGAGGATCAAACGAATACATCCATTGACACGGAGTAAGTGTCAGGAGGGTAAGAAAAGACGCTCTTTCTAAACGCTAAATACATAGGAAATTACAGCTAGCTCAGATCTCTGTACCCAGTCTTCAAGATCATTTGAACGACTCAATGGCAGACTCGCAGTATGCCCAGAACTTCTTAGACAGCGCCGTACCATCCTGATCTTTCGACTTGGTTTGTGCAGTAATGTCGTCTCGAAGCGAGCCAAAGCGGCCCCAAGGCATCAGGAAGGACCCATTCTTCTGCACGGTAACATCCGGCGAGAAAGCCGCGAACAGCTCCGTGTACGCACCAAATTTTGCAGGCTTGAATATGATTCCCTGATAAAGGTTAGTCACTCTGCCTTGAATGCAGCAAAATTGCTTTACTGAAGTACTAACCATCATGGTCTGCATGGCTTTGTTGTCACGCTGGAGCTCAGTCTTCATGAGGCCAGGATGTAAACTCTGTAGCTTGGTTAAAATGGTTCCACCAAGATCCAGGCGTGAGAAGACCCAGAAAGTACCGAGGCAGGTAGACTCACCACGCTCACAATCCCATCTCCTGCAAGACGCTCACCCCACTCATGCGCCAAGAACACATCCCCGACCTTGGACTGGAAGTAAGTGTCCATACCCCCGGATAAGAGCTTGGGCTGATCCAGCGCCTCATCCCAAATCATTGGCCCGTGCGAGTTGACCATCGTCGACACCCACACGACCCTGACCGAATCCCGCTGGGATGGCTGCGACCGGGCGGTCTGGACCATCAGCGGGGCCAAGAAATCCGTCAGCAGCTGGGGGCCGAGGCAATTGGTTGCCATGCGCAGCTCGTGGCCCTGGAGACTTTTCGCATTGTTCGACGTCAGCATCACGCCGGCGTTGTGGAAGAGCACATCGAGCCTGTTCTCCCGGGCCAAAAAGTCCTGGGCCGCGGATTTGATGGTTCGCAGGTCCGACAGGTCGACCAAGATGCTGTCGAGGCGGCCATTGCTGGAGGGGAACTCTTGTTTTATGCTCTCGATGGCGGTTTTGATCTTGCTTCCTGACCGGGCGGCGATGTAGACGGTGCCGTTCTTCTGATAGAGCAGCTTGGCCAACTCGAAGCCGACGCCCGAGTTGGCGCCTGTGATTACGAAAACCTGATTACTGTCAGCTGTAATGGTTCAAATGCGATTTTTGAGCAGACAGCCAAGTATGGCCTACCTTTCCCGCCTGGTTTCCAAGGTTCTGCTCTGTAAAGGTTGGTTTCGGTGGAAACACATCGCGGATTCCGACCATGATGGCTAATAGTTATGTGCTGAGTTGCAATGAATTACAAAGGTTTAAGGAGCAATGAGATTTGGAGTGAGTGTATGAGATGTGGAACTGTTTGCTTCTACATCTTGACATTGCTTCCGGTGCCACAGGATTTATACAAAATCTCACATACCCTTTAGCTACCAAAATGAATCATTCTGAGTCAAAAGCGCCGACCATGCAAGTAATTATTTCAGGGCTCAACGCGTCAGTCGCCAGCCTGAGGGCTGCCAAACTGACCGGAATTCGGATTACGGCTGCCTTAGTCGAGCTAGAAGAAGCACATAAGCCGGAGATAAATGTTGGAGAGACCAATTCCGGCGAAGGAAGCGCATACGCCTTCGGATGCACACGGAACAATGACGAAGCCGACCACCAATTACGACCACCATTTGTTCTATAACGACATAGCCTGTCTTGATCAAATCCTTCAGGCACCATTCCAGTTGCGCAAAATTCGTGGCTTATCTCGCCAAGAGCGCCAAAACATGTTTTTTATCTCCAACTATCGACGGCTGTGCCGTGCTGACTTCTTTGACCTCGGATTATGTCAGAAATCCCTACCCTAATTGGAAAGACGCCTGTGGACCTGGGCAGGCAATATGCTTCAGGATGTGTTCGTGCAAAGAAGCTGCCCAGGTGCCAACATCAATGCGAGGCTGTATCCCCCAAAACGATGACGAGAAGCATAATGAGCAGTAACTAGTAGTTCGAGGAAAAAATGAAAGACGGTAGACCTTTCTAGATATCAATGTACTATATTGTACAGAAAATGCTCTGATATCTATATAATCAGTGAGAACCGAGGTCAACAATCAATAACAATCTCGTCAGGGTTACGAGGACTTATTCTGTTTTGGTTCCGATCATTTCGAGCATGGCCGGGCTCCAGGATACGATTTTATGGCCTTCCACGATCCTTTTCGGCTTGTCCATGGCTCTCGGACACGATGGGACTAGGGAATCATGATTTCAAGCGAACGCCTGACAGAAGTTTCGGGAATATGGTTTGGGCCAAGGGCGCTACCCGAGACCGCAATGAGAGCGAAGCCGAACACAATGACGTTGGTCGTCTCGCAAGGTTTAGGCTCGGTGGAAGCGACGGTATGTCACCTTTGAGACGAGTACCGCCTAGGAGAGAAACTATGGAGGCAACTGAGGGAGATATTGGCCATGCAATACATATGAACAGTTACTATAGTTGAAGTCGATATGATAGAGCCTCGGAGGACTGTGACGACGGAAGACACGCTCAGAAAGGTTTGATGCAATTAAAAATCAACGCGTCCATGTGGACTATGATATGGACACCAGAATGCCCTAGTCACGACTCACTGCGATCTTTTATGAATCCAATGGAGAGATATTATGGTACCCGCTGTGTGGCCCGCCTCATAAACGTTCATTACAGCTTCGCTTGCGGCATACAGCTTCCTACTTCTCTTCTCTTTACGCAAGAACAAGTTCTTCTTAAAGACTTCTAAGGGTGTAATTACGAAGGAAAATTAGTGTGGTGTGGTAAAGATAGGGGACGTTATACCTCTTTTAAAATTCTTTTTTAAATACTAAGAGTATCCTATATTTAAACCTACTCACACTAAGACTTAGTATATACCTTTTACCCTATTATAATTTTCATATTATACTAGGTGTGTTCTTGTAAAGATTTACACATTTTTAAGTGTTTTTTATACTTACACTAAGAAAAGATTAGTGTGTATACCGATTTGAATTAGCTGGTGTAGCTAGTGGGTGGTTTCGTTTTTAATCCCTATATATATAAAATATATATAGCGCCTTTATATAGTAGTAAATATTTAAAACCTAGTATTTAAAGAAATATAATATTAATAATAATAAAAAGAGAATATAATATATAGATATATAGTTAAGCCTTATATTATATAAATAAAACTAAAAAATATCACTTCTAATAATACTATATTAAAAAGTTAATAAAATAGTTATATAATAAAACTAAAATAATCTTAAAATAACCCCTATAAAAAAAGAATCCTATAATATAAGACCTAATAAACTAACTTTTCTCTATTAATATATTTATTATATAACTATTTAAATCTACCTTTATTAAATAAGTTAAATATACTATAATCCCTATTTTAAATATATAGCTAATAAAATAATAATATTATAATAGTAAATTTATTTAAAAAGCCTTTTATATAAATTTTATAAAAATTAAAACCTTTTAAAAACTAAATAAAGTTTATTTACTATATATTAAATAAATATTATATAAGGAAAGTAGAAGTTTAAGTATTTAAGAACTAAATCTTCCTCCTTTAAATATACTACTTTATTATTAAGGATTTATTTACTTTTATATAATATATAAGGAATATAGTAGAAAAGGGAGCTTTATAAAGGAAGTTAGTAACTCTATATATAGATAAGTTTAAGGGTATATATTAAGTAATTATTAACTTTATACTTAAAGTATAAGTTAATAGCTAGTTTAAAAGCTAAGAAGATAATAAATAGATAAATAGTTAAATAAAAAATATAATGTGGCCGAAGCCCTGGTGTGGCTAAAAGTTAGTATTCAGACTGACTTTTTTGCCCCGGCTGAAAGAAGGTCTCGGAGCCGAAGAAGACTCCTATGTAAAGTGACTTCTCGCTTATCTACGTAGTGGCTTGGCATAGAAATCACTTTATACTGACTTCGGCCACACTGACTTCCCTCCGTGATCACACCCTATAAGCAGTATGATGACAAGTCGTAAACGTAGACAAAAGAAATCAAACACTGCCCTGCCACTTTCCCAAAATTACACCGGGACCCTGAGCCTCCAGGCGCACTGGTCGTAAAATTGAATGTGTAGGTCGTTTTTGCGCTCCATTGTACATTAAAGCCATACCGAACGCCAGCTCCGAATCTTAGCAAATGGATTGTACAGAGACGACTACCTTGTCATTTGCCCGCAACAAGCTGAACTTGTGGATGATCTCTTCACCAAACGAAATCGCATTAACGGTTGAAAGAAGATGAGAAAAGTCCTAGAGATTGTCTTGCTATCTACGGCATACCGGAGCCAACCACGACGTGTACACCTGACACATTCTTTGAATCCTCGCTCAGCAGCCAGGCAGCCGTGTGCGCCACCTCATCTGCAGTACCGGTCTCCATTCCCGCCAATGGGTTGCGATCGAGATTGTCGGGCACGAAATGCTTCAGCATTGGCGTGTCGATCGGTCCTTTCAAGGCAGAGATCAGTTGAAGGTCTTCTAATACGGGATTCCTGTGGCTGCCAACTCACCTGGCTGAATGCCGTTGACCCTGATGCCAAGCGGAGTCAACTCTTTCGCTAAGCTTCTCGTAAAATACTTTACGGCAGCTTTCGAAGTGCAGTATGCGTATGCGCTACCTGGGTGATTATCCGCGGCAATGCTAGCGATATTGACGATCGTCTTTGGGCCGGGCAGGTCTTTCATGACTTTGAACTCCTCGCGACTTGAAAAGTAAACACCGTCCAAGTTGATAGCCAAGATCCGCTTCCATTGATCCTCCGTCTCAGTAAGAATTGCAAGCTCTCCAGGCTCGGGACCCTTCTGTGGTACGCCGGCTGCGTTCAAAGCTCCATCGAAAGCGCCAAACTCGGCAACGACCGCCTTGGCCCAGTTTGACACCTCCGCAGACTTGGAAACATCAGCCTTGAAAGTGTGCACTTTGGTGGATGGATTAGAAGCTGCGATGGCTTTCCTAGCTTGTTCAAAATTGCCATCGTTGTAGTCCAGAATGCTTATGCCACGAGCTCCTCTCGACGCCAGTAAGCGGGCCGTGGCCAACCCCATGCCTGAGGCACCACCCGTAATGCCAAAGACCTTGGATGCAAGAGACATGATTGTTGCAAGTAAATTTGATACGTTGAAATGTGTTAAGGAGTGCTTGAAAGGTTTGTCCTCTCGTGGATGAAAAAGTGGCTGGACATGACTGTCTACTTAACTTATACTTCTCGGTCTTGGACCCTCATTAGGTGGTTTCGCTTCTATTCCGTATACGTCTGAGAACATACATGGCGCCTTCATACGGAACCCTCATTACATGGGATTTCGGCCGACAAAATTATGCAACAGGGATCTTGTTCCCCATAACTCCATCCGGAACCGGGTATGCACAAGCGCCGATGGTCCATGAACGCCTCCACCCGGGATTCCGTGTCACGAGCTCTACTGTGGAGATGGCCCGTGCCGCTAGCATCTCATCAGCCAAGCACGCCTCCTAACATATCGCACTAGGCTCTACTAACAAGGACGACAACGACGAAGAGGAAGAGTACTTGCGGCGGGAGAAGCGATTTGGTGGGCTGAAGTTAGGGGGTTTTCAGAAGGGGGTGTAGTTGACTTAGGTGTTTTCGCTTCTATTCCGTAATATATGTCCGAGGACATACATGGCGCCTTCATACGGTGGTAAGCGCTCAAGACCCAGCGCTTGAAAAGGACACGATGTCGATAACGATAGTCATAATACGATAGTAGTTGACTTAGAACCAGAACTGTCTGGTTGAAGCAGTGGACGACGGCCAGCTCATGGAGCCAGACAGACCTCACATTTCGAAGTACAGTATGATAGTCAAGATGGAGAGGAGAACTTATAGGCCAAGCCCACCCCGCTCCCGCCTCCTCCGACACCTGGGCACATGTGCAGCCAAGGGCCAGCCAAGGCCAATACAACGCAGCATACTCCTCACTTCGGCTCGAATTCGGTCTATATGTTACACAACTGTTTTGATCACAAGGCTTCACGGAGACTATTTGCAACCCGCCCGGATACGGCATTGCTGTGTCGCAATGTTTGTCGGCTCCGCTTGGCTGTTGTCACGGGAAGGCCTGCCGAACTGGCGAATGTGCGATGGCCTAAGTAAAGGAGCAGATCCTACAAAATCCTGTCTTGTAATGAAGAACTTTCCCCTCTCTTTCACAAACCAATCTAGCATACGCTTTGCATCTCTTGGATCACAAACACAAGTCACCATGGCAGCGAAAACATCTCAGCCCTTTCTACCATTGCAGCCATTCATCGGCGGCAAATATGTCGAACCGAGAAGCAAGGAGAAGTTTACTATGAGGTCGACAGTGGATGACACTGTGATCACCGATTGTAAGTCGCCAAATACGTCTTGACGACTGGTTGCTGTACTGATTGACCAGCTCTTCACAATGCAAATGCCGAAGATGTCGAAGTGGCTGTGCAGGCAGCAGAGAAAGCATTCCCCTCATGGAGCAAATTTCCAGCGGTAAGTTAAGACACTTGGTCAAATATTGCCAGTGCTAAGGCTTCGATAGCGCCAAAGACGGGATGTCTTGCTGAAATTTGCGGATCTTCTTGTTGAGAACAAAGATGACATCGCCCATTGGGATTGTCGCTTGACTGGCAAACCAATCAGTGGTGCATACTTTGAAGTTGATATGGCTGCTGAAGGCTTCAGATGTGGGTCGACCTCGCGTGCATCGAGAAAGTTGCTGACCGTCTTCTAGACTACGCCGGGATCATCGACAAGCTCCAGGGTGAATCGGTTGCAAGTGATGACGAAGGCATACTCAGAGTCAGTCAAGTAATGAACATCCTACTGTGGATTACGCTAACCCGTCGCTAGATTATCAGACAAGAACCACTTGGAGTCTGTGCCGCAATCACGGCTTTCAATGGGCCCCTGGGTCTCTTTGCATTCAAGGCGGCCCCCGCCCTTGCCGCCGGTAATGTTATGGTAGTCAAGGCCAGCGAGACCAACCCCTTTAGCACACTTGTCGCTGCTAGATTGACGACTCAAGCCGGTATCCCGCCTGGGGTAATCAACGTGCTCGTTGGTGGCCCAGAAGCGGGTGATGCTCTGGCAAGACATATGCGCATTCGTAAGATTAGCTTCACTGGCAGTGGCATTGTCGGGAAGAAGATTCAGGCAGCTGCTGCACAGTCCAACCTCAAGAGAGTCACTCTGGAACTGGGAGGCAAATCACCCCTCATCGTCTTCGACGACGCTGATCTCGCGCAAGCCATACAAGGAGCGACGGTAGCCCTTGCTGGCATGAACGGCCAGTTATGCATCATGGGCTCTCGTATCTACGTCCACGAGGCTGTTGCGGACAAGTTTGTGCAGGGTTTGAAGGTGGCTTACGAGCAAATGGCGGCCACTCTTGGATCCGACCCTTTAAACAAGGATACGTCGACGAGCCCAATCTTTCACCACCGTCAATTTCAAACCGTGCTGAACTTCTTGGAGAAGGGCAAGGCCGAAGCGGAGCTCATCTCTGGCGGCTCTCGTCACGGCGACAAAGGCGCATACATCAAGCCTACCATCTTCTACAATCCCAAGCGTGACGCTGAAATTGTTCAGAATGAGATCTTCGGACCAGTGGTAGTAGTGCAGACCTTCAAAGACGAGGAGGACGTGATCAACCAGGCAAACGATACAGAGTATGGCTTGGCGGCCTACTTGTTCACCAAGAACGTCGACAGGGCGATCAGGGTTTCGAATCAACTGGAGGCAGGTAATGTCGGTGTCAATACAGCAGCCGACCTTATCTCCTGGAAGACGCCTTTCGGAGGGTATAAGGGTGAGATGGAGCATCCCCTCGTTGACCTTTAGCATACATGGACTGACATTCGACAGGAAGCGGCATTGGTCAAGAGAATGGTCTCTACGTTATGCGTCACTATACCCAGCCAAAGACTGTCACAATCAAGTACCAAGTGTGAGAACCTCGTAAGTCTGCCACAGATTGTTGGGTAGTAGTAGGATAGGCCTCCTGCGTATAGTCTTGGAAATGATCAAACATTCCGTGTCCTCAATTCAGATGACTGTGCCGAAGAAGCAGGGCATACTGGAGAATGCGATGTAGACATGGCCCCATGTTCAAGCTGCTTGACCGTCCACCTTATTTTCTGGATCCTGAATAGCCTACGGTGTGTTCCGATGCATGACACCAGATCCCTGATCAATAATCGACCGATGTGATTCTGTGGTTTTGCGGCTCGTGCTGGACTGGCCAAGCTGTCGAGTATCTCGTAAAGTATGCCCCTGGATGAACCATTTACCGCAACGCCAGAAAGTGAGGCCGGCCATGCTCAACATTCTCCCTGGGCGGAGATGCCGTGTAGCGTGATCATCAGTGGCAAGTGCTCTGGCTGTCTTCAAATGTTTCCATCTGTCCGCAGGTGTTTTGTCCCGTCCTCTTTCTTTTCGTTCTGTCTGATGACTTGGACTGCCTATCTGGCTACTGGCCCTTCCTGTGCAACTTGACCATGCACTCTATGCGTGACACACCACCTTCAAGTCGGCGCCTGCCATTTTCTGCCGCATTATCGTGAGGCTTCGAAGTGGTGTATGCAGCTCGGCAGAAGAAGGCAGCGTAATCCCGTTTGGCAGAAGGATTCCGGCATGCCTTGGGGCCGACATGCCCCTCATCACGACGTCTCTACCCTATCGCACTCCATTCATCTCTCGCTTCGGAAAAGCAATCCCCGCCTTCCTCTCTAGTATGAGACCGGCACATTCGGGTACTAATTGTCATACCAGATACAACTGGTGTCAGTCGGCTTGCAGGAATGCCTCATTCTTATTATTGGTCAGCCATCTACTTCTTTCGAGCCACCAGCTGTCAAAGACTCTTCTACCTGTCGATCCGTCGCCCGTGTCGCTCTTTCAAGCAGGTGTCTTGTTTCAGGTGGGCTCGCATGGGCCAGGAGAAGGCTGTTGACGAATTGAGCCCTGGTAGGAATGAGGCGAGCTTGGGTCAAAGACGACAATGTCTACATATAATATGCATATCCACGGCCATTGTTGACAAGAATATACGCATAGCAGCAGGCCGCTACCAAAAAGCACCATTTTCTAGCTGCATATAAAAATAAACCGCGATGTTCCTCTATAAAATGCCCCAATCGGACTTTGACCTCTTCTATCCCGTGATATGATAGTACAGACTGATCCATTTGCCGCTTCCGACACATAGTTTTATCACAAGATCTCATGCTGACACCGTGGAGACTGTTGTGGCGGTGATAGTAATGCCCGTCATCTCCTCCTCGTCGGCCTCCTTCTTCCGCGACATCTTCCTGGGGCTCTGAATCGGTCTCTGAGAGGACCCCTTTGAGCTGTTGATGTTCTCCAACGTCCGCCACGAGCGCCCCGCGCTGGACTCCCTGCCGGACGACTTGTGGTACATTGACGAGGACAACGTCTTGTAGAATTTTGGGACCAGGCGCGAGAAAAAGAAGCGGCTGTCGGGGAGGCACGCGCATATTATGGCGACCATGGTCTCGATACATGACCAGAACGCGAGAGGCATCAGGTTGATAGTCGGGTTCGCTATGGAGCGGGTGCGCCAAAAGTAAACGCAGCGCACGATTCCAACGATAGTGAGCCTGGATGGGCGCACGTGTTAGCACACAGTTAAGAATCATTGATGTGTTGCTTCAGGGCTGAAATGCCAGCAGGTGGAACAAGGAGACACGTACGCAAATCCCATCGCAAACATGAGAGTTACACCGAGTTTCTTGGTCTTGGAAAGCTGAAGCTTGGTTGTCTCATAAATCGGGAGACCGATAATGACAACATCCATGACAAGGTTGATGATGCCATTGCCAAGGACAAGCTTGTAGATGTCAAGACAGGTGCCAGGTTCTTCTGCAGCCCATCCAGTCCAGGCGAGGTGAACTTTTCCACCACACTGGAATATGATCAGGAAGGTGAAAAATACCGCGATGAATATGTTGAGCCCTATCACTGGGTATGTGATGCGGCGAAATACAGGTGATGCGTCGAATATCCGCAGATAGAAGAAGCACACCGATAGCTTAGCCACCGAGATGTGAATGACGTATACCAATTCGTTGGCCCAGAAGGCCTTCAGAATCTTGGTGATATTGTCAAAGGGGACTTCCCACGTATCCTTGCCGAGCCCGAGGGCGTATATTCGCCATAGATGCACGCCATAGAGGGCAATAGAGAAGGACTGATACGGGCAAAACTTTAGCTTCTCGTGCGACAAAGGGCCTGCGTGCGTGCACTTACAAATGCCATGAGCATCAGCCAGTCATCGATACCCCAGCCACCGCCATGACCGAGGAACTTGACTGTAAGCCGTACCATGACTAGGAAGAATGTGATGACGAAGACGATCGTCAGGCGCGCAACATCATTCTGTTGCTTCAGGGGTGGAACACCGCATTGGAGTTGCCCCAGGCGTTTGGCGACGAGGCTCTCCTTGACTGTGCAGGTAGACGCGACGCATGTTGCGACGTCCGCCTGATAGCTTTCATCGACGCAGAGGCAGGCAGTATCGGTTGGCGAGCAGTTCGTTGCGGTGCCTTTGCCCAACACGGACATGGTGCAGTTCACCTAGAGTGGTGGCGACGCCCGGATTAGCTGAGAGTTCACGCTTGTCTCGGGTGGCGCACGGAAGGACAGGGGCGAGAGAAGGGCCGTGACGATCACAGCTGGGCACTTACAGCACAAGCGGGAGCTACGTCCCAGGCCGGATCTGCTGCCGAGGCCACCCCGAAGATCAGGGCTGCAGCAGCTACGGGCAAGAAAGACGTGAAGCGCATGTTGATGATTACTGACAACTGTTATTGTCACAGGAGATGAATGGGGCAGACGACGAGATGCAAAGCGCTAACACCAGTAGACAGATCATGAACACCAGCGGAGACTATGAAGGCGCGGTGCTTGGGATTTATCTGCGGGTCGGCATGGCCTCGTAGGGCTCTCTGTGTTTCCCCATATCACTGTGCTCTCCCCCGATGAGATCGCCATATAGGAGGAGCCCTGGACTGTGTTCAGGGTTAAGGTCACAAACAATGTAACTAATAATGACAAAATCAGGCCACCTCTGCTTGCCAAGGTTGAGCCCTGCTGACGAAGTCGAGGCCCAAAGTATGGCAAACTCAGAATGCAAGAAAGGCTTTTTGCACATTGGGAGTGGCATCCTCGAGTCTCGTTTGCTGGATCCAGTGAGCAGAGCATTAGTGCTGACGCGCATTGCGACGCTGCATGCAGGAGGAGAAAATGGCGGCCGGCAGCAGCAGGCTGTCACTTGAACACAAGGTAAACTATGTGACTTGGGGAAGACTGCAGTGCTTCTCATGTCGTGCATCGGCGACAAAAGCGAATATAACTAGCATTCCGACTGATATCGACCGATGTGGCACCCGATACTACCAGCAAAAGGGCATGTTAGAGCCTCCCAAGTCCGATTCATCCAATCCGACGACGATAGGCCACGACTCTCTGTCATGCGACACCACTGGCACAGCGTCGCACTCGCCCTTTTGCACTTTTACTTGGACCCCGTAGGCGCCTCCAGACCTTCCCTCTGAGCCCTATTACCCCTGCATCCACGTGGTCAGAGCCCAATCAGCATTGCCTACAAAGTCCGGATTAGGGGGGCGGCCGCCTGTTATGCAGCCAAAGATAGATTCGCGATATGTGTGGTGGGAAGAGCTGCACAGCTGCAGCAGTGCAGTAGCGCAGATTTCCCTTTTCTGCCTAGGCACTCTCAACCTTCCTCGCACCCGAGTAACCAAAAGGCTAAAGCCGGCAGTTCAGGGCCGGGTGAGATATTAGTGAGGGGGAAAGACAGCTACTACTACAGTAGATGGTGGGGACAGGCGCGGGTATCTTGTCCGGGGGAAAAAGCGTGTTATCAATACTTCGGGATTTGCTGGCCTACATGTCGCTGTTTGGTATCATTGGTCAGGTTGATGCTACTGGCCACGGTGGAAGTGATGCACTGGGGTAAAAGGAGGAGATTTAAACTGAATTTTCTCTGTTCGGGTGATAGTTTGGACGCCGTAGGCGAGGCACGTTGTGAACTTCACAAGCAAGTCAAACATGCAGCCAGAGGATTTCGCTCTCCCAACGTATATGCCAAAGTAGCCAGCAACGAGAGCCACTAGACGGCACAAGGATATGCTGGTGAAATCGGTATTTACCGGTCAGCTAGTTGATGCGTGTCGGGCCGCTCGAGCTTGTCGTCTGTGAATTGAGGTGGTCAGATAGAGGAGACATAGCTGTGGGACCTGCCGTGTCTTCGGCGAACTGTGACACCTGCTCCTTCTGGTTGGATTACCGGTGTGTGCTTCCCCTGAACCCGTGGTCGAATCGCATGGCCTGCCGGTTCATGTCAATTCACGGAAAATATCTCCTTTAGCTTCAAAGATTTTCGCCATGGACCTGCATGGCGATCTCTCGCCTATCGGACCACACACTCTGCTCAAACTGAGGACCGAGTATTTGCCTTGCAGACGCGATGCTCAGTATTCCAATGCATCTCTGATCTTACATATATTATGTGTTGTTTTCATCTTGTTATAGTACAGAACAAGACCGGGGTTGCCCTTCTCTTCGTCCATAATGATTCCAGAAGGGAGTGAAAATGAAATCGAAGATGATGGCGATAAATGTTAGGGGCTAAACACTGTCGACATGCCCTCAGGCGCAGGCACCCTTGGGCAGTCCGCGGATGTCCCCAATATTGGCCCACATATAGAGCGCACTCGAGAGTCAAGCTAACCAATTGCCATCGGGGACGGAGAAATGACAGAATCCTACCATCCGTCCCAAAGTGGTGCACTTTCGGGGACTGATTCCATGAATAGAACCCGGTGCACCTTCAATGTCACCTCTTATCCGGTAGCCTGGTAGATACTTGCACCACCACCCACGCGTCGCAAGATGAAGTATAGCGTCGTCCAAAATGAACCTTCGACTTGACAGTCGGGCGAGCCCGAGTTAGGTGGTGGTTCAACTCAGAGACATCAAACAATCACACGGAAACTAAGCTGACGGGAGGCTTCGGCCACATTATATTTTTTGTTCAACTATGTATTTAATTGATCATTATCTTCTCAGCTTTTAAACTAATATAGCGCTCCCTAAAGGGTTTTTAAATACAGTCTCTAAACTATCCCTTCCACTTTAAAATAACACCTTAAGTAGTCCTTAATACTTTAAAACTATTCCCTTATTAATACTCTTTAACAATAATTATAGAAAATATTAATACCTTTCTTTAAGATTAAATTTTTATTAAAACTAAAGGGTTTTTAAATCCTCTTACTTTTAAATCCTTTACTTAAAGCTTTAAAATATAAAGAGAAGGAACTTAAGTAAACCTAACTAAGTAAGTAAAATAAGTAGAAATCTAATAAAAAGTTAATTTTAAAAGGAATTTTATTAGAAAGATAGAAAAAAGAATTCTTATTAACTAGTCTTTATATTAAAACAAAAACTTAATATTAAGGAATTTAAAGATTAAACCTTTTAAAAACCTATTTTTCTTTTAAAAAACACACCCTTTTTTTATTTAAAGATTATTAAAAAAAGAGATTATTAATAATTATAATTAACTAAATATAATTTTTAAAAACTTTTAAAAGTATAATATAATAATTATTAAGTTTTATTTTAATTATAAAGTTAATAATTCTTTAATATTTCTTTTAAACTTACTTATATAAAAGTTATTAACTTCTATTATATAACTCTCTTTTTATTATATTTTTATATATTATATAGAAGTAAATAAGCTTTTATAATAAAATAATATATTTAAAGTAGGACGATTTAATTTTTAAATATTTAAACTCTTTTTTTATTTAATGTATAATAAATAACTTTTATTTAACTTTTAAAAGTTTTATTTTTATTAAACTTATATAAAAGTCTTTTAATTAAGTTTATAATTATAATTCTATTATTTTATTAATAGTTATATATTTAATATAAATAATATAATATATTTAAATTTTATAAAATAAAGATTATAATATATTTAATTTATTTAATAAAGGTAAATTTAAATAATTATATAATAAATATATTATTAAGGAAGAGTTTTTATTAAGTTTTATATTATAGAATGTTTTATATAAAAGTTATTTTAAAAGATTATTTTAATTTTATTAAAACGGATCTATAGATATTCTATTAACTATTAGCGTAATAAATTACTTAACTACAAGACTATAATAACTAATTTAAAGTATTAGTTATTCTAATAATTTATAAACTTATATTATTATATTTTCTATTTAAAGCTTATTAAAGTTCATTAGAACCACTTAAGTAAGGAAGTAATTTTAAAATAATAAAATATTAAGTTATAATTAGTTAAAGATAGCTTAATTATTTATTATTAAACTAATATATAACGAATAAAAAGCTTAAAAATCTTAAATAGAATGGAAGATTAGTATAGTTTAATTCCTATTAAGTTAATTAAGTTTTTTAAATAAACCTTTATAATATTACAATTAATTAATTCTTTATTATTATAACCTACCCTAAGTTACTTATTATAAGTAAGCACTCCTTAAAATAATCCCTCTACCTAGCCTAAGATTTTTAAATTATAAAAGTTTAAATATATAACTGTAAATTAATTATTATAATAGATTTATAGAAATTCTATTAACTATTAACGTAATAGACCGTTAAATTAAAAGATTATAATAATTAATTTAAAATATTAATTATTCTAATAATTTATAAGCTTATACCGTTATATTTATTATATAATTATTTATTAATTCTTTAATATAATATTATTAAAAGTAATACTTTTTAATTTTATTTATATTATATAAAGCTAAGTTATATACTTATAAATATATTATATTATTTTTCTATTATTATTAATATAATATTTCTTTAATTATTAAATCTTATATATTTATCAATATATAAAGGTACTATATATACTTTATATATATAGGGATTAAAAACGACACCACTAAGCTGACGGGAGTAATGATAAGTGGTTAGGCTAGTCAGAGCAGGGGGTAGGGATCTTTTGTCCCGATACAGCAGGTGATTATCACGCAGGGTATCGATAACATTGCATACTTGTGTTTCCAATACCTGTTGTGCACATTGTGGCAAAGGACTCATCACGGCATGGGCCAGGATTCCCTTCCAAACAGTTCGAGTATCAGGAGGCCAGCTTAATCGGAGGATGTGACCATTCGCACACGGTGTAAAGTTGAACTTAGACACTACTATATTCGAGCACAGTAGAGAAAGCAATTCTTCCTCGCGTCACATTGTCACAGAAATGTCGATTATAGCCGAAGAAAGGCGGCCATAGCTGACGTGGACAGCAATCGATGACAAGGTATTGAACTGTCCTAACTTGGCTAAAGCTTTTCTCTCCAAATATCTGGATTCTCAGAGATCTATCGTGAGACAATTAGAATGGTGACAAAAGCCTTTAGCTACGAGGGCATCGATATCATCCTCATCTTCGCTATCATTTCCGAGACGTTGCAACCGGGTGGTGGCGTCGCCGAATCCATGATGCTGAATTGCCTCCATCGTGGGCCCTATTATAGCCGGGATACAAATTAGCATCATAAAGCCCATTCTTTTACTTGAGATTCACCGTATGAAGGCACCATATATACTCTAGAATGTATATAGTTTCACTTCTATTCTATATATATTTAAGGATATATATAGCACCTTTATATAATAGTAAGTACTTAAAACTTAATATTTTAAAAAAATATAATATTAATAATAATAATTATAATATAATAAATATTTATAACCTTAACCTTATAATATATAGATAAAGTTAAAAAGTATTATTTTAATAATAATATTAATTATAAATAGAAGTAACCTATAATTTAATTACTATAAAGGAGTTATATAGTAAAACTAAATTTAAAAATAATTACTATATAAATAAATTTCATTAAAGGAAGCCTAACTAAAATTTATCCCTTTAAATATATATATATATATATATATATTAATAAGACCTTTATTAGGTAAACTTATAAAATTTAATATTATAACCTTTATTTAAATATATAGCTATTAACTTTAAAAAACTTAAAATAAAGAAATAATTTATAATATATTACTTTTCAAACTTTTATAATAAAGTATTAAAACTCTTAAAGAGATTCTTAAAAGTAATTTATAAAAAGATAAAAAAAAATATAATAAATTTATCCTCCTTTAAATCTATACTTTTATTATTAATAACTATTAACTCCTTAATAATATAAAAAAATATAATAAAAATAAAGAAAAAAATAAATTTAAAATTCCTCTTTAAGAGGATTATAAGGATATATATAAAGCTATTAAAGACTTTATATATAAGCTCTAAACTAGGGAAGAAACGAGTGGTTATACAGTATAAAGGAAAAATATAGTATAGCCGAAGCCCTCTGGGACGTATACCTAGGTATGACCTGGGGCTTGCAGGGCCGTAAAAGTCTGTTCAACCTCCGTGGTCCCTGTACACAACTTGACGCCATCTGTACTTGGCTCAAGACCTGACGGCTCCGACCATCTCTTCCTATCAAAATGTCGCTTTCGTTACAACAGGCTCGCATGGCGGAGCTTTCTTTCGACACCGTGTACATGGCGATATACAACTCCTCTTTACTCGACCACATTGGCGGCAAGGTCCTTTACGATGAGACACCGCCGAGGTCTAGGAGACATATGGCTGCACCGCCCCCGGGCCACGCACGGAAACATGCCACTTGAGTGTATCTCAGTCATGCTGGTATCAATATGGCATGGAAGGCGCCGACACGGAGAGATACCATCCACCTTCGTGGAATAGACCTGCTATAAGTCACGCATTAGAAAGGTCTGTAGTCGGCGTGGCGCAACTTGAAGAGGTACCGGCCAAGGTTCTTGCCGCCCGGAACATGCCATACAATAGTGGCTTTGAAGCCCACTCGTTGAGTCTGCAATATCAAACATTGATGGGCGTGCGTTTCATACTAACTTCAAGGGATGAGGTATCCCGAGAGATCCCACTTCCGCTTCCACAATCGTCGGAATGTGACCATCCAGCATTTATTCCGACCATAAGCTTGACAAATTGACGAGTATGGAGATCCGAGCCTCTCTTATGGAGAGGAGTCAATGCAATCTTTGACCATACGTAATTCTTACCTTCAGGGAAACCCACTATGTTGCGGAGACAAGGCTTCTATTGAAACCCACTTACCAAGGCGCGCAGCAGCTCCATGGGGATGCCTGACTTGCTGTGGAAGCACGACGAGCGATCAAGGGTTATGGAAGCGACCACAACAAAGTTCGCCGGACGCCTCTTGTTCACAAGATGAGATGATGGCACCTACATTTCTTGAAGAGCGGCCTATCCGTCCGGCATCTATCATCATCTCACATGCCTGTGTCAGGAACTCATACAGACATGAGCGAGCTCCGGGGCTGTGCATATTTCCCGGCGCAAAGAATCAATTCAAGTTATTCGTCCTGAAATTTCATCGAATCCCTCACCGGAGCCCAATCATTCCAAGGCCAATAGGCTCTTGGGCTGTCATGCTTGTTGAAAGCTTCACGTCTAGACAGCTCAAAACATAAGCAATGATTGATGTGAATTAACTCGTGCTGGGACGCAATATTACCTGTCATATTCAAATTATAATGGCAAGCGACTGTCTTCAAGTCCAATGGGTCGGTTATAACCCATGCGGGCTTTTGAGGCGTAGCGTAGATCTCGTCATATGCACCACGTATTGCTACTACGCAACCCCGCTGATACCGTGCATTTTACTGGCTCCGATCCGAGTAAAAGCGTTTCAAAACCTCAGCTATACCCAGTGACATCACTGGGTATGTCAAAAAGATCAGATTTACTATCTGGAGCTACAGAAGAAGCGTGTAAATGAGTGATAAGCAAGTGAATGTCTCATAAGACCCTGGAATGGCACCATCCTGTGATGTCCACTGGGTATTGCTGAAGCTCAGCGATGGCGGAAGCAGCTCGTGTGTATAAATCAGGCCCTCGCAAATACATTTCTATATCGCCAAGGTTATCAGCTGCCAGCAAAGCTTGTTTCCGCCGTCCCAACGCCAAATCGCGCTGGAGAACTGCTCACGGGCTATCCCAAAGCGTTCCCGGCACTGCTTGGCATTGCGTACAGTCGGTACCCCTGACACAGACAAGATGCCAGGTTCGCCAGGATCCAAGACCGAGCCTCGGTCCCAAGATGGATCGGAAAAAGCGGAGGATCCTCCAAATCAAACTCTTTACGAATCACAACCGCGGCGAGGCTCGTTCTGGAGAAATTTACGGCGCTATATTTGGGATGACCCGGACAAGCCGGCCTATGAGAAAAAGTTCCTCTTGAAGCTTGACTTTTTTCTTTTGACTTACACTTGTCTGGGATATTTCTGTAAGAACCTGTGAGTATCTCATGGGACCAACAGAGAGTGGAGGGATGTCATCTCGTTCAAGCATCGGCCATTGACCCGCATCCTTCATTAGGGACCAGGCCAATATCAGCAACGCTTATGTATCAGGGATGAAAGAAGCCCTTCAGATGCACGGAAATCAGCTTACATATGCGTCAAACGTCTTTACCGCTGGGTATGTCATCTCACAGCTGCCCGCCGTCATCCTCGTCACCAAGGTCCGGCCTTCATACATCATCTCCACGTTGGAAATCCTCTGGGCAGTCTTCACCTTCTGTGCGGCATCCGTTAAGACAGTGCCTCAGCTCTACGCAATTCGGTTCTTAGTCGGACTATGTGAAGGGGCATTTTTCCCGACCATCATCTATCTCATCGCAAGCTGGTATACCAAGAGCGAGCGCGGCAAGCGCGTCACGTTATTCTACTCCACTGCTACGCTCTCCCAGATGTTCTCGGGGTATCTTCAAGCTGGTGCTTATGACGGCCTGGATGGGAGGATGGGTCGTGCTGGGTGGCAGTGGCTATTTGTCATTGTGAGTCTTTGATTTAATTCTCATATTGTCTGTTCCCCAACTTGATACCAACATGAACTAAGCATAACTTGCTCCAGTGCGGCGTTATCAGTCTACCCATTGGTGTTCTGGGGTACTTCTTCAACCCCGACTTCCCCGAAAACACTCGAGCTTTCTACATCAAGCCAGAAGAAGCCGAGTTCGCCCGGAAAAGGCTACTTGATGAGGGCTACAAGCCACTGGGCGCATCTGCATGGAGCAAGAAGAAGATATTTCGCATTGTGACCTGTTGGCAGTTCTGGGTATTGTCATTTGGCTACTTTTTCGTGCAGTCCAGCTTCCCAGTCCAACAACCATTCTACGCCTTGTATCTAAAGGCTACAGGGCACACAGTATACCAGATCAATGTCTGGCCCACCGGGCAGGCGGCAGTCGCGTTTGTGACTCAGGTCCTTGCCGGCATGCTTTCCGACTCGCCCTTACTACGAGGTCGAAGATGGCAAGCAATCCTGGTCATGCAAGGCGGGACTATTTTCGGATGCATTGTTTTGGCAGTCTGGGATGTCCCTCTTGGGCTGAAGTACTTTGCATTTTACATCTCGTGGATGTCTGCTGGTGTGCCGGGGATCTACTACTCTTGGTTCCCTGATCTGATGCCAGACGATCACGAGATGCGAGGATTCTTGACCGCTTTCTCGAACATCTTTTCGTACGTCAACCAGATTTGGTACACCGATGCAGCCTGGCGCACTTCGATGGGACCAAAATTCCGGCCCGGATTCATCGCCGCTGCGACCTTTGGAGTGATCTTGATATCGACCGCCTTATTGATGCGTTGGCTCGAGAAACGAGACACCCTACACAGGAAGCTTGTCCAGGAGGATGGGCCCATGACGGACCCTGACTTGGCCGGCACTTTGCAGCCAAGCCCTGCCGCTGTTGTGTAAGCTCTGGCTTCTTACTGAAAATTCGGGTTGCACCTATACGTAATGATTCGCATGAGCTGCTGGAGATGGCATTTGAGAGATTTGATAGCATAAAGATCATATCGGTATTTACGCCGAGTTCATCATCAAAAGGACTCTAAACGAACGTCTCATGATCCACTCCAGGAGTTAGTAATCTTGCCCTTCTCCTACAACACTTTGCGCCTTTATGATACTTGAACTACCACACGAAAACTACTTCACGAGCAGAACTATAGTCTACGTAGACATCGATACTCTGCCACACCGATGCACAAAGGGGCGAGATGTGGCCGGGGCCTCACAAAAATAGCTTGAAATTATCCCGGCCGCCCGGGCGTTCCCGTGTCTTCACTGCCTCGGTGCCCAGCAGTTTGCATTGAGCACTTGTTCATCAGCCTCGGCACTTTCGGGCATCGTAGAACACTTGTCATGCGGTGGAGCCACAGATTCCACTAACTACCGGGTCAGGCACCAGAGTCCGTTTATTTGACCTTGGAAAATTCCGTGATGGGTACCTAGCCATGGGCAGATAAACCCCTACTAGTCCTAGTACACTTTTTGAGTTTTTAGAGGCTATCATATTCGATGATAGGGCATTGTAATGTCAAGCGGAGCGTCATTCCAATTCTGCCATTGTGAATCACTTCTAGTCCTTTACGGTCCTAGTGCCCGCACTGGAAATACCAGGCCAAGGAAATGTTACAAATTGCCCTTGCTACTGTAGTATGCAGTGGAAAACTTGCTTTAAGCTTAAGCTATTTAGTGCTGTAGCAGTCCACTGGGCAATAAATTGGAAACGATCCTTGCCAGGAGCACACTTGCCTCGGCATCCCTGACCGGACCGTACGATGCGATGGGACTGTGATCTCGGCGGACGCTATCGCTTTGGGTTGGCGTGGCCCGGCTGTGGGTACAGCGCCCACCAGATCGCCCAATCAGGTACGAGGCATATTGACCTGACAGGAGGTTCGGGGCCGCAGCAAGCCACAGCTTCGGGGAGGCTCCGCAGATCAAAGCGGGATGTAACTTTACCATCCAAGAATCCTAGGCTGCACGGGCTTCGTGACAAATGCCTGGCTTGTGATGTACTATGTAAGTCAAAGGGGATGCATTTTTTTCGGAAGGTTCCAGTGAACTGGTAGGGTTGTTGTACAGCTCAAAAGCTTGTGTCTGCCGCGTGTCCATCAGCAGCCACAGTCACTTGACCCTGTCACTTCTCCTTCAATATTCACCGGTCGCTGTCACCGTTGTCTGTAGGCCTTTTCCCCTAGTCTTGAATATCAAGCGTATTTAAGTACCAGCCTGCTGCTTCACCTCCTTTCTTCCGTCACCACAACACAGACCGAGTTTGCCCTCAGAAAACTTCAAAAAAATGACACTCAAGTCGTCTCTCCTGTCCGCGGCGCTGTTGGCCGCCAGCGTCGTTGCTGATGCTGCATATCCCTGGCAAGCGCCGTCGTCAAGCGACCGTAAGTAAATTCCTGGCACCTCGCAGGCCCCTCCATTTCTACAAGCGTCCCGTCAGAGACCATGTGTGATGGCTTGAAGTTGCAAACAGGGCATTTACTGAAAGCTGTTCGATCAGGACGAAGCCCCTGCCCCATGGTCAACACTCTGGCCAACCATGGATACCTTCCTCGAGACGGCCTGGCGATTACGCTCCCCATTCTTCTGAAGGGTTTCACCGACGCGATCAACTTGGACCCGTCGGCAACGCTGCTCGTTGGAACCAAAGCCCTCCAGACATCGACTACAGGCGACAACTCATCCTTCAACCTGGATGATCTCAGCACACATGGAAGTACGTCGCAACTATTCTATATCCCGATCTCCTGCGAGTTTGCAATGCTGACAGATAACCGCGAATTTAGTCATTGAACACGATGGCAGTCTCAGCCGCGCAGACATCTTCTTCGGCGACAACCACAGCTTCAACGCGACCATCTGGGGGACCGTGGCCTCCTTCTTCACCGAGGATACCATCGACATCACGACAGCAGCACGCGCAAGGGCAGCCCGACTGGCAGCTGCGGCGAAGGAGAACCCACAGTTCAACCTGACGTCGGACGGGACCAATTTCAGTTTCATCGAGTCTGCCCTGTACCTTTCCGTCTTCAACAACGGCTCATTGACGACCGCAGTGACCGAGTGGGTCAAGGTCATGTTCCGTAAGTCTGCCTCTGCTGTGATCTTCTACAAAATGTGAAATTCTTCAGCTGACACATGAACGGCACAGAGGAGGAGAGGCTTCCATTTGAGGAAGGCTTCACTCGGTCAGATGGCATTGTGAGCACCGTGGGTATATTGGCCAAGCAAGCAGCGGTGGCTGCTGCGAGCATTGGGCTTTGAAGAAAAAAGATGGAACTTTTTGACTGCTTGTATATACAGCTAAAGTTGCACCGACCTGTTTTGTAGCCCTTGACTGATAGTAATGCATCTTATAATATTCTACCACCTTCCACATTTTAACTTTTATAAGACAAGTAGCTATAAATTCTTCTACTAGTATACTAATACTATTATAATTACTACATTATATTTAATTAATACATTTAAAGTTCTAAGTTAGTTTATTATATATTTTAATTACTTTCTACAATTAGTTATTAAAAATATAATTAAAATAGTTAATTATATTTTTATTTTATATTTTATTTATAAAAATATTTTTTAAAGGTTTATTTAAATTATATAATAAGTGAACTTATATTTATTTATTTAATATTAGTTTAATATTTTATTTTATTAATAGTAACACTTAGTATATACTTTAAGATAAGTAGTATATTAATAGTTTAAATATTTAATAGATCTCATACCTTTTTAAGGTAGTTATATAAGGGAGGAAGGTTATCTTAATAATGTTTTAAGAATATATTTTGTTTCTATTTACACCACTCAAGGTATTATTATTAGCCTGACCTTTGTCTCTTGTCCCCTTTTTGTTAGGAGTGAGGGCTCTGACGGACGCGATTGTGGTTGTGTGCCGGGTCCTAGTAGCGAGTAGCCCATGATCCGTCGAATTCCCTGGGAACAATTTATCGGGATGATCTAAGCTGCACTCTCATCGTCATCCCGTCCACAGGTCTAGCAGTAATTTGTCGCCCCTGCAGAGAAATTAGAGTGGTTTCAACCAAATTGGAAGCCTCTTTGAGGGGGAAGCTGGAAGGACGAACCTTGTAAAGCTCAGACTTGACTTTATACTGACCAGATTCCCCCATGATTGGTTGGCCATCATCGTCAAGGACAGTCTCTCCGAGACCGACTTTGACAAAGTCGTAGCGGCGTGCAACAACGGCTACAATGACATGCGCCTCGATCTTGGCGAAGTCTTGCCCGACACAATTCCGTGGACCTCGTTCAAATGGTCTCCAAGCACTGACCGGTGCCTGTGCTCTGCATATTGCTGCCGCCGCGAAGTCTTTGTTTGATAACTCCGTCGCTTCAAGCCACCGCTCGGGTATGAATGAGTCGGCCGAATCCCCGTACACAGCTCGGTCGCGATGGATTAAGCTATGGCAAATGTATAGGATCGCCCCGTCGACACAATGTTCTGTCCCATCGGCAGTACGCAGATTGAAACCTGTCCCAGGCTTCGTCATTCGTGCCGTACTTGCGGGGGGATGGAGTCGCAAGATCTCTTTCACAACGGCAGCTGTGTACGGCATTCGAGTTATGATGTCATTACCAGATGCCAGAAGTCGCTCAAGTACGATGCGAGGCTCGGTCTCCTTCCCAAGGAATGAGTCTAGCTCGGCTTGAACAGCAGCAAGGGCGCGTGGTGTCCGGGATAGCTCGTAGAAAATCCACGAGATCAGGATGCTTGTGGTATCATGTCCGGCAAACAAAAAGGTCTTCAGTTGGTCGCAAGCTTCGTTCACAAGCTGAGGGGTGAGGGTTTCTGTGTCTTGCAAGATGAGGGAGAGGACGCTGCGTGACTTGGTTGTGGGTCTCCCTTGTATTTCCGCCTGCTGCGCGGCATGCTTGCTATGGACGACATCCGTAAGAAGTGCGTTGATCCTTGCTCCGAGGCGGCGGCGCTTCAGTTCGGTCCTGGGAACCAACCACGAAGGTGAATCCATAGGATCGTTGATGTATGTGAGAAGTAGCTCGCGGTAAAGTCGAATGAACTCACTTTGACCAGAAGATTCGTGTTGTGCCTCCAAGTCCATGTCCATTACAACAATCCCAATTATGTCAAACATGAGGTTGCTGATGAGAAAAGCGAGGGAAAATTCGGTGCCCCGGCTGGCATAATTATCGAGGTGTTCAATAAACTTTGGAATCTTCCCAAGAATGCCAGGGAGTAGGGTTATCAAGTATGCTTGTGCAAATCCTGGATTGACTTTCTTTCGTAGTTCTGCCCAGTCTGATCCCTGCGCAGTGAGGATGGACTTAGGGCCTAGCAGGTGTGCAATATGTTTCTCAGTTTCAGATTTCGGGACACTCTTTGGAAAGACTTTGGTCCCCTTGGAGACCTGCTCTGCGATTAAATGGTCTGAAATGAGCAACATCGGGTAAGTGACTGGCCGAAGATCAAGCAGCATCATCGGTGGCTTTCCCAACGTGTCTCGTATTTCCGAGAAAACCAAATCTGTCCGCGCGTCAGAGAAGGAGCTTGTGATGGGGGCCCATCAGTGGTGACAGAATAGGGTCAATACCGGGATGTCGATTCTTGAGACCATGTTTGCTGAAGTTGTCAAAGGCCTTCAGATGCCCCCACAGTAGAGATGTGGATATCTGCGGAACCGTTGCGTATTGTCTGTATCGCTTGTAGTGAAGTTTGGTGGAGAGATAAGCCAGGAAAATGGCCAAGAAGGCGAGCACGAAATGTGTAAGCATATTGGTTTTGTCACTGGTGTAACCTGCATCCAGAGCTGTGGATAACGCAATCAAGTGTAGAGCCTCTTGGCGAATGATTGTGAGGAGGACGCGTTGAAAGTCCTTCAAAGAAATTCTGCAGTGTGGCCAGAGATTTTGAAATTGGAAACGCAGCTTAGAAAGGGCGAACAGAAGGGCACAGAAGCTCGGAAATGGTCGGATCTGGGCCGGCCCACATCTCGTTAGGGACGAGCTCTTGATAAATGCGCGAGGTGGCCGCGATGGTTGGCTTACTACCCGTGGACCCTATGTTACACACGAAGGCGTCCATGAGGAGGCCAACGTGTGCAGGCCGCAGGCTTGGCATGTCATAAGTACCGTACAGTACTACAAATCCTTTTCAGCTGCGATCTAATCATTTGAACCACACCCGTTTCAATGTCAGGACTTTCTGCATCCCGGCGTCCCTCCATTCTTCGCGTCCTTGACTATCTTTGATTTGAAGCCTTCAAGACCCAATGCAAGCACGCAGTAGCCACCCCCTGGAAACCGGCTCCCACCAAGGAATGACAGTGGACAGTCATGTACATGCGCTTTCTCAAAGCGCACAAGGCTTCGTGCCCTTGATTGCAACGATCGCTGCGCTCTACGTTGGCTGGAGGCTCTGGGCATTCACAATCTCGCCAGCATTGCATCCAGATGCTCCGAAGCCTCTGCCGTACAAGTTTCCCTGTACGTACTTTTTCATCGCTCGAGTTTGACTGCGTTGAGCTGATCTCTTGTGACAGTCTTCGGCCATGTTGTTGGGATGTCCAAATGTGTTGGGGAAGTTCTCACCCGCGGCAGGTACTTGGAGTTCATATTCTAAATTGTTGACGTAAATATGGCTGAACTCATGGGAATACAGAGAGCACTTCGGGAATACTCGCGAAATTTTCGGCTTGACCGTCATGGGTCAGGATATGTACATCGCGACGTCTCCTAAGGATGTCCTGTCCATCTACAAGGAGACCAAGAAATTGGACATGAATCCGGTGATCGCCAAAATCATGCGTGATTTCGACTGCAGTACGTGCTTCAGAACCCCCGCTCTTGCTACATTGTCACCCCTTGGTCGCCCGTGGGGGAAGCTCCAGTTGGGCGAAACATCACCATTTGCTGACGCAAGCACAGCCAAGGAAAATGTGCAAAAGATGTTTGACACTACCAACAAGCCGAAAAGCTGGATGGACACCTGCCATGACGACTTTAAGCTCCAGATGCACCCCGGAGAGAGATTGGAAATCCTCCAAACAACGGTTCTCAACAACATCGACCGACTTCTTCAATGGGATCAGGTCGTCGGTGTGAAATCTACCAAAGGTCCTGCCAAAATTGTGTCCGCTTGGGAATGGTGTAGGCACGCTCTTGTTGACGGCGCTACCCGTGCCTTCTTCGGTGATGCCATCTATCGAGTGGCGCCAGACATTCTGAGTGTCTTCTACATCTATGATGACGATGCCTGGAAGCAACACTACAACTACCCCAAATTTGCCGCTCGGAACATGTACGAAGCAAAGGAGCAGTGTCTTCAGGCATGGATAGCATATCTGTCTCTGCCCGTGGAAGAGAGAGAAGATGCGTCGTGGATTGTCAAGAAAATCGAGCAAGGTCTGAAACAGATGGGCGTCGACGAACCTTCGCAGGCCGCTCCAAACCTTCTGAGTTTGCACAGACTGTAGGTACCTCTGCTAATTATGGGCGTTCGTTTGTGAAGAAGCCCCTTCTATTTTGTTTGACCAGGACTGACGTCTATCGCCCAAGTGTCAACACCAACGCCTACCGTTTGTGCTTCTGGTCTCTTGCCTACATCCTACACGATCCTGAGACTATCAAAAGCATTAAGACCGAGATTCAGCCGGCCTTCAAGAATAAAATTCTGGACATGCCGTACCTTCTTGACCATTGCCCTTCGCTCGCATCTTTCTATGAGGAAATACTGCGTTATGTCAACGAGTGAGCACAACGACGGACTCAGTGCTTCTATCCAGGATGGGCTACTAACTGTTCAAAGTCCAGTAGGAATTCGAGAGGTCACAGAACAAGTATCCATTGGTGGCAAGACTCTTCAGCCGGGTCGAACCCTTCTCATGCCCTACAGACAGCTGCACTTCGATACGTCTGTATTCGGGCCGAATGCAGCGACATTCGATCCGCATCGGTTCCTGGAGAACAAGTCTCTCATCCGAAGCACCAGCTGGCGACCCTTTGGTGGCGCTGCTACTCATTGTCCAGGACGATTTCTGGCCAGGAGGGAGGTGTACATGTTCGTGGCCACCGTCCTTTTCCGATACGACATCAGGCTGGCACCGGGGCTGGATGGTACAACGCCAAAGTTCCCGAGACTGGATGAGACAATTCCGTCAGGAGGCATACTTAGTCCCGTCGCTGGCGATGATTTGCTCGTTCAGATACAGCGAATCAACTTGTGAGATCAATCGCGTCCTCGACCATCCCACTCAACAAAAGAAAATAGGCGGGTTTGAGTCATTGGTTATTCAGCACTTTACCCTCACCCTGGGATAGGATAGAAGGTCATGCGAATGTATTCTATTCCATCACCTAATCACTTCTGGGTCTTTGCCCGCGTGGAGGGAGGTAATAGCAGGGGCAGTTTCATGTCAGCCAGAGAGATGTATGTTAAAGTATTGGTTGATTTGATTTATAGTTGAAACAGGAATTTAAGTCGCTGGATTTGCTTTCTCTCTCCATGAACCCCTAAAGTGATGTCTGACAAGCGCCGACGGAGGGTTTGACCCATCGTTAGTGCTCCCTGAGTGCGCCTGCCCGACGCCAAACCCGTCAATATTGAGCACCAGTATGTCACCATACAGCCGGGGATTTTTCATGGAACTGAGGTCTCTCAAACTTTGCAGGCCAGGGTCGAACTTCTGCAGATGCGCAAAGACAACCTCGGTCCAAGCTGCGGGTCCTGTCGAGTTCATGACCTCAAAACTGCTGGGCTTCATGTCTCCCAAGCTCTTGTTGTAAGTCGCCGAGAGCTCTTTCAGAGACCCCAGAGAGCGGGCTACCATATCTGGGAAGATCGGATGCCCCGGCGCTGCGGCGATGGTCCACTGGCAAAACTGTAAAACATGGGGGATATCGGCCCAAGGGCCGCCATCTCTCTGGTCAAACTCAACGCCCACGATCAGCTTCACCCGATCCTTCATATCCCAACCAACCCACTTGTCAATGGGTTGCAGGCCTTCCGTGTCCGTATCGGTGTAAACGCCCCCCTCGATGAAGAGGATCAAGTACCGAAGAAGATCGGACTTCAGCCCAGGGTTTCGCAATTCGTGGTAAACCTTTGCTATTTCTGATTCCGGACCAAACTGCGCGTCGACAAAAGCATCGGCCCACTTCGATGTCACGAGGCGATAATGATAGTCGGGGTTCCGGGCCAGCCAGGACGGCACATCGATGAGCGCGGCAGGGTGGATGGTAAAGTCGTCGCCAGCATTGTTGGGTGGCAGGAAAATCTGCCAAAGTTTATCCGGTATTGCGGCACTCTTCTGGGGCGGGATTTTGTCCTCAGGCTGATCAATGAGGTTGGAGATGCGGCTGGGATATGAGTTGTTCTGCAGGAGCAACAGAAACAACGTCGTGACGAGGCCAGCGAAAACGAGTGGAGCCCAAGAGGTCTTGGGGTTCTGTTTGTGCCACGCGAGGACCTGCCAAGACATAGCCATTCTTGCAATGAGTGACAAGGGCTCAAAATGTGAGTTGGAAAGGAGTCTAGTCTATATTATAAGGATGTGATTGATCAGCCCGAGTGAAGAAATAAAAACAAATTAAAGGGAAGTTGTCATCTTGCCATGCAGACGATGAATATAGAAGAGATCACAAGACGCTCTAGGAAAGCAACGAGAAAAGAGAACAAAAGCGACGGAGCCCGAGTCAGAGTCAGAGAGTGTGGATGTGTGGGGGTGTGTGTGGATGCCTGTGGATGACAGTTGCTTTCATTGGACAAAACCCCTGGCCATGAGAGACTCAGCACTTGCAACTTGCAAGATGGGGCGGAAATCAACCCGGGTTCCAACCAACACAGTCCCTTTAATGATGACCCATCTGAAAGCGCAGATCCGACTGAGGATGGGTGAGCCAGGCCAATGGCATGTACGGAAGCCATCCTTCTGTGGGCCTGCTGAGCCTGCTCCCAGTTACAACTATTTTGTGGCATCACCAACACCTGCATACGCGGAGTCTTGAGCGCCTAAACGGTCAATGAGAGTCATTTTTTTTTCCCGCCGGAGATTGACCTGGTCCAATCCAGGCATTTCGTTCTTCCCGAGTTCACAACTGGTATGATCCCCCTTTCCCGCACCTTGATGTCTTGTGCATGAGAGACACGTTTCCACACCTAGTCCTTCCCGGCATATGGGAGAACATCACTGCGAGCGAATCTCAATATATTAGCTTCTTTAAGTCCCCCGAGACTGGTGCCTTTGGTTTCTATGGTTTTTAATGGTGCAGCTGGACCACTTTCATTCATCAACACCTAATTCGCCTAGTCACATCAACCAACGACGCCACGCCATCGCGAACCACGTACCTAGGTACCTAGGTAGATAGTTGCCAAGGTGGGCTTCTAAGCAGACTATCGACACGTTATAAGAGTTTTAGACTGAAAAGTACAGAGAATTCGAATACCCGACCCTGTTGCATCAACATCCGCGCCCCCTGAATAAACGCGCTATTTTGACACAACACCACTATTCTTTCTCTTCATGATGGAGACCAACTGATCTGGCCCCTCCTTAACCCCAATGATACCCACGACTGGTCTACCCACATCCGGCTCCGGTAGAGGTGGACTTCCCACCATGGTAATATCGAAGCGGCGGAGAAGCGTAGCCACGAACGCAGTCACAAAGAACTTTGCCAAGAATCGGCCGCTGCAAATTGTCCGGCCAGCTCCAAATGGTCTCCAGGAGGGGTGGCTTGGCAGCTTTCGGCCCGCATCTGTGAGCCAGCGCTGGGGGTTCCAGATATCGACCTCGGCGCCGAACACTTGCTCTTCGAAATGAGCTAGTCGGTGGGGGACCATAACACGGTTTCCGCTACGCAGGCGTTTGCCTCCAATGACGACATCACGGGTGATCAGCCGGACCGAGGCTGACCATCCGGCCACTCGGAGCGTCTCATGCCAGATTGCGTCCACCTGCGGGCATTTCTTGGGATCTTGGATATGGCTAATGTCTACAAGCTCGTCACCATTGAATGCAGGCGCCGTCTCCTCGCGAAATGCCTTCAGGTAAGACGGATTGCGTAAAAGGTGAGATATCATCCAGAATGATGTCCTGCGGGCGTTGGTGTTGATTCTGCACGCCAAGAAGACGACTATGTTAGTAGCCTGGCTGTGGAAAGGGTTAAGTGATGTTCTGTAAAAGAGGAATTCTTACGCAAAGTAGAGGTGGAAAACCATGATGGCAATGTTCTCGTCATCCACACCAATAGCTCTCATCTCATCCTCCATGTTGTTGATTATCCAAGCAGCTTGCTCTCTTCGCTGGTTCCGAGGCAGCTGAAAGTAGGCCTTCAGCGACGCCATCATCTGGTCTCTGGGTGCGGTCATATCACGGCATAGGAATGGCGGGTATTGATAGAGCATCTTCCAGACCACCTCGTCGAAAGTGATGTAGGCGTTTGGGTAGCTAGGATCCACCTTATCTAGCACATCGCCGAAATACACATGTTGTCCAAGTCGAACGAAGTAGTCAGAAGTCCATTGGTACAATGGCAACTGGATATGTGTTGAGTCGCGCGAAGGGCAATATGTGCACTCCTTGGCTAGAACGTCGAAATTGAGATGGCTGTTGATCCAGTCTCGAACCTTGCCCTGTAGCAAATGAAGATTCTCGCCCGGATGAAGCTGATGGATGTGCATACGTTCAGCCAAGCCGATTAAAGACAGGCCTTCGGGATTCGGGAAGCCAGGTTTGTCGCGAGGTAGACGACAGGAAACTTTTCTTATTGTATCCTCGTCATTGCCGTTGGTTCTCATCAAGGTCTGAACGAACTCCTCGAATGAGAGCGACTCAGTGTCTTTGTACACTGCCACCGATTGCTTTGCGTGGGTGACAACATAGAACGTCTGACCGAAAACCGTCAAAGTGAATGGGTCATCTCTACATCCGAAATGGTTTCTATTTGAACATGTGAGCGGAGGCATGGTCCCAATATAGTCACGTCGAAGCGGCCTCTACTTGCCTTGCTCTTGTGAGTAATCCGTTTGAATCCTGAAAGAATGATGCGCCATGGCCTGTAGTTATGCAAAAGATCTGTTAGGCCTGTCGATTCAGAATTGTTCTATGAGTCTGGGACACCCACCTAGGACTGTTGGAGAATCTTCTGTCAGCGTACTGTGATCAAGTGCGTAGCGTACTTCAATACCTACATGGAATAAGGTAAGGCAATTCCAAAGGTTCATCAGGATGAAGCTTGGGGTATATGGTGAACCTCCAAAACCGCCAAATTGACCATGCCGCAAGGACAAGTAGCAACATGTGCAGCATGACAGCACTGTCGTGCACGGAAACAACGCGTTTTTGCAACAAGGACTCGAGAAAAGTGGCCATACTAGACATGGTCATGCTGGGTTCACAGGTCGCAGCCTGAATTGAGGGTAGCAACGAAATAACTAGATCACAGGTCGGTCTCAGGTCGATGGGTGCTAAGACGATCCAGACACCAGTAAATATGTTCGTTGCGCGATTGCCACCATGTGCATCCAGAAACGAAGAAAACCGCAAGCGGAAGCAAGTGGTACCGAGGTACCATTCGCTGTGGGTTGCTGAAAGGTGAGTATTCCGAGCGGCACAGATTTGAGTCCACCTGCATCGTTGGGACAGCACAGTAAGATAACTACTGTGTACCAGGACTTGCTTCCAAGGCAGGCATGGAAGCCCGATGATGGCAATCCTTGGACATCAGTCTCAACGCCGCGGCTGACTTCTCAGTCCTGATTAGCGCTGAGCTTCCCAGCTTGGAAGCGAGAAACTGTTACATTATTTTACAATAACAGGTTTAGTCCATGCAGAATCCTAGTTCCAACAGATAGGACTCCCAACATCGGCTGTGCCAGGGTGAGTGGGGACGCGAACGACCCCTGTACTGCAGAGTACACAACCAACAGCCCCATTGAAAGCTCCCAAAATGGCCCCGTGGGCGTGATTTTCGGTCGTAACCAAAAATAGGCTGGTGCAATACTGTTCAATTCTCCCAGGTTCCGCGATTTATGGTGCCAATACTTGTGACTGATTCTCAGCTGTCCTGTTCAACAATCAACCACACGCAACCAAGTATATCAGGTCTCAGCCCCGGAGTGTGACCACCCTTGGCACCAACACCCCATTCTGGCCAGGGTTTTGCAAACCATCTTCGTTTCCTACCCTAATCAATCAGTCAGATACCGTTGCACACACCATGGATCTCTCTTCAGTGGATTTGTGTACCCTTCCGGCGGCGACGTCTCCAGACGGGCACTACAACTTTGACAACCCGAGAACCCTGGGTCCTACGATTTTAGGGGTTGGCATAGTCCTGTGCACAATATCCGTCCTTATGGTAATTGGGCGCATTCGCATTAACCAGAGAAGGTTGCGGTCGGCGGATTGTAATGTCTCTCTACATGAATGGGACCAGAGGACACGATGCTCATATTCCACAGATTTCACAATCGCCGCCTGTGCCTTCAATATTGGATTCACAGGGATTCAGCTTTCTTGTAAGCACTGCATCACACAAGTATCAGAGTCATTTCTTGTTGCTGACCTCGATACTTTAATGCAGCATGGCGAATGTTTCGCCACCAATGGAACATACCAGTCTGCTGGTACACGACCACATATTTCAAGATTCTCTTCGTCCAGGAGTGTTTCTTCTTCCCAGTATACTTCACGTCCAAGACTGCCATATTCTTGCTGTATCGGCAGCTCTTCGCAGTGAAGAAATGGATGAGAATCTTGATCAACATTGGCATTTTTGTCACATTCGTTTTATACTTTCTCAACGTACCCCTGGCAGCTGTCTATTCCGCACCCCGTGTGGGGGAGTCTTGGGAAATGATCATGACATCTCATGGGCCCGAGTACATGATCACGTGGGGTATCGTCATGGCTGCCATCAGTACATTGTTAGATCTTTACATCTTCTTTTTGCCCATTCCCAATATCGTCAGCCTTCAGATGCCACTTGAACGTCGGCTGCAACTGGTGGGGGTATTCGCCACAGCATTGCTGTAAGTTCAACAGCCGCTCCAGAATTGCGAGATTTGACTGACGAAGCCAACTCAGGGGTGTGGTGGCGAGCGCGCTGTCCCTTGTCTACAGAATTGATTTACTTGACACCGAGGATAAAGTGTGGCCACAAGCCATTGTGTCAATCTGCGCGTATGTTGTCCCCGATTCGCATTTTGATTGTTTCTGTCTGTGGTTCGCTTTGATACTGAATGCTGACCACGACCCAGTCTTATTGAGTCCAATGTCGCAATCATCGTGGGTTGCATGCCAGCATTTTCCCAGATATGGAAGACGCATGTGGGCGGGTCTGCCCTCTTCAAGTCGCTCCGCTCTCGGCTTCGGGGTAAAAGCAGCATGGGCAGCAAAAATTCAGGAGAGCAGGGCAAGAGTGGTTCTCCTGAGTTGGCTGCCTGGGCTGACAACCAGGCCCCAGAAATGCAGAGAAATCATTACGAAATGTCAGATACGAACCTGCTCAAATCACAGGTTACCAGTGGGCCAGGACAGTTGAGCTCATCACAAAACGGAATTACTCGCTCCGTGGGCATTTCACAGCAGTGGCAGCTCAACTTCGAAAATGACAGCAGAGAATGTCTGGCGTAGAGGCAAACCACCTCCAATTCATTTGACCTGCAAATTTGGATTCAATGTGTGGGGCAAGGTCCGCCATGATGATGAGGGATAGCACCAGATCGCCTCACATGCATGAAGCCTGGCTGCTGGAGGCTGCATGATTGGCAGTGTGGACACTGCAGTAGGGGATAGGAGAAGGGCCTAGAGATACCTAGGTAGTTGAAGCTAGTATCTAGATACTTCAACAGGAATTGAGACAGTCCGTCTGTAAGCCTGGACGCTATGCTGCAAGCCAAATAATGTCAGGTGGAGTGGATGTAGCACCATCATGGTTGTGTAAACTCGTTCATCCGTGCGGCTTGGTTGTCTTGTAATTGACAAGGTGGCAGACTTCACATGAAATCTTGGCATGGCACTATTCCCATGCTGCGTACTGGGGTACACGCAAGAATTGCGAGCATTCGGCGCGCGGGAGAGTATTCCGACGGTGTCAGAAATCGCAACCCGAATTTGCATCAGTCATCCTTGCAGCTAGCAACCAGATAAGCGCCGGATGCCACTTTCAGCACCCAGGCATTCCCACAAAATGGTGTGGCACCGCCCCGCCAGATCCTGCGGGGAGTACTCCCGGGCCGAGAAACAACCACACAGTATAGTCGATCCTCCGAACTGGTCGTCATGCCTGGATACCTGATGGCACCCATGACAGGAAGGTCACATTGGAAATTAGTTGACTCCTACGGCGTCGGTAGAGGGCATTGCCAGCAGTGCTCGGAACGACCGGGACCTGTCGGCGCAGTTCGCCGCCTGGATCAGCCAGTTGGCAGTGCTTCGAGGAGTGGTACTGGCTAATTTTGGCGACTTTCATAGTGCTCAAAATTACTATATGAAGGACATGATTTCAAGGACGTTGCAACTACAACCGGCCATGGCATCAGCCTGCTTCCTCACTGCTGATTATTCACCACCCACAAGCTTTTGCCAATATTCGCAATCTTGGCGCGTGTGAACTCCGAGTTCGGTGTGTTGTCCAACTGCAATCACACCTTCCCCTTCCCAAGCGAGCAGAAAATGACGACCAATATTAGCCTGCGTCGCGTATGTGTAAGATTCCGAGCATGCATTCCGTGAACCAACACGACATGGACCGATCTGAGGCTGACCCGGTATCTGCAAATTCTAGTGCGAAGCGTTGGCCGCGCTGCTGGGACCCGAAAAGGTATTGTTTCGAGGAAGCCCCGCCTACGATACAACCCTATCGTCATATTTCGCCTTACAGGCATCCTCGGTCCAGCCGCTGTGTTTTGTTACGCCGCACACAGCCAGCGATGTCTCCAGCGTGGTCCAGTCGCTCACCGCTGACTCCGCAGGCGGCTCATGCCACTTCGCCATCCGATCTGGGGGCCACATGTGGGTCCCGGGTGCATCGAACTCCCCAGATGGCGTCACGGTCGACCTGGCGAACCTCAATTCGATAGACGTGAACACCGAGGCCTTAACTGTGTCTGTTGGTCCCGCCGCGACGTGGGATGCTGTGTTTGCCAAGCTTGACCCCTTGGGCTTTAGTGCTGTTGGAGGCCGAGTTGCTGGTGTGGGCGTGGGAGGCCTAACACTGGGCGGCGGTCTTTCTCATTTCGGCCCTCGCTATGGATGGACCTGTGATACGGTCACAGCTTTCGAGGTTGTGCTTGCCGACGGTTCCATTATAGAAGCGAATGAGACACACAACAAGGACCTTTTCCGTGGACTCCGCGGCGGATCCAACAACTTCGGCATTGTCACTAGAATCGACCTGAAGATCTTCGAGCAAGGTCCTGTCTGGGCTGCTACCATCTACAGTCCACTCTCGACTATAGACGATCAAATCGAAATTTTTGCCGGGCTTTCTGCGGCTGAGAATTATGACGAGAATGCCTCGTTCATCACGGGATTCGGATATTCACAGTCCAGGAACCTAACAGTCATCACCAACGACCTGGTGTACACAAAGGCGGTGGAGAACCCACAATATTACAAGGGGTTCCTGGATCAACCTTCCATTTACAGTTCATCCTCCCTGACCAACATGACGGCGCTTTCACAGCAGCAAGCAAGTTATCTGCCCCCGGGGGTTTTTCGGTAAACAGGGTCCACTTTCCGAGACATCTCGTCCAGCAGCTAACCGTAATTAGGTACCTGTTCGCAACGACAACCTTTGTCCCAACTCAGGAGATGCTCCGTGCGGTATACGATGCTTATGTTAGCAGTCTGGAAGCAGTCAAGGACATCAACGGCCTGACTTGGACGGTCTCACTTGAACCACTGCCCCCTCAGATCTACCAGCGTGGCGCAGCAGACAATGCCCTTGGCCTGGCTGACCGGAGCGGGACACGCGTTGTGTGCCTTCTCTCACAGGCTTGGTCCGACCAGGCAGACAGTGAGCGTGCTACCGCAGCATCTGCGGCGCTCGTCGGGGCCATCGAAAAGGCCGCCCGCGAGCTCGGGGCCCATGATCCATACATCTACCTGAACTACGCCGCAAACTGGCAGGACCCAATCTCGACCTATGGGGCTGAGAGCGTCAAACAGCTGCAGGAGCTGCGAGCTAAGGTGGATCCCGAGGGGGTCTTCACGCGTCTTGTCCCTGGTGGCTTCAAGGTGCCGAATTGAGAAGGAACATGGCCCTGGCCAGTTCGCGCGATGTACTGTGTACAGATGGTCACCGAATGGAGGTGGATGACAAGGACCTTGGGAACCCCCCAGTTGACTGATCGGTGTTATTAGGTGCCAGGGTGCCTGAGTACCTAGGTATTTTCGGCTTTAGACCTCGGCAGGTGTCTTTGAGACGCGCCCGCTGATTGCGATAATCCTCATGCCCATCAGACCAGATGTTGAGTGATCCACTCGCGGCCAAACTGCGCCGGTCATTGTGAAATATTTTTACCAACACGTGCATGATGGGTGTCATTCTGTTGCTCAGATGTGACTGTTGGTGGCTAGATCCGACAGTTGGTGACCAAGCATTGTAACATCGATAGCGGGGATACGCCACATTGGGCTGATTGGACCGCAGTGCTAGTGTCCGCTTTTGCTGTGACGTATTCCAGATGCTACTCTGCACACAGAAGTTTAGTGGGGCCTGTGTTGACAGCCTGAAGATAACTCAGATGAACGGGGGTGGGGTTGGGGGTGGGGGCCAGGCTGATCTGACCCCGTCTGAGCACATTGCCAACCGCCCGGCGTATTAGTGCATGGTAGCAATGACACTGTATGCAGCCGTTGGTGCCACCAAATGGTGGCACAGCCAGGCTACCAGCCGGGCAAGGCACGCGGCCCTCGGTCCTGCCTGGAGCATGTTGCAATCTGATATACGCGGGGTTCCGCCGCTCTCACCCAACCCCACGTACAGTGTAACTCTGACCAGCCCGCAGGTGTCGTTCCGAAGCACGCACAATACAGCCTCATCAGTTTGTCACAAACTTGACTACTGACTGTGTACTGTGCTGTGGTAAGTGACCTCCAGGGCTCACGTAGCTGCCCTTGATCAAGAGTCACATCCGTTTGAACAAGAAGTCGCTCCGCACTTGCGTACACCCCGAGTTCTGAGCGCACAGATTCTGACACAGAAGAATGAGAATGGGATGTAACGTCGGTGAGACGGGGGGGGGGGGGTACGGAAACGCGTCAAGGGCCGAGAAATCAGGGAATTGCGTGCTATTTGGTCCACGACAGTCCCAACTGAGCCGCACATCTGCGTCTGTAGCCCTATCACAGGGTCGTAACGGGGGTTGCGCCTTTTATGCAGGCTAGGCGGAGCCCCTGCATCCCGTCAGCCCGTGTGCCTTTTGCGGCTCGCCTAGCACACCTAGCAAAGCTTAATGCAACGGGATTGGAGCGCTACTTCTTGACAGCCGCCGACCAACGAATCCGAGGAGGACCCCAGGTGTGTCCCCCGGGACCAACTTTTTGTTCGCTCTGTAGCATGGTCACTCTCTGTCTCAACACCGAGTAGAACGTGCACAATCTGAACGAACACATGATGGCCACCTCCAACGCCACAATTTTCCTCACTGGTGCCAATGGCGGCCTCGGCACTGCTATTGTCGACGACATCATCTCAAAGGCCGAATTCTCTGGCTGTCATGGCATCTACACCGTCCGAGATGCGAAGACCTCCACTTCGCTCCACTCGGCGCTGCAAGCCTCTCAGTCTCACTCGCACGAGATACTGTCGCTCGACCTTTCCAATCTATCGAATGTGCGCCAAGTTGCGGCAACTGTCAACGCCAAGGTTGCCAACGGGGAGATCCCGCGAATCAAAGCCTTGATTCTTAACGCAGCCTATAGAGAACATCAGGGTCAGACGAGGACTGAAAGCGGCCTGGATATTGCCTTTGCGAGCAATTATTTAGGACATTGGCTGCTAGTGCTGTTGTTGTTGGAAAGTATGGATCAGGAGTCTGGTAGGATAGTTGTCGTGAGTAGTTGGGTTCATGAGTGAGTGAACCAGTCCCAAGCCCCCACCTCTCGGTTTGACATCTGCCGCCTAACGCCTGGGAATTGCTAGTCCTCTCGACGAAGGCAACAAAGCCTCGGGTGCATATGAGGACCCCAAGTGGAAGAAGATATTTGTCGACACCAAAAGCGAGACCCTTGAGTCTGTTGCCCAGGGGACTTGGAGCCCCCCCGGTGACCCATCAAAGGATCCATACGGTCTTGCTGCAATCAGGCGCTACGGGGCTTCTAAGCTGTGTCTGGTCATGATGATGTGAGCAACACCACTTCTCCCTTGAATACAGTTCTGAGCTGACACAAAGCCACGCCACGCAGTATCGAACTCCAGCGTCGACTCAACTCAGATCCCAAACTGAGCGGCATCTCGATCCTGGGCGTCGATCCCGGATTGATGCCAACCAAGATCACTACAGGCAGCCTTGGATGGCTAATCAGGTCCATATATACGCTTGTGATGCACATCTCGGGTCGCATCTGGCCGAACGGCTCGCTGCGACTGAAGTCGAAGTCGGCAGGCGATGTGCTCGCGGCTGCCATCAGCACAAAGCCTCCTTTTGGTGAACGACCAAAGGGCCTGTACATGAATGGTTCTGAGCCCAAAGAAGTGAGCGTCGAGGCACAGGACGAGCAAAAAAGGGCCAATGTATGGAAGGCGAGCATCACCTACACAGGTCTGAAGGATGGGCAGACCTGCCTGGTCGATTGGGCGTAGTGATTTGACATATTATCATGACCATTTCATAATGTGATTCCCCAGGTCAAAGCAATCGAAATTTGGCTGTGGTCAGTCTTGCTGCGGCTTTGACAGGCATGTAGCCATGACGAAAGCCCGAACCCTCGATCCAATGTGAAGACAACCAAGACCGTGGCCACCCTCGATTGAGGTGATTGTGGTTGCCTTGCCATGATCTTGGCACTGTTCCAGGGTGGCCGTAGTGGAGGGGGCAGGGCTCTCAAGCTGCTCCCTGGCCCGGATGGGCTTGTGGGGGCTAGTAGGACCAACGGCACCTGGGGTGCTTGGTCCACTTTAACTCGCCCCGCCTTTTTAGTTCACCCATGGGCAATCAAAACAAACAGGAATTTAGCTGCGGTAGGTAAGTGTGTACCCAGGTCACCCGCTGTTGACGACGAATTACCAACCCCCCCCTCCTTCTTCCTGGTGGCTATTTAGGCACTTAATATCTGTTCACCTTAGCACAAGCAGAAGGCAACTCGCTCGAAGACGTAACACAGTCCTATTTTCCACCACAACCACTGTTCACCCCTTCGTGCCCCCAATCATGATCCTTTCATTTTTCCTGTACGCCGCCGTGGCTTATTCAATTTGGAGCTTGATCTGCCTCGAATCCAACGTTCGCAAGGCTCGAGCTCTGGGTATACACGCTATCCGCATTCCCTTTGACGTAAACAATTACATATGGGTCTTTTCCCAACCGTTACTATGGACACTGCTAGCCTATTTGCCAATTCCATGGGGCTCCTACCCGGACTTCGTGCGATTCTCACACCGTAATTGGCACTTCCTCGAGAAAAGCAACCCTGCGTCACGCTTCGAATCTGTCTGGGCCACTGTCTCACCTAGTGGAATACACCTATACGTGGCCGACGCAGACGCGATTCATGATATCTGTTCTCGTTGGAGAGACTTCTTCCGACCTGTTGAAATGTACCGTGAGTGTTCACCAGACATGAACGGACGCTGTCACAATTCTGCCGTGCTCACCAGAATACAGAGATGCTGGCTGTTTATGGCCCAAATGTCTTCACGACGAAGATACCAGACTGGCCTCGACATCGAAACGCAGTGTCAGCGCCTTTCAATAATACAATCATGGACTTCGTATGGAATGAGTCCGTCCGTCATGCACAGTGCGTCCTCTTTGTTCTGTGCGATCTCAAGATGCTCGGAGCTTTCAACTAACACTGTCCAAGTGCAATGACTCGCCATTGGACGTCCACAACCGATGCATCAATCCCAGATATACAGAGAGACATGGAAACATTGACTCTCAACGTTCTCGCATCAGCAGCGTTTCATGAGTCCTACGACTTCAACCCCTCCTGGGAATCCGACGCGCTCGATTCAGCTACTCAGAGCTACCGGGACGCTTTGTTTGTCGTACACAAGCACGCCATCCACCTCATGCTCATTCCATATCACATCCTTACCGGATCTTTGATGCCCAAGGGTCTTGCTCGGATCGGCAAAGCCGCTGTCTCGCTCAAAGATCACATGACAAAGATGGTGAGGAAAGAGAGGCTGGCAATGGAAAGGGGCGAGCCAGGGTCAGGTGGTCTCGTAACTCAACTCGTGCGAGACCACCTGGAAACCCTACAAGCCGATCTATGGGACATGCCCAAGGCTAAGAAAGGAACACTGTCAAATGAAGAGATTATGGGAAATCTGTTCGTAATGACCTTTGCTGGATACGACACAACGGCTATTGCGCTCTCCTTCGCCATGACACTCCTAGCTGGACACCCCGACGTACAGGAGTGGTTATCTGAGGAGATAATTACAGTCACCGAGAACAAACCTGTCGAATCTTGGACCTACGATTTGTTTCTCAAGCTAAAGCGATGCCGGGCTGTGTTTCTTGAGACCATGAGGCTGTATGGGCCTATCACCGGATTACCAAAGGTTGCTACTGACAGGACACAGCCTATTCGAGTTGGTGATCGAGTTCTTGCCATTCCGCAGGGTACTGAAACCATTCTCTTACTTCACAGTGCCCAAACTGATCCAAGGTATTGGCCTGGGGGTGATCCACATGCGTGGAGTCCTTCACGCTGGATATGTCGACGGGAGCCTGATGCGGAACCTGCGTGCGAAGAGCTCTTCGTCCCCAAAAGGGGTTCATTCTCCCCCTGGTCCGATGGCCCACAGGGATGTGTTGGAAAGAAGTTTGCTGAGGTTGAGGCAGTTGCTGCTCTGGCATGTGTCCTCAAAGATTGCCGCATACGCCCAAAATTGGGGGCTGGGGAGACTTTGGAGCAGGGCGAGCAGCGGGCTAAGAGGTGCGCGAATGATGTTAATTACCAGCTCATGTTGAGGATGAACGACCCCAGTCAGGCCAAGCTGGAATGTAAGAGAGTGTAGATGCGGTCAGGCAACGAAATTTTAGTTACAAGGGCAGCCTTGATGGCACCTCGTCCGGAGAGCCAGGTAAAAACAAAAGAATAATAAATACCTTATAAAAATATGTGTACCTAAAGGCTTCGTTTGGTTGAGGAATAAGCGTGGTGAGGAGTTGTTCTAGGGGTGAAGTGGAGCTAGGTAGAAGTAGGAGCTACTCCTTCCTTAACACTACAACTCTTTAAATATAGATAGTATATATAGAGATATAATAATTAATTAACCTATATATAAAATTTAGATCTTAATTAATCTCTATTTAAGAAATATTTTATTAGATTATATAGTAATAGAGAAAGCTCTAATTATTATTATTCTTTTATTTTACATTAAATTAACTCCTTATTATATTAAATAAAGTAAAAGTAAGAAAGCTTTATATTTTAATAACTTAATCTAAGAGTAAAATATAGTAAATTAAATTTTGAAAATTTCTTTTAAATTATAATAATTTATTATTTAATATAAACTTTAAAGGTTTTATTTAAAAATAATAAAAATATTAATTAAAAATAAATATTAAATTAAAATATTATTTATAAAATTATATTTATTATTTGATTATTAAAGATAAATCTTAAGAAACTATTATATAATTTTAAGTTATTTTATAAAAATTAAAATATAATAAATACTTATAATCTTAACTTTAAAATATAATAATAAAATTAAAGGATATTATTTTAATAATAATATTAATAAAACTATTATAAAAATAATAATAATATAATAATATTATACCCTTTTAAATATAAAGCTAAAAATCTATAATTATAATTTTTAACTAATTTTAATTTAACTATTTTATTATACTATAACTTAATCTAACCTTATTTAAACCTTTCCTTAAATCTATTTAATATTTTCCTCTTTAAATAAGTTAAATTTAAATTAAAACCTTTAAGCTTAAGTTTAAGATTCTTATAAATTTTAATTTACTTTAAATTAAACTTATAATCCCTTAATTTCTTTAAAAATATATTAACTATCTTAAATAATAACAACTTTTCTTTAAAATAAAAGTCTACCTTTATATAATTATAAATCTAATTATTAATAGCTATTTTCTTTTCTATTTATAATCTATTAAAACTATAAACTTAAATACTATATATAGTAATAAAATATAGTTACCTTATTTAATTATCTTTTAGTTTAAAGTATAATAGGTTAAATAACTACTTTTAAGTAGTTTTACTTATAGAGTTAATAAATAAGTGTTTACTTATAATATAGTGAAGTTAATAGATAGATATTTACTTATAAAGTAAAGCTAGAACCCTTAAGGGAATAGTAGCTTTATTTTTACCTATTTTAGCTAACTTATATTTATACTTAAGTTATATAGTAACCTTATATATAGTACTTAACGGCATTAAGACTAGTTTATAGTCTATAATAGCTTTAAGTTTTAATAAGCTAATAGCGCCAACTTAAACTAATTAAATATAGCTTAATATATTAATATAAAAAGGTATCTTCTAATAATAAATAGTATTATAAATAATTATAAAGTTATTATAAAAAGTTATATATAGTAAACTTAATTAAATTAATCTTTAAAAGATATATTATATCTTATCCCTTTAAAACTCTAACTATTTACTTCTAGCTTAATAGTAAAACTAAAAATATAAATAGTCTATAATAATATTATATATATTCTTAAATATATATATTATACTTTTCCTTACTATTAAAAAGTTAATAATTATTAATAATAAAAATATAAACTTAAAGAAGGATAAACTTATTATACTCTTTCTTTATCTTTTATAAATTATTTTTAAAACTTTCTTTAAGAGTTTTAATACTTTATTATAAAAGTTTTAAAGGTAATATATTATAAATTACTTCTTTATTTTAAGTTTTTAAAGTTAATAACTATATATTTAAATAAAAGTTATAATACTTATTTAATAAAGGTTTTATTAATATATATATATATATATTTAAAGGGATAATTTTTAACTAAGCTTTTTTAATATAATTTATTTATATAAAAACTATTTTTAAACTTAATCTTACTATATAACTTTTATATAATATTAATATTATTATTAAAATAATACTTTTAACTTTATTTATATATTATAAAACTAAAGTTATAAATATTTATTATATTATTATTATTATTATTAATATTATATTCTATTTAAACACTAAGTTTAAAATACTTACTATTATATAAAAGTATTATATATATCTTTAAATATATATAAAATAGAAGTAAAACTATATAGAATAAATATAAAACTTTATATATAAAAGTAACTATTTAACCTTTTTATTTAAGTTTTATTATAACCTATTTAGCGGCAATTTAACCTCTACTATTATTAAGACGCCCCTCCCTTAGGATTGCCCCTCTTTCTAGTTTGTTAGTACCCTTATTCACCGCGGCCTTCGCTCTCGGGCTGCCCACGGCTCTTATGTTAGTTAGCTGGCTACTCCTCCTTCCCGTCAGCACAAGGTGTAGGAGGGTCAAAATGTATTAGATTACAGCTGGGCCTAAAGTAGCTTTGCAACAAAGTACACTATATAAACTATAATAGTCTAGGTCTAATAAGTAGAAAGAAAGGAAACGAAGGGGAACAGAACGCATGCTATCCGCATTCAAACACCACAGACCACTGCCGGTAGGACTGCATATGCGACCACCATGGGTTACGAGATGACTGTAGCTATCCGGAAGCTTCATGCCAGGGCCTTTGGGACTGATCGCACGCCGCGCGAGAAAGTCCTATTTCCAGACAACCTCCGCCCATGTGTGCAGGAGCTCCCTTTGAGTTCAAAAATTAGCACACAAACTTAGTTAATCTCTCTTCGAAAAGAACTACTCACAACTCTTACGCACTCGTGGCGGCGATCAAAGTAATCAGGTATAGCTTTGCAAGAAACAGCAGCCTCGTCTTTCGTCTGACATCTGACAACGCCGTCGAAAGCCCAGATTACGTACCCTGGAATCGGATAACCATATGTTTTGACCCAGTCCAAACACGCTTCTGCATTTCGTCTATAAGAAGTATCCGTCTCCTTCTCGGAAATACTCCTCTCAAGAGCCGTTATGATGCACTGCCAGGCATCTTGCTCTTCTTTTGAACACGTTGGGATTGTATCCGGTGTAGTTGCGGCGGCTAGGTCGCTAAGCGGCACAGTTACTCGCTTGGATGACAAGAGGCCCATCTTGTCTTTGATATTACCGCGGCGCACACGCAGGTACAGGTTGAGCAGCTCGAGATATAATCGAGTGTTGGCGAAAACTGGGGATTGTGTTGCAGGCCAGGAAGGGGCCTCTGAAAGGTCGTGAGGTTGGGGACTAATGCTATTTATAGCTAGCTGCCAGCCCGGTTATTGACTGTTGCTGGCCGGAAACTATGCGGGTGTTGGGCGTTGTGCTGCAGGCAGCCTGCCTGATCTTGGTGTCCACCCTTCATCTCCAGTTTCTAGGCAGGCACTTTACCACGGTCGAGGCCATGTTGGTCTTTAGTTGGCCTGCGGCGAGGTCAACTTGCCGCGTAAAATGCCCACTCAGAACGCAAAGCTACTTCTCTTCAAAGCAGCATCTGTGAGTTGGTGGCAGTACGAATGATGGAGAAGGATGGCTCCAACCCGCAGTGCGGGGCCTGGCATGTGACTCTGTGCCGCTAAAGAAGAACCTTGGAAGAGAATGTCAGAGGGCCCCGCGAGGCAGAATGCCGCACCACAAACCTCGATCCAAGGCTCCCACACGTGAGCCATTATGAGCTGAACCCTTCGAAGGCAACTATTGTCCATCGAGTTCTCACCTGATTCATCCTTTGTTCACCATTCAACCAGGACGCCTTAGGACCTACCGCCTAAATATAGTGCCTGTGACGGGATGGATACAGATGTATCGAAGACATGTTAGTTGATTTTCTTTGAGCGCGTGTAAGAGGTCACAGATAAGCTGTGTACGTAGAATCGTTGCTTGAGGTGCCTGCCAACGCTCTGTAGAAGCACCTACATGGAGATGCCAACCTAGGTACGTACCGATGACCAAGCAAACAAAGCACTGCTAATAAAGCACTGCTAACAACTCACTGCCAACAGTCAACAGTCGTCGATCATGGCAGGGTCCGGGAATGTGTTCGTTCTTTGGAGATGACGAGAACAGTGAGCCTGTTGATGAATATAAATCCCTTTCCTCCTTCTTTCATCCGTATGTCCTGGTGGTCAATGTAGCAAACTTCCAAAAGCATCATCATTTCTCACTTCGTGTCAAAGACTCCAGGGTGCTTCGTATCTCTGGTGATACCTCTTTCCTATTATTGCAGACAAAACAACACAAGCCATGTCGAAGCAAGCAAACTCGGGCCCATCTCCCCCTCCCCCTCCCCCTGCCCCTACATCCTCTTCCAACACATCGTCGGTAAGTATCTATCAACTGCCTTATTGAGTGTAGCTAACAAGGAATTAAGACTTCAACTAATGGTGTTAAAACTCGACCAAATAATTCCAAATGATGCTGTTGAGAAGAACCCATAGTGAATTAAGCGTGACGCAAGACAGATTGCATTTTTGGAGAAATTCAATTTTTGGAAAAATTTAATTTTTTGGAGAAACTTATTCATATATATTCATTTATGGTCCCGATGTGACTCGTCTCCCTCGGTGCTTTGGAGCGGACAACATTGCTAGAGCTCGATGCCATAGAAGAAATGCCGTGCGTGCCCAGATGAACGTTCAGAGCCCTACAATACGACGTCATGCCCTGTGATGTGCCAAAGCAGGGTTGACTTGGCGCCCAACCCATCGCTGGAGGGATTTACTTGCCCACCACGCGTTCGTTGGTGAGCGCATGATTGCATGGTAATCTTAAAGTGACACGGAATGGTATTAAGCAGCTTTCAGTGATGTGAGTCCGTAGCTGGGACCTCGGCACTACAGATAAGTATTATTCGAGGCCCTCGATCCCTGAAAGACATCTGATATAGGTCAGACAATATATAGATGTACGAAAAGTAGAAAGAGAGTTAGACTTTCCGCTAGAAATCGCTGGTCTTGCACAAGTAGCTGGAACGCTATATAACACAACCACCTCACATCTACTTCTTCAATGGATATTATCCTAATGGTCCTATAGTAAAAGCATTACCTAGGTAGGGTCTTATGCATTTAGTACTTTATGAGGGTGCTATTCATGTCCTTAGACGTATGCGGAATAGAAGCGAAACCGGATACCTAGAATAAAAGATATTAAAATAAAGCAATATTCTTACATCTGGCAATCCTGACTAGTAAAGACAGGGTTCATTTGTTTTATCGTTGAGTGAGAGGATTATTGTTACTCTTTAGAATCAGTCTAGATACTAGATGTTTGTCTGTATTGATGTGTGATGGCCTGATTCTGGTGACATTCGCCTCACGAGTTTGGCACATACATTAGACCCTGCCTGGAAACCTGAAAAGGCAGGTCGTGCTCAGGATGCGAGGCCGAATTGGTCGATGCCTAGGTAAGTTTGGCAGAAACCTCCTCCTCTCTCCAAGTATTGACTCTCTTTGTTCCATCTGTCCTATTGCAAACTCGGATGCGAATAGCTTTCTTTCGAGACCAAACGCCAGCTGGAATAGTAAGTGAAGGGATTTGGCCTTCTCTAGGCATATATCATTTTTAATGTGTTGCCCGCCACCTTCATATGTTGGCTTGCTAGGGTGCTTAAGAAGAAGGAGAAGATGTAATGGTCTTCGGAAAAGGTCCTGCGCACTTTGTGTGGCTAAGGCGAAATTCTTAGTGGCCAACTGACCTGATTCTGGATTTTGTATCATTCAATTGATCAGGAGGTCTGAATTAAGAGATATGTGGTACATTGATGATTAGAAAAATGATTTCTTTCAGCACCGAAGATATTAATTTTGTCCAATAATAGGCAGTCGAGCGTTTTGCAATGGATTAAGGGATCAAGCACTTATTGCTCTACAAGTGTATGTGAACGTGTTGACAACTAAGTTACTCGCTTATGAGTAATACGACACATCCACATATAGTTGTTAATAAGAAGCCTTACCGACAGTCCCCGCAAATCAATCAGCCAGATAAACGCACTAGTCATTCGGAATGGCGGGGGCGCGAAGCCTAGAAGCAGGCCTTCAAGGGCGAGAATGGACGCCAAGATCCCCGCAAGTCTCGGCGTCTTACTGACCTTCCGGATGAAGAGAGAGCACGACATGATCGAGAACTTGGCAAAATCATTGCCGATAAGTCAACTGAGCGGCTGCCGGTTCAAGGTAAGAGCCGCGCTATGAGTAGCTGTGAGGACCGAGCTGTACTAGTATCCAGCGAGTCGTGCTTTAAATAAATGGCCATGCCCCGGGTATTTGGTGGCTCCAGCTCCGTGGCTTCCGCTTCAATTGGAGTATGATTACCTAGGTGTGTGTTCTCTGGTCTGGCGCAGAATCGGTATCACGATGAAGCTTCACGCGGTCTTGTCGCTCTTCGGAGCTACACATGCGCTCGCTGCAGGGGTCCCAAGAACGACAAATGGCGATAACTACCGCCCCTTCGTGAAGTCAAAGCCATATCAAGATTTGATCACCACTGAGGGGTAAGTTTTCAAAGTCTTCGACGTAAGACTGCAAAGCACGTCTAACCTTCTACAGTCTTATGGACAACCTCGTGAAGCTTGACGAAATTGCCAAAGAAAACGGTGGAAATCGGGCCTTCGGATTCCCAGGCTACAAAGCCTCGGTTGACTACATTCTCTCCCGGACGCAAGACTCGACGAACTTTGTTACTTACGTCCAGGATTTCCCCGCCCTCTGGTTCCAAGTCAAGTCCATCTCATTCACGGTCGACGATCAGTCATACTGGGTGGTTGGCCCCACCTACTCTCCTTCGACATCTGCAGAAGGACTGACAGCGCCTCTGGTGCTGGGCGTCAATGGGCCAGAGGGCTGCACGAATGAAGCGTACGCGGATCTCGATGTCCAGGACAAGATTGTCCTCGTCCAACGGGGGGCTTGCCCGGATGGCACAACCGTTGCCGGGCGCATCAAGCCCGCCGCCGCCGCAGGGGCGGCTGCTGTCATTGCGTACAGCGACCTGACCACCAAGGTCACAGGGGTAACCCTTCAAAACCCAGGCCCTGAATTTGTGCCTGCAGGGTACATCAACAAGGTTGACGGCGAGGCGTTGAAGGCACGAATTGATGCCGGGGAATCGGTAGACGCCTATTTTCAACACACGCAGACCATCGAAACGAGGATCACGCAGAACGTGTTCACCGAGACCAAGGAGGGCGACCCGACCAACGTCATCATGCTTGGCGCCCATCTCGACAGCGTGCAAGCTGGTGCCGGAATCAACGACGATGGCTCCGGAACGGCTTTGATCATGGAGCTCAAGACTGCGCTCGAGAAGTTCAAGGTCAAGAACAAGGTCCGCTTCGCATGGTGGGGAGCCGAGGAGAATGGCCTTCTTGGGTCCAAGTACTACACCCAGAATCTGAACGCCACCGCCGCCAACAACATCCTGACCTACCTCAACTTCGACATGGTGTCTCGCGGTTATTTCGCTGTTTTCGACGGTGATGGGAGCACTCACAATCTCACCGGGCCGCCAGGTTCCGACGTCATCGAACGAATCTTTGTGGATGACTATACAAAGAAGGGCATCAACGTTACATCCGCGCGATTCACAGGTGGTAGCGACTACCAGTCCTTCATGAATATCGGCAAGCCCGTTGGTGGACTCCACACTGGAACGGGTGTTGAGCAAGACCCCTGCTACCACCAAGAGTGTGATACGATCGAGAACCCGAATCCGACCACACTGACTATCAACGCCAAGGTAGGCTCGGTCTGAAACGCAGTGCAGACATGAGTAACCGCTGACATTGAACTAGGCTGCCGCTCACGTCCTTTCCATATTGGCAGTGAAGGGGGAGCAGCTGATCCCCAAGTCTCCAGTCAACTCGACTATGTTCACAAGTAGAGGTCTCATTGGGCGCAGTGACATATCTTGGACGGTAGATCCGAGCGAGAGACACTTGGGCACATGCGGACACGATGTATGATATTGTCAATACCTAGGTATGCAGAAAATGTGCACAGGATAAAGATAGCGAGTCCCAGAAACGAACGGCCTAGAACCCTGACCATATTCGATTGTACTCCTACGAACATCTCACGCCCTGACCATCGCCTCCGCCTCCAACGCCCTGCGGCTCGACACTGTGCACCAGTGAATTTTTATGTTGCTTCAATAGCTGGAAATATTCGGCATCGGTCAACAATAATCACGTTAATGTCACATACTTTTTACTATATCTTAAATACTCTCCTTAGTAGTTTCGTTTTTAATCCCTATATATATAAAATATTTATAGTATCTTTATATAGTAATAAATATTTAAAATCTAATATTTAAAGAAATATAATATTAATAATAATAAGAAAGGAATATAATATAATAATATTATAATAATAAACTTATTTAAAAAAACTTTTTTATATAACTTTTATAAAAAAGTAAAGTTTTTAAAAATTAAATAAATATTATATATAAAAATATAATAACTTTTATATAATATATAAAAATATTATAAAAAAGTTTTATAAAAAAATTAATAACTTTTATATAAATAAATTAAAAATATATATTAAATAATTATTAACTTTATACTTAAAATATAAGTTAATAACTAATTTAAAAGTTAAAAAAAATAATAAATAGATAAATTATAGGAATAATAAGCTATAGTGGATTAACTACTATAAGTAAGGAATAATAGGCCTATACCTATATATAGACTAGGCTTAGTCAGTAAATCTAACTAACCTAACTAAGCGCTTTACTATCTAGCTAGGTAGACCTTTAACCAACACTAATTTACACTACTTTAACTAACCTCTTCTTACATATAAGCTAAGCCAACTAATATTAATTAATTACTAACTAACTTCTAATAGTTAGATATAAAAATCATTTAAACTACTTAAATGTTAAGTCCTTTAAAAGGATAAATTAGTAAAGCTACTTTACTATTATAGTTTAAAGAAGATAAATTAGTAATACTACTATTATTATCATAACTTAAAGAAGGCAAATCATCTAGGCTACCTAGGCACAAATTAACCACTAAGTAGGACCCCTTCACTAAATAAGTTTTACAACTCTCTTACAATAACTTTCTTATAACCAATAATTTAAGCCTATTTATTAGACCCTTAAACTGGCTGCCTACTAGCTAACCTATTTAGCTGCCTATTAGTTAATGCGTTTATTAGCCTACCTCTTACATTACCCAAGTAATCAACTAAGTAAGCAACCTTCACCCACTCTTTCAACTTCTCTCTCTCTCTCTCTCTCTCTCACAACCACTAGCAGAAACACTCTAATATTATAGCTACCACAATCCTAAGTCCTTTAAAGATAAAATCGTTTACAGCTACTATAGGTATACGTTAATAGTGCTCCTACCTATACTACCTTAACTAGAAGAAGTTTAAGTTAAAGAATAAGATAAAGAAGTATATTAATAATACCTATAAGGAGGAATATACAGCTATTAAGTCTAATAATAATAAAGTCTAGTAGTTTACTAGCAACCTTATTAATAACTCACTCCTAAACAACTACCCTAATAAGTACTTTTAGCGCTTCTATAAGACCTTTAAAAACTAAACTAAAAAATACCTTAAGTGAATTAAGTTAGAACTTCTTAAAGACCTTTATAATAACCTCTACTTAAACAACATTTACACTAATATTAAGCTAATACTTAAGGCCCTATTTAACTTTATTTAAATACCCTACTTAAATAAAGAGGAGCTACTATAACTACCTATATAGCTAATTAAATAGAAGATAAGACCTTTAAGTAAGATAAAGGACTAATAAAGTAAATAATGAATATATTTACTAAAAGAAGAAGAAACTACTAGAAGGGCTAACTAGCTAGATATTAATAGTTAGTAACCACCTAACAGATAGCTTAATAAGTAATTAATTAATAATTTAAACTTAATTTTACCTATTAAAGTAATTCAAATTTAAATAATTTAGGTGATTTATAAAAATATTGATTTAGAGCGTTTTTAGGTGCTTAAATTAAATAAATTGTAATTATACGTTTAGTGGTAATTTTAAGCGATTTAGTGATTTGGTTGGAACCTGCTTTATTAATAAATGGAGCTCTCTAATTAGCTAAAAGGAAGGAAGGAACTTAATTTTAGAAGACTAAAAAGTTGTTAATATAGGAATAGTAGGCTGTAGTGGATTAGCTACTATAAGTAAGGAATAGTGGGCCTATACCTACATATGGATTAGGTTTAGTCAGTAGGTCTAACCAACCCAACTAAGCGCTTCACCGCCCAGCCAGGTAGACCTCTAATCAATACCAATTCACACTACTTCAACTAACCTCTTCTTACACATAAGCTAAGCCAACCGACACAAATAGTTAAATTAAAAATATAATATAGTTAAAGCTAAATGCCCTCCTTATTGTAGGTTATTGATCAACAGCGAGTGCCATCAGGCAGTAGCATCACAGGAAGCAAAAAGACATAAAGTACTTCGGCCTTCCTGGACACGACTCGAATGAGCGGTGAGTGGAGAGTCACCATCAAGATTTTCATAAACTTCTTCCTCTTATCTTTCTTATCCTCTTATACCCTATGCTTATGCTTGTCCTTATCCTGCTTCTTATCCTTATCCTTCCACCATGGCGGGCACGTCCCGGATGTACAGCCCCCACAGCAGCCAAGCAGTAAACAAAATGGCTACTAGAGTGATGAAGGCAGTCACCAGGATCAGTGCCCAGTCCAAGCTGGACGACGTGGCCAGCGCCTCCAACGCGGGCACACGGCCCTGGAACTCGTCGGTTGGCAGGCTGGCAGGCGGGGCAGGGCAGGCGGGACAGGAGTAGGACCGGGCGGGCGGCCAGGCGCGACTGGGGACGGTGATAGTGAGGGTGGCCGCAGTCATGGTGATGGTGGCCGCGGTGATGGTCATTGTGCCAGCGGGGATGGTGATGGTGGTGATGTCGGCGGCGGCGGCGGGGGTGTTTGCCCCTACGAGGAAAAAGGTTAGCATATTGAGAATAGTAGTAGGAGAGATAGTAGGGTAGGTGAGAAGTTGGGATGACGAAGACACCTTACTCAAGTAAAAGAGTAATATTTAGGAATGTAAGAGATAGCTTGAGGAGGTAGCAGGCAGGGTAGTAAGGAGCGAGAGTTTGGATGGTAGGAGGATAGGAAGTGAGATGTAGGAGGGAAGAAGGTTTTTGTAGAGTAGCATGTCACGGGTTGACAGAGAAAGGGACCCAACTCACAGTCACGCCATGCGGCCGCGACGAAGGTCAACACCAGGAACAGAAGATGTATAATGTTCATCGTTGCATTGTTTCTGCCCAGGTGATTCAGCGTGTTAGCTTTAATGAAAGAACAACAAGATGGAGGATGTGAAGTGTGAAGGCAGCGCCAAGCAGTATGTCCTAGACGACCTCAGGAGGCTGTGATGGGAGAAGAAGTATGCGAAGACGGAATACACCTACTGGGAGGAGGAGGAGGAGAGGTTGCTGGGTAGGGAGGTGATTGTACTTCTTTTTCTTCTTGTTGTTCTTCTTCTCGCTTTGCTTTCGATTTAGACTTTTAGTCAGTGCTTTGCGGCTTTACAAGAAAGAGAAAGAGGTTCGAGGGCGCGACGCGTCTACAGTTTTGTAGAAATAGGCTGGTCGCAGTAGTGCCTACCTAAGTACCTTCTATAGAGGCGGGAGAAGCCCCTACTCTCTAGTTGACTACTAGAGTGCTTAGTAGAGTTCGCTCGTCTTTGAAGTATGCTAGCTTATGTGCCGCGTGACTTTATCTAACTACTAAAGTACCTAGGTAGTGTTGACGCTTGGGATGTTACTTGGTGGAAATCGATTAAATGCGTTTGATTCTCTGCCCTAGGGCTCTAGGGGTATTTAATGGCCGTCAAATCCCTTCATTAATTTTACTCGCTTCAAAATCTAGCTTCCAGACCACACCATCGACCCCAAAACTACAAATTCCATCTCACACAACATCCTCAGAGGACAAACCGTCGATATCGACTGACCCACGCATTCAATCATGGCCAACGGCGCTCATGGCACACCCGTACTGCCCGCGCCGAGGCGAGCTGTACTTTCAGCACAGCAGGCGTCAGGGAGAGCACCACCCTCATATGACGAACTGTACCCTCCCTCGCCAGGCCCTTCGTCTCGACGCCAGCCGACGGCCCTCTGCCCGTCACCACCAAAAGGTATGGACCGGCTCGTGGCAGCCATGTGGCATAACGAGAATCTGAGCCCGCTCCACTCATTGCCAGATAGTGCCCTCATCAACATCATTAGTATGCTGGATAACAGCAGTGTTGATTGCTTTAGGCGGGTGGCACGTCGATTTCCGCCCCTCTGCGTGCGCGAGGTTATGAGCCCACTGCGAGGGCCCCACAAACAACTATCCGAGACGGGACCTCTGAATTGGCCGAGTTTCGGGGCACCCGAGTCGTCACCCCGGCCCGCTTTCCTGGACCTTATCGACCGGGATGAGTACTGTAGTGGCTGCCAGGCGGCCCGGAGGTCGTCCCGGTGGAAGCAGAGACTCGCCGGGCTGACCGAGAATTACATCCACTGCTCCAAGTGTGGTGCAGATCACCCCGCCTGCCTATTCTCAGCCAAAATGCGCCTCATACCGTCCCGGCTCCGGTATTGCATTGCTCACCAAGGCTTTATGCGTGTTTGTGAGCATGACGAAGGTGCCATTACTCTCTCTCATCTCTCTGGCCTCGTATCGGAATGCCTACCCCGCAGCAGACGGCCATGGCAGCAAGAGGTTTCTACACGGCAGACTGTTCCCTGTAGACACAAGAGCCACCTGTTGCTCTGCGCAAATGACCAAGGGGGAGTGTTTCTCAACTCGAGTCATACCTGTGGATCTCAAAGGAGACTTTGCATTAGTTACTATCGGCCTGGGATCGCGGCGTATGTTGAGCATCCCGGCTGTTTCCATCTGGCCTGGACGGCTCACGTACCATACGACGGGCAAATAAGCACACTACGTCCAAGGCTAGAGGAGACCTATAGAAATGCTGGGAAATATATCGTCCCGTGCTCGGCTAAAGACAAGGAAACGCCTGCCCTCCGCTGTTTCGACCCAAACGACTGCCGCTGTGTCCATTTTGATGGGAGTGAGAACGTGCGGTGGGAGTGGGAGCGCGGTCCTTGGTTGCTAGGACCAACTCACTGCATCATGGACCCCGACAAACGCCTGGACACGCCGCCGCCGCCGGAAGCGCCCGAGTCGACTACAGCCAAGATGATGCGCCTCTTCAAGATCAAGCGACCTCCGCCGCACACGTGTGCGGCAGACCAGAAGCGCCACCAGTGCCGTGTCGAGAAGATGCCTTTCAACCGGGGCGTGGGAGAAAGCGTCGTGGATGTCAGGCCTTGTCACTCTAGTAAGGACTGTCTCAAGGTTGATTATATCAGAGACTTTCTTACGCACTTTAACGGTAGGATTACGTCGCAGTGGTACAACGCCCTTAACCCAGAGTCATATGACATCACGGAGGATGAAGACGGGCTCAATGTATTTTGGTGCCGCACGGCTGGCTGTCGTAATTATTACAGAGGGCCCGGGGTCCTGAATTATGCTGGAATCCTCCGCGATCACGGCTTTCATAGAGAGTGCCGGCCTGGAGACTGTCCGTAGCTACATTGCCATTGTCGCGTGGAGGAAGGTGACGTGGAGTGGCACGACTACCTAGGCAGGGTGGCATGGAACAAATATGTCAGGGCAATCTGTTTGTCATCTCCGGGATATGGGAAAACTGACTAGGTATGCCGATTGATTCCAATTCATGGACCATTCTTAAGTCTCTTTTCACTTTGAGTTCGGTCTGATCCTGTCATGTACTCCTTGGAGACAACAGCCGATGATTCTTCCGGGTCAGGATTTGAGTTTAGAAGACCAGGTACGCTACTACACCATGTTCCCCTCCTTCATGGGAAGACTAGTTCATCGGTGATATGGTTTCTTTGTCGTTTCTGATTGAGTGTGAGGAGTGGCTGCAGGTGGTCGTGCCTTCTGGGCTCGCTGTTTTGGGTACCGTGGTGCGCTAGGAGTCGGGCTTCCTCAGGGCACCTCCTCTACCTGGTCGACATCCTCTGGTAGGAGCTGCAGATCTCAGCTCGAGGAAGGAGCAGAGGCCCCCTCTGCTGTGTTTTGTTTGTTCACCACCACCTCCTCGACGCGTCGCTCGCGGCCCGCAAACCTCCCTCTTCTCAGGACCTCCTGAGACTCTCTTTTCTGTCGACGCGGAGTACCGACTACGTTGTCATATGCACAAACAACAAGAAGAACATCCAGTACGATCGCCTGCCTACCGCCCTCTCCTTGTGCGTGTTTTTCCTCTCATGGTTTTCTACGCCACCCTGCCCGTTGTCGAAATTCTCCGCTCCGAGAGCTTCTCCCCAGCCGAGTTGCTGAAGACGGGTTGACCTATTATTGGTAGTCTCAGACACAGTTATTGCGGGTGCTTCGAGTTCTTCATCTTGACAGTTCCAAAGCAACAACCACCCACCACCGTCACCACCACTATCACCAACAACACAACGAGGGCTCTGGCAGCGCAGAGGGCTCTGGGGGATTTCCACCAGATTAGAGGCCCAGAAGACATGGGATTTGCGAGGACGGCCTCGGGCGCGATAGCAACAGCAGCAGCAACACCAGTAGCAGTACCAGCACCGGTACAAGCACAAGCACACACCGCCAACTCCACCGTGCCGGCCTTCCTGAGCTCGAACCGCGCCGTCGCCGCCGCATTTGATGCATCAGCACCTCGGCACGAGTGGTTGAGGCAGTAGACGCGTTCGCGGCCGAAGCCCGGGCCAAGATGCCGTCGCGGCCATGGGCGGACTAACAACCAGACGGCGGGAGGGATGAGGGGAAGGAAGCAGCTGCGCAACAGCTGTCCCGCCTGCCCGCCGATGCCGAGGTTGGCCGGGGCCTCGTGCCCGCTTTCATCACCCCAGTGGGCTTCATCTGGTGTCGCTGTGGCTACCTCGTCCGGACCGGCGCCCCCGAGGCACAAGAATAGGGACACGGAGGGTCAGGGCAATGACAAGGAGGACGAGAAGCACGGGAGGAAGAAGGCCGGGTGGGTTATGTCTGTGCCTGCTGGACGCTGGCGGTCGCGCGTTCCCGCGGCGCCGTCGACCGCGCACCCGTGCCGTCGCCGGCTGTGCTGGCTTTCGCCGGGGCGCTCGCTCGAGCGAGGCCATCAAAAGACGCTCCGAGGGGGAGGGGGGCTACGAGGTCTCCGTGTGGTCGTGGCAGTTGCGATTCGGGGTAGTCGTAGTCTTAGATAGGGAGCTCCGACAGCCTCGAATATGTCCATAGAACCTAGCCTAATACAACACCCGTCTACACTGTACACTCGCACATTGCAGCGTGCTTTTCTTCACGCTCGAGTCGAAGCTTCTTCAGGGGGGAGGCCGCAGAGTATTCTTTTTTTGGTTAAGTTGAAACGTTCTCGCCATTCTTTTCAGAAAAAACAACAACAAAAAACAACTGGCAATGAAGATTATGTTCCAAAGTTGGTGTCTTTTCTGGCAACTCTATCTTGCTAAACTTGGTGACTTGGGTGTCTCCTACGCCTGTGCCTGTACCTCCCTGCGACTTGGCTCCTTGCTTCGCGCCCACGGCGGGCTCACTCCAGCTCTTTTTAGATCTGGGTACGTTTATTATTAACCAATTTCCAGAATCAATGTAGAAATCTCCTGCTGACTGCGGCAAGTGCTCTCAAACTGTTGCTGATAGTGAGACGGGTAGGTGAGTCTTCCGGTCATTGAAACTACACAATATGTCTTTCTCAAATCAACCTAGTAGGTCGTGATTATAATTGTTATGATCCGCCATAACATCAGAAGCCGTTTATATGACCCAGCAAACGAAAAGAAAGCCCCATCATTTCTCAGACATATCCTCGTCTTGCAGAAGCAAACAGACACAGCCTCACTACCAGAAAGGCACCCAGGTCCACTTATCCCATGCGGGACCTCGACGTTTGCCCCCACGCTTCCCTCCCTGGCGGGGGACAACCAGGTAACACCCACTGCGATTATAGACAAAGAAAAAGGGGTTGTCCTTCTTCGGGAGGGCCGAAGCGCCATTCAGCCTGTTCAGGACCGCAGAGCCCAGCGGATCCTCAGCGTCGAGTTTGGCGAGCGCCTTGATGACCCGGCGGAACTCGAACGACCTGGGGACAGGGAGGCCCTTGAGCCCGTGGATGAGGTCGAGGGGCGTCTTGCCGGCGTTGTTCTTGACCTTCAAGCCGTCGCACTTGGACTCGCACAGCAGGATGTAGAACGACAGGATCCAGGCGTCGGCCCTGTCCAGCTTGCGGCCGCGGCCGCGCTTGGCCAGCCCGCTCGGCCTGTATTGGGGCCGCTCCCCGTCGTAGTCCTTTCTCGCCATCACGCGGAGCGAGTTTCCCTCGAAAAAATCGCCATAGAGGCTGCCGTCGTCGTCTGCATTATCTTGCTGCCCATCGTCATCGCTGCCTTGGTCATCGTCGGAGCGGTCGTCGTCCTCACTGGGGCCGTGCTCATTAGCAGCTAGAGGGGACCCGTGTTGGGAGCTGTGCTCGTCGTCGTCGTTGGAGGCTTCATCGTCGGTGGTCTGTTGGTCCTCTTCGCTGCTGGCTTCTTCAAAGTCGCTGTCGCTGGGGTATCCGGAGTTGACACCGCGCATGTGCATATACGACTCGTTGGGCATGCAGAAAACGCCCTCCGGGTCGTAGCCGTCCGGCCCGGGGGGATCCACGGAGTTGTCCCTGGCACGCTTGGACATTTCAGAGGTCTCGATGCCCTCTGCGTCTTTGGCCAGCGGATACAGCAGCTGGACGAGCAGATGCAGCGGGGTGTTTCCGTCCTCGTCGGGCTCGTTGACATCCACCCCCAAGTCAAACAGCTTGACCATGAGGGTTTTTGTCCTTCCCGCCATGCGGGCCTGGTCGTCGAACGGGTGGTCTCTGAAGTGCAATATCAGGTCCTTCATCAAGCCAGCACTTCCACAGAGGCCACCTTCCTTTCTGCCCCACTTGGAGTGGTAGGCATCGAGCATCCCGTTGGCCATCTTGAACCAGCTCGCTTCCGAATATCCCTTGATGGCCGTCCGCAGGGGAGAGTCGACGGTGATGCCATCCTGCCGCTTGGTTTCGAGGTGGAGTGACGCGCCGGCCCGGATGAGGGCCCTTGCGACGGCGAGGTTCCTCCAGCCCCCGGCGACGTGCAACGGCGTCCGGCCATTGTCATCTGGTTGGTTTATCTGACGGGCGGCGCCGCAACGCATCAAGGCGGCCATCGTTCTGTCGACCCGGTGCTGGAACCTCGCTGGCCGTTCGCCGCTCTTCCGCTCCCACTGCGCCAGGACGTGCAGGGCCGTCTTGCCACCGGGTGCGAGCTTGGAGGTGATGGAGAAGTGCGGGGCGAGGACGCGTACGAGGCCCGGTCGTTGGCCTACTGAGAGGATGAGCAGCTCTGTCCAGGCGTCCATGATGCTCTTCTTCTCTTGTGGTTCGAGTCGCATGGAGGGGCCGTTGAGTATTCGGAACAAAGCCTGCACGGCGCTCGATTTGCTCCCCTTTGATCGGATTTGCGGGTCGAACAGGGACCGCATCATGAGCAGGTAGTCCTGACATGTTACGAGAGTTCCGCATGCGACTAACGAATCCAAGGTGTCAAATTCCCCTTCGTAGAAGGCCGTAACAGCAAGCGAGTGTCCCTGCACGTCGAAAACCTGTTCCGCCAGGGTGTCTGCATCATCCCTGGGATGATCCAGATAGATGTTTGGATCCGCTCCTCGGCTAATCAAGAGCGCAGCAATCGAAGCCATGGGGCTTATTTTCCCACCGCGAAACCGGTCACTTTTGTAAGTCCTAGGATTGTCTCCGGGTGTGCCTTCCGTTATTGAGTAAGAGCCCTGGAACAAAGGCCTTTCGTTCATGTCTGCACGCAGCTGGTTGGGATCCGCGCCGTGATCCAGCAAGAGCTGGATAGTGGCCAATGCTGAGTTCAGCTCTTCCCCTGGGGAACAGTCCACGCCGTTAGCGACGGCATGGTGGAGCGCAGAGTCGCCGTCGTCGTCCTCGGCTCCGATGTCGGGCTTGCCTTCGAGCAACCCACCGACAGCAGCAGAGAAGTGGAGTGCCGCAGCTGACATGAGCGGAGTCATGCCATCTTCGTCTCTTGCATCCATCTCGGCACCCGCGTGCACCAGTCGCTTGAGGAGCGTGACTGCTTCTCGTTGCTTTCGAGATATCTCCTCCACGGGCCACTCGCCCCCGGAAAAAAGCCAACCGCAGCATAGATGCAAGGGTGACTCGTACCTCAGCCCTCGTCTGAGCTCCGAGTCCCTGTTGACATCGACACCCAGGTCCATGAGCAGCGTGGCGTCGCGGTGCTGCCCAGACTTGCACAGCGCGTTCAGTATGGAATAGCGAACGCCATCCGAGCCAAGGAGTGCGAAGTTCACGTCTGCTCCCCGGTCGCGAAGCCAAATGCCAGCAGTGTCGCTCTGTCCGGCAAATGCCGCTACAGCAAGAGGCGTGTCGCCAAAAGCGTCCAGTGCATCGACGTCGAGGCAGCCAGCCCGTTGGAGCATGGCATACAGCTTCTCAAGGTCGCCCAGGCTCGTGGGCTTGTTCACAGCCGTATGCAGTGGCGGCGAAGGGTCGAACCTCAACGCCACGTGGTTGATGGCATCAGGGTCGTAGTTCACCAGTCCGGAGAGTACTGGTTCTGCCCGGAAGAACTGATCTGCCTCCGCCATGACGGCGTCGTCCGATTCGATGGCGTGGGGCAGGCCAAACCGGCTGATCAGATACTCGGCACAGTCGAGGTTTCCTTCGCATACTGCAACATGCAGGGCAGACCATCTCGTCACCACCCTTCTTTCCAGCATTTCAAAAATTGGGTCTCGATCCACGGGCGGGAGCGAACGGCCAAAGGTGTGTCGGAGGCCCTGGTAGTAGCATGGGCAGACACCTCGGCCGGCAGAGTTTGGGTTGGCGCCATGGTCGAGTAGCAGAGCCAGCAGCTCAACGTCGTTAAGGAGGGCAGCAACGTGCAAAGGAGTCCAGAAGAATGCCGTGAAAGACAGGAAAGGCTTATTCATATCCTGATTAGGGTCGTCATACCGCTCTGCCGACGGGCAGCTGGCAGGTCCGGGAGATCTTTGACCATTTCTCCCAATTCCAAGATGATCGCGGGACCACAAGGAAAAGCCCAGCGCATCGCGTTTCTGGACTTTGGAATTGAACATGGACCCGAGGTCGTGGCGTGACTCGACGCGGAGGTCTGGTTTGATTCCAGCAGCTAGGCACAGCTTGATAACACCATTCTGTCTCGACACGAGGCCGAAGCACATGGACTTGACTCCACCTGACTCCTGCAGGTCTGTCGCGTAGAGGACCGGGTTGGAGATGGCGTGCAATCGGCGGCTGGCTCTGGCGAGATTAACGAGCTCGGACGATCCCAAGAGGCCGACATCCTGACATATTGTGTGTAGCACTTCTGTCGGTAGCCTTTCGAGCGACATTGTGCAGCTGGTGTTGCGCCGGAGCTTATGTGGTTGACCTTGGTGCTGGAGAATCAGGGTCGTTGGTGATGGGAGAAGTATGGCAGACTGGGAGGAATCACGAAGCAAGGAGGTCAGAGGTAAATCTTTTAGCTACGTGTTTAATAAACCCGGCCTATTCCCACCAATGCGAAATAGATCCATGCGGACCGCATTCATAATCCGCAGTCCGTTTCTTCGGAAAAATACATACGCGTGGGAGGCCCGAAAGGGTCCCGGCAAGTTTGACTGCACAGGTGCGCGCAGGGGTGCGTGCAGGTGGCAGGTGGGTTTGCGGGTTGCATTGGCTTAGCTGCTCTTGGTGGAAGCTGAGGTCACATTGACGCGGCATTAATAAAGATTTTACTTTTGAGCTGTCCCAACCTTGGAATGCAATTTGCCCGACGTACAGGCGAAGAAAGGGGTAACGAATAGACGCGTAGAATCTGCATGATTGATTCACATAAAGGCAGGGAAAATGGCAAAATTCAGCGCGAAGGGATGTGGGACTCATCCGGTGAAACCGGTCATTGAATGAAATACAAGCTACGTTCCTTTTGCCCATGCAAAATGTCTCAGGACCTTGGCGTTTAACACGTTCACATGCTCCTAGAGTTTTAGTCGATCCCTCCAGCCAATGGCCAGTGCTAGACGCAGCGTTATATAGCACGCCGAGGTGAAAATGCTGTTAATAAGATGGAGCTCTAATCAAAGGGGCAGTGCACCACCTTGCATACGTGGGCAGTCAATGCGACGTCGTGAACACCAAGACCAAGTCGATGAACGGAAAGACAACTAGGGATTAATCTACTGTAGACCAGGAAAGGTATAGAAATCTTGCGATATGAAGCTGTAAAGCAGGGCCAGAGCCACGATCAAATCATTGGCAGCCTCCGTTCATCTCGACTTCAACAGAAACGCGATGTCCGGAACATTAAGTTGCAGAGCCATGAAAGCCAGTGTAGGAAGGCTAGTGTAGCGAGGCCACTGTAATAACATATAGAATCAGCCATTATTTGCCCCTCCAAGAAAATCATGACGAAAATGAAGTCCCCCCCCCCTAAAAAAAACAGAAAAAGTTTTCTTAAAAGAAAAGAAAAAACTTAGAAGAAAGGGAAACAAGAATAACAAAAAAAAAGGAACTCCTAGTAGTGTGCCGATTACCTACGTACGAGTCGTCGCGAACACATCTTGCTGCCCAGGTGTCATCTCGGGAATCTGAAGCGACGACTCGACCACGCATCACATGCCAGGCCCGGGCCCAAAGTTCTTTCTTCAAGAGCACTCAAGGCAATTGAAGACGTGAGACAGGGGAATAACAACATCCTCCAACCAAGTATCCCTTTATTGTATGTAGACTGCACGGAGCTGGCTGAGCGACAACCTTGGAAGTCTATTCACGTCCGGGCAAGGAAAATCACTTTTCATACAAATGTTCATAGCAAGATTTTCAACCAAGAATTAAATACTTCATCTAGCACACTCAGACATCATTTTCCACACGTGTCGGCCGAAATTGCAGAGACCCAAACTCAGACTACATGTGTTGATTCTGTAAGAGCACTTGCTCATTTTCGAAGCGGCACGTAAGCCACTGGCATCAAGCCAAACCTCGCCACTGCAGCCCGGCTCACACAGCAGATACACTCTTTTATTTCGGTATATTGCATGTCTGAAGGAACAATACTAGTCCTTTTGACAATCTCACAGATCTAGATCGCACACCCGTTCATGCCGATCATGTGTCGAGGCGAACAATACTAGTACTTTTGACCACAGAGCTCACACCTAATCTGCCCAGCTAACGCACCACGCCCAATCAGCGAAGCTCGTTGCATTCGTGCCTGAATGAGTACTGCAAGTGTCGCGGGACGAGCCGACCGACCTTCCAGCCCATGCCATCCCGAGCGATCGTCCCGCACTCCTTTCCACCCTGTCCCCCTCGGCCCGCCCGGGTCCTTTATCTAACGGGCGCAGGGCCGAGGAGCACGCTGCAAATGGAGACCACAGCGCTACACGAGATAAAGAAAAGACCATCCAAGGCCGCACGGCTTGCCGAGGTGTTGTGTGGGCATCGCGGCAGCCCACTCCATTGAGATCTTCATACCGGGCCCCGCCCCATGCCATCGCCTATATACGGGCCTATTTCAGTGGGTGTGCATCGTCATGGCGAGAAAATGAGAGACACCCCTTTAGTCTTTTGGATAAGATGCTCCGAGCTAGTCCGGTTTGAATCTCTTTTTCCCGGTCATGGTCGCCAAACTAGTCGACGGTAAGACGATGTTCTAGCAGCAAAACAAGCCTGGCAAGCTCAATAGCTATCAACGGGGGTCAAGCCAAGGGACATCCACACCCACAATAAGTGCACAAGTGGAGATCGGAGGACAGCCAACAATGTCGATGCTGACCCGCCGTGGCGCGTTCCGCCAAAGGGGCATGGATCTGCCCAAAATCCAAACAAGTAAGCCAGGTTCGAATCCTGCATACTCATTAGACAAACGCCACAAACACGGGCATCGCCGCTAACAAGGAGCCCCCGTCCACCAGATATAAACGACGTCGACTCGGCCTCCAGCCCCGCCTACGAGGTCGACTACTTCGACTACGACGCCGACCTGGACCTCTTCACCCAGGTCGACTACAGCTGCCTCGACTTCCTGACGCCAACAAGCAGGCGCGGCTCCTGCACAAACTCGACAGCCACAAATTCGTCCACCACCGAGGCCGGATTGAGTGCAGGCTGCAGCGGCGGCGACGACCAGGTCCCCTGGCCGCGCCCGACAGACCGCGACATCCACGGGCGCAGCGACCTCAACCGCACCGCGCCGCAGTGGGCGATCCACGTGCGGTGCGTGGTGAGCAAGGACTTTGAGCAGGATTCCTCCTCGTCTTCATCGGGCCGACTGGCGGGCTGGGGCTGGGACAGCAACGACGGTAGCAGCACGTGGGCAGCGGCAGGGACACAGCGGTGGTCGAGACGGCCGTCGGTGGGCCTGGACCGGAGATACTCCTACGGGCGCAAGATACAGGATGGGAGGGGACGGCGGCCGTCAGACTTTAGTCTCAGGTCGCCGCCGCCGGGGATGCCGGTGCACTACGAGCTCCAGGACATACCGCTGGAGCTTGTCTTGTGCTCGGAGGAAGATAGCTTGTACAGTAATTGACTACATGACCCGCAACGATGCCCTCCCATGCAATTTTGTGTGCCTAGTCAACACGTGTACGCCCGAACCCTTGCCCAGCCGGATTGAAAACGACAAAGCTTTTGGTTTTGTGATCGGACAATTTACCACAGTTCGCAAGTTGGCTCCTTGACGGGACACTTGAACGCCTCTCGGAACTCCCGAGAATTGGCGGTTGTGCCCTATGGGAATGTTAGCGAACATGACTCATGCGGTGAGCAAAGAGGACGATCGACTTACCTGGATTCTGTACGAGGCGGGGCTGTGAGGGTCAGTGTAGATCCTCCGGATCGCCTCCTCCTCCCTGGTCTTTCCGCACCAGGTGAGTCCGTATGCGAGGAAGAAGATTTGCTCCTTGGAAAAGTGTTCCAGGCCGGGAAGAATCAGATCGGCCTTCTCATCGTCCCGACGGCGCCAAGACTGGAAAGCAGCAGTCAGACCGCCTGCATCAGCGATGTTCTCGCCAAGGGTGAGCTGTCCGTTGATGGGCAGATCGCCGTCCTTGGTCGGGATGGTGTAGTTGTGATACTGCTCCACAAAGCAGTCCGTCTTGTGCTTGAAGGCCTCGATGGTAGACTTGTCCCACCAATCACTATAGTTGCCGTTCTGGTCATAATTCCGACCGGATGAATCAAAAGCGTGAGATAGCTCGTGGCCTGCGACGGCACCGAACGCTCCATAAGACAGATACTTCGGGAGCGACGGATCATAGAAGACGGGGGCCTGCATGATGCCAGCAGGGAACACGATCTCGTTTCCGGGCGGGTTGTAGTAGGCGTTCACCGTTGGTGCAGACATGTCCCACTCGGCCTTGTCAACAGGCTTGCCGGCCTGAGCCCACTCGCGCCGAACATCGAGTCTGGTGGACGAGAGACGGTTGGCAAAGAAAGAATCGGCGGAGATGTTGACGTCGCTGTAGTACTTTTGGAGCTCCTTGGCATTGGTCACATCTGGGCTCGCCGTGGGGTACCCGATTTTCTGTCTGATGAGATGCACCTTGTCGATAGCAAACTCTCGCACCTTCTTGGTCATCCATTCTGAGTGCTCGAGTTTGACGACGAAAGAGTCCTTGATGTCGTGGATGATCTGATCGCCGAGGTCTTTCGCCTCCTTGGAGAATGCCCGCTCGATGAAGAAGCGACTCAGAATCCAGGGGAGATCATTGTCGACGACACTGATACACGTCCTCCACCTTTCGGCTCTGACGTCTGGGTCCTTGCCCTGGAGCTTGTTGTTAAACCGGCGGAGCGGCTCCACGCTGTCGTCCTCAACAGAACCTCCCCAGGTCTGCACCACTTTCCAGGCAAGGTATGCTTGTATGACCTCACGGCTCTCTGACTTGAGGATCTTTGACAGAGCCTTCAAGTAATCCGGCGAGGCTACAATGATCTTGGATGGCTGGTAGCCACTGGCGAAGACGCGAACAATATCCTTGACCGAGATTTCAGGGTTGTAGGATTCAGCTTCATCCAAAGTTCGAGGGTTGTAGACCTTGGTGATGTCGGAGAGATCCTCGGGATCGGGTGATGCCTGGGCCAAGCTGTACTCGAAACCGACCAGGCTGTCGACCAGCTTTTTGTTCAGTGTTGCAGGGGCGTCTGGGTTGTCGAACGTCGAGAGCACATTGTGCATGGGTGACGCCTCCTTGCGCAATGCCTCTAGCACTGCACCGATGGTCTCCTTGTAGGCGTCAGAGATTTCACTCCGGTTGTAGTACTGCTTGGAGGGTAGACCAAAGGACCACGGGGGGCTGAGCGCGATGACGTTGGAATCGGGATTCTTGTCGTCAGCACCAACACCAATTGAGATAGGACCTCTGATTCCATTTGCAATAAGGTACTCCACGGCATCCGTGAGTGAAGTGTCTTTCTTCCCCTTTGGCGCCTTCACTGGGTAGAGGTCCCCCAGTCCGGTGAGGAGGTCCAGCAGAGGCTTAGAACCAACCGACTTCAGCTGAGTCTCGTTCAAGCAGGCGTTGTATCCATCGTGCAACTTGCGGTATATCTCCTTGTCCGGTGAAGACGCTGTCCAGAACAAGGATGTCTCTGCAGGCTCGGGTGACTCGAGGATTCGCTTGAGTAGGAGCTGGCCCTCCTCGCTCATGATCTGGAGGCTGCCAACGCCGGTCTGGTCCTCACGGATCTCGTGGACGGCGTCGAAACCCTCACAGACGTAGGTGCGAAAGTCATCACACGGATCGAGGTCTTTGTATCTAGCCTGTGTGTAAGTACATTTGCGGTGGCAATAAGGTTCCGTTGGGGATGGGCGCACCTTGACGAGATGCTGCGGAGAAGTGTAGAAGCAGCCAGGACACAGCCAGCCGAGGTGCATATCTCAGTTCCTTCACCTGGCGTCGGCTCAGCAGGAGGCTTCTCGTCATCGTCGCCGTTGGACACCTGGATGAAGGCTGTCACCAGGAACAAGACGACAAAGACAGCAAGTAGTGCAGTCAGGATGAGGTTGACGGTATGGGAAGAGATCCAGCTCTTTACGCGTTGCCAAGTCGAGGCATCGCGGGCGTCTCCGCTCTCATCCGCACCGTCGTGACCTCGTAATAGAGGCGTGCTCTCATGAGCATTGTTGTTTGTCGACATCTTGATGATATCCCAAGATGTCTATGGTGTTTTGAAGATGATGAAGAGAGTGTGACCAGGACTCGGAGCTGGTTGACCTCCAGCTGAAGGGATGAACGCGGTTAGGCCGATGTCGTAAAGTGGAGCTGCCTGAAACGTGTTGGGGTGAGTTGGCGGCCACGATTACATAACCTGGGCAGTGGTGGCTGGGAGGCGATGGGGTGTCGTATCCAAGTTGTACTCCAGTATTGCGTGTGCGTGCACATGCCATACAAAACTGTTAAGCGATGTCACCAAAACGACCTCGGCTTTCACGCCAATCCATTTTAGCTCCCGCGGTAGTTCCTGGTCCAAAAGCTTAGGCTATATCGTGCTCGCCACCAGGCGTGTACTAAGACCGCTTGAAGGAGACGATCCACAGCTGCTGTGCCTGTAACTCACCTCATAAGTAGTTGCAAACCTACTTCACAAGCGAGCGCTCTGGACAGCTTCCACACAAGGGTATCTAGGTATCTAGGTAGTTTATTAACGTGACATGCAACGAAACCACCTTGGTAGAGTCAGGACATTGAGTCGAAAAGGGGTTGTCAGTGAACTAGGCGACACCTATCTATTGAACTCTCCCTAGTCAAATACTAAATGAACGTGGGTCCTATATCTAATACACCAACTTCACTTCCTCTCACAGCCCCCCAAGATCTCAATATTTTGATACATGGCAGCAGAACTGCTCACATGCCGTTCCAGACATGGCCCATCAGACGGTTGGCGGCATCCCGAACGTACGAGCCGGTGGCGCCGACAGGGTCGTTGAGGTCGCGCTTGTTGACAGAGCCAGAGTTGTAACCACGGAACGCCTCGTAGTAGTTGCCGTACTTCTGCTTGAGCTGCTTCAGGCCATCACCGTCCTTGGTGCCCGAGGTGCCGTCCCGGACCATCTGCAGGATGCTGCCGGCGGGGTCGTTGGGGTTGAACTCGGCGCCATTGTGGGACTGCATGAGTCCCGGGTTGCGGACACCGTTGTTGGTCTGGGTTCGTTGGAAGTGTTAGCTCTCCATGTTTACTTCAAGTTTGATGACATGAGCTGTTCTTGGACGTGGTTTACTTACAGTCCTGACCCGCACGTTACCACCCGACTCCTGCACGATAATGCAGAGGATCACACGGCGGTCGACGCCGGACTCCTTGGCGACGGTCTCGATCGACTTTTTGATGAGCGCGATCTCCGAGTCCGAGTCGTGGAACTTCATCAGGCGCTCGTTTTGCTTCCAAAGCTCGTCCCAGCTGGCCCACTCGGACTCCTTCGGGAAGTTGGAGGCGGGTCCGCCGTAATCGACGTAGCCGTTGCCCTTGCTGGGACTGCCCGAGCTGGGAAGCTTCAGGACCTGGCCGACCTGGAGCGCCCTAGGGTCCACGCCCGGGTTGGCGGCCTGGAGCTTCTCCAGGGTGATGCCGTGGCTCTGCGCAATGGCGAAGAGGGTGTCGCCTGCCTTGACTGTGTAGCTCATTTTGACGGATGTATGGTTTAAAAATTGATTTGATGTGGCTAGAAAGACTTTGGAATGATGGTAGATCTGCTGGACTGTGCAATGCTCTGGTGGGTTCTGTTGAATTCTTCTGCATTGGCAAACGGCAATGGCATTCTTTTATACACTGAGTTGTTCCACAGAAATGTGTCCAGGTAAACGCCTTTACGCTCGCCGTGGTCTCATGAACACCTCTGTTTCTGTCTTGCTTACCTCAGATACTCTGGTATTGTCAGCCATGGAGAGGTCCAATTTTCCCATTGAGGAAAAACATGATTCACAAAAGGAAGGGCCCGTGAGACTATAGCCCAGGAAGGGTCTATGGCAGAGGCCAGAGGCAAGCAAAGAAGGATTTGCAGGGTCGCACGTATAGGGCAGTGTCAAAGTTTGGGGTCTGTAAATGACCGCATCTTTTCAGTGGTGGTGGCCTCGTGATAGTCTTCTCACAGTAAGCTTTGACGCAGCCACTGAGAAGCCACAGTCCAACGCCATAAACAGCAACGCCGTCTAAAAGGCGAATGCCGTAAGCGGCGGGTTCGCGCCGCAAAATTCCCGCCAGCTCAGGGTCAGCTGAACAACGCGGAGGCGCAATCTAGACCAAATGCTGTTCTAGGGTGATTACGAAATAAGCAATTATCCTTCAAAACCGTTGAGTATCTTTGTCATGGCTGGAACAAACATGAGCTCATCTCGAACATGGGACCAAAACTGCGAGGGCCCAGTGCTGTCTGTTCTCCCTTTTTCTTGTCTTCAGCGACGTCAGTATTTTCCGCACGACCACCACAAGGCACAGCGAGGCGGCTGCGCATTGTTGCGAGCTGTGCCTATTCTTCAAATATTGTTAGTTCGAATTGCTGATAACTCACAGCCATGGAGAGTGGGTGCGACCGATACAACCTTCTCTTATGAAGTACAAGGTCAATAGGACCATAATGGATGCAAACCTGGCCTATACAATACACTCAAATTGATGACTTGACACCTCTGTTCTGAGCATTGGTCTAGTTTCGGCTCTTTTACTACATCGAATAGATAGTACTCTTGGACATAGAAATATTGATAGTTGCTGACACCTTGTCCACAATTAAATTGGACACCATTGATAGGCATTAAGCACCCAGAGCCAATCATGTATTTTCTTGCCAAGCTGCTGTGATACATGAGAATTGATGACGGCATGGCGATTGAAGGGGATACTGCAGCTACCAAGCCTAATGCGATATACCACCGAATCGGAAGTCGATAAAAGCCCTGGGCATCCCCGCGCTTGACTTTATAGAGACTTCCGTATTGTGATGGGCCACTTATAGCTACAGATATGGTGATCTACAGATAACTGATATGCATGAACTCTCGACGATCCACAAGCTCACTACACCCTCCAAGCATTTGAGGTTCTCCATATATAGCTGACGTCTTTCTCTCCGATGTCTCCCTTGCTGTCTCACCCGTGAGCTCTCAGAATTTTCGCTCTGCCATAGAATCCTGCAAGGACTTTCAGACCCGGTGAACAACCTAGCACGGCCCCAAAATGAGGAACCATATGGCAGCAGGGTGGTTCTACTCACCCAAGCAAGTAGGAAGGTATCTTCTAAGCCGGCCTGCAAGCCTTAAGCCTCCCCGCGCCAAGCTTCGCAACCCGATCCATATCCTCGCCGAACTCGACAAGCATCAGTGGCTGATGTTCTCCGCGGGGTTCCTCGCCTGGTGCTGGGACTCCTTCGACTTCTTCACCGTGACTCTGACCCTGACTGAGGTAGCGGCAGACTTTGGCGTCTCGAACGCTGACGTGTCGTGGGGTATCACGGTCACTCTGATGCTGCGTTCCGTTGGCGCTTTGATCTTCGGTGTCATGTCCGATAGATACGGCCGCAAGTGGCCTATGATCATCTGCCTCATGCTCTTCATCATTGTGGAGCTGGCCTCCGGTTTCGCGCAGAACCTGACGCAGTTCCTCGCTCTGAGATCACTCTTTGGCATTGCCATGGGCGGTCTCTTCGGCCCCGCTGCCGCAACCGCCTTGGAGGACCTGCCTTATGATGCAAGAGGACTTCTCTCCGGCCTTTTTGAGCAAGCCTATGCGATGGGTTACCTGCTTGCAGCAATATTTTACCGTGCGGTGAGTGTAATTCCTGACAAAATCTTACAATGCAGTGAAATATGCGATGGCTGATTATATCATATCCGAACAGCTCGTCCCCACGACAGCCCATGGGTGGAGGTCGCTCTTCTATTTTGGAGCTGTTCCTCCTGTCTTCATCATCATGTTTCGTTTCTACCTTCCTGAGACCAATGCCTTTCTTATCATGAAGGCGCAAAGAGAGACTGCCATTGCTGCCCGTGAAGAGCACCGCCACATGACGACGCAGGGCCTTAGGGCTTGGGCGAGGGAAACCCTTGACGCCGTTCGATCCAATTGGGTCCTCTTCATCTACATGATTCTGCTCATGACCGGCTTCAACACTGTAGGCCATGGGTCTCTGGACTTCTACCCCACATTCTTGAAGAATCGTAAGGCACAACCTCCTTTGTTGTTGCAACAAGCAGCCTTCCTCAGGACAAATGTTGCATAACTGACAGATCGCAGAGGTGGGACTCCACGCAACAGAGGTGACAGTGATCAGCGTAGTAAGCCAGCTAGGCGCTCTCACTGGCGGCACCACCCTTGGCTACCTCAGCACCTTCTGCGGCCGCCGGCTGACCATGCTGACGGGGTGCGTCCTCGGCGCCGCCATCACCCCGGCCTACGTCCTCCCGCACACCATCAAGCTGGCAGCAAGTGCCTTCTTCATGCAGTTCTTCGCCGGCGGAATCTGGGGCCCGGTACCTATCTACCTCAGCGAGCTGTCGCCTGACTCCATCCGCGCAACCGCCGTCGGCCTCACATACCAGTTGGGGAACCTGGCCTCGGCCGCGTCGGCTACCATACAGGCTATCATCGGCGAGCGGTTCCCGCTAGAGCCCAAGAATGGGGTCAAGAGGTTTGACTACGGCAAGGTCATTGGGATTTTCATGGGGATTGTTTGGGTGATCGACCTAGTTTTGCTATTCCTTGGCCCGGAGATGAGCGAGCAGGAGAGGCAGGAGTATGCTGCTTCTGCGAATGAATCTGAAAGGTTGAGGAAGTCGGGTGTGAGCCTGGCTGATATTGGCGCAGAAAAGGCCAAGGCTGTGGTACTGCAGGAGAAGAGCAGGCCTGGGGAAGAAGAGCGCGAAAGCGAGAAGGCGGTGGATACTCAGCATGCGGAAAGCGAGCGCGAGGTCGTCTGAGGCACCAGTTGATTCAGCCCTCACCATCTTTACTCACTGATCACTTGCCAAGGAGGAAGTACTGCAGAAAAGCCATTGCACCGCAACCAACACTATCCAAGTCTGATGAGTTTCAAATATTTTCAAAGTCACTAGTTACATAAAGCGACATCTACGCCTCCCAATCGCGTTAGTTTTCCTCTTGTGTTGGATCCATAAAATTAAGCCAGTTGCAGTTAAATATCTTACACCAGAGGTCTCACACTTTGGCCTGGATGTTGCCCTGAGTAGCTTGTGAAGCCTCCTCTAGCCGCCAAGAACGATTCGACCATTTATTTTCCCCACCATTGCACCGGATGATCATCGGCGACCTTCAAACCAAGCCAGATTGCCCGCCAAAGGTCTTCGAATTCGCCGATTGTTTGGTTCAGAATCGCGCATTGAGACAAGTGCCAATCGAGAGGTTCTAACAGCAACCTACAAATGTCTGGCACACGTCCGAAGTGCTCGTTTTCGAGAGAATAGAGAACCAGCATACTGAAGACCGCTGTCATTTTGTAAGCAGCAGAACGTTCACGTACGCAATCACAACTCGTGTTGCCATTCCAACAGAGGATGGACTCATTCTGGGACCAGAATAGGGCACGGTCAAGCCAATAATCCAGGCGAAGACCCGGCCAATCTGCAGAGCTGGAGCCGAGGGCGGTATGTAAAGTCACCAGCCATTTGACCACCGCTGATCTCGAAATCGGTAGGCACCCTTTCTGGTCCGGCATCTCCTCTATAAGCCTAGCAAGGATGTTCGCCTCTGACTTCTAGTCGACTGTTACAATCTGCGACAAGATTGGGGACAAGTCCGCCCCGGCGCTGACCAGATAGCTAGCAATATCTGCGCGACCAAGGTTGAACGCCTGAGCCAGCGGGGTCTTTCCGCACAGGCGGAACGGCTGGCGGTCATCATTGACATTTGCGCCATTTTCGACGAGGTATCGAACAATTTCGAGATTTCCGCCATTGATTGCGCCTTCCAAGGGCGTCGTGCCGGAAAAAGACCGTTCTCTTTGGACGTGGGCGCCGTAATCGACAAGCTGCCGAACTGCCTCCATTTCACCAGCGTATGCCGCTGCACATAGAGGTCCGTCCGTGCAATCGGTACCGTCAATCTCGGCGCCGTGCTTGAGGAGATTGTACCTACCGGGGGGAGGGGGGGTCCCTGACATGGGTGTGTCATTATGTCAAAAATCAACATTTAAATAAAATCTAGATATTACAACTAAATACTAGTAAAAGGCTAATAAAATACTGTTATAGGTGAAATCTGTTAAGGGGTTGATTATATGTTAGATTTTGATATTATGTCAGTATATGTTAGGAATTCTAAATCTGTTGGTTTTGGATTTTATAAGTTAGTGAAAAATAAGGTTTTCGTATTTCCTTAACTTCGTAGCCTTGTAGACTTAATATATAGTAATAATTAAGCTGAATAATAGCCGATAAGTAGTTAGGTTGGGGACGATTTAAAAAAAAAAACTTGATTCTAGTAGGAATCGAACTCCCTTTTTGTCTGTATGTCAGGCCCCTGATAGTATGTTAAGAGTATTTCAATAAGTAAATTATGTCAAGCCGAAAAGCGTTATATTATTCGAACATTATGTAGTTATGTCAATAGTGTGTTTACGTTTCGAGAGAATGTCAATATTGTTCTAAAATGATAGTACTATTCACTCAATTTACCCCCCTCCCCCCGGTAGGTAGAAGACGGCCTGGTCGTAGAAGTGTATCGCGTGGCACAACGTCTCGGCATCAACGAGCCCAGTCGCCGCGGCGAGGATCTCGGGCACGGCACAAGATTTGCGCGCTGCGATTGCGTTTTTGAGATTGGACTTGATGGAGGCCTCAATAAAATGGAGGGTCTGGCCTGGTCCTTGCTTCAGTTGCTCGATGGGAGATGCGGGAACGACGATCACGACGGGCACGGGAGACTCGTCCAGCTCCCTCATGTCATCAATCTCGCTGATCAACTCGTCCAAACGGTCAAGGTCTTCGGCGAACCTGCTGTTTCGGCTTTGTTCGCGTATGTCATGGACGTGTATCTCGGTGAAGACTTGACGTTGACGGAAATTCTCAAGGCCGAATGCCTCGAAGATTGAGCGCTGTCGAAGGAAATGACGGACGAACAAATCCAGGGCGTCGAAAATAAGCCCACGACTTTCGTATTTGGAGAACTTGGCGCTCAGTTCCGGATAGCGGGGCAGTAGTATATCCATGCTTATCGCGCAGGGGACCAAGTTGGCACCCAATCCTGGGAGAATGGGCAGGAAGTTCTCTATGGGATTCGAGTATATAGTGTCGGCGTCACTTTGAAGACAGCTGCGCAGCGAAGGAATACCGCGTAGCCAAAGCACGAGGTCGACATCGTGGATTATGATTTCGAGTGAGTCCATGGTCTTGTAGAGGCTGAAGGTGATATCAGGGCCTTGTCCTGTGATCGGCATGCCTAGGACAAACTGGCCATCTCCAAAGGAGTAAGCCTCCACTAATTCCCTGGCAATGGTCAGCTCAATGAAAGGCAGCTTGAAAGAGTAATGGAAGACCTCGTCCTTACCCTTCTTCGAAGTCCTCTGTGTACGAGAACGCTTTTGGAGAGAGTGGAGTGGAGTGGCACGGGGCCATGCTCGCGGCGCGGTGCAGGTAATGACGGCTGGGCTGACAAGACCGTTTTCGCAAGGCGTGTGGTGAACTTTTAAGTTGGGTAACCCAAGACCCCAACCTGTGTAGAAAGGAGCTGATGACTGAAAGATGGGGGTGACGGGGGGATGGTACGAGGTGCTTTCGTTCTTAACTCATATACATCTAAAGGCGTACGCGGTGCCTTTGTACAGTGGTAAATCTTCAAGAGGATAGCACAATAGCCAAGGGAATGACAGTGTTTGATTGACAAAATGATGGGAGAGACTCTTCGAGACTGTTAAACTCTGACCAAAAGAACGTGATATGAAACAAAGTAAATTAAATAGCTTGAGAAGCAGAAATCATGGGTTTATTTGGCACATCGCATGGCATGCTGAGCAGGTAATGTTCCTGAAAACCGTGGATGCTGGAGGGGGTTTATATCAGCACCCTCGTAATGTTTTAGGGGTCCTTCGCCAAGCGATCAGCACAGGGGTAAGGCACACCAAAAAGTTTAGCAGGATCTACCGTACTGGGCGAGGAGATGTGCGGCGCGGAGTGGATTACGTGTCTGCAAGTGGGCGGGAAGGAAAGGGGGCCTGGGCCGGCATTGGCGAAGACTCCAACCTCACTAGGGTTGTAAATTTAGTCCTTAGATTTCCCTACTGGTATTACTTTTACTCTTAGTGTTTTCGTCTCAATTATCCTACAATTTTAGTGGATGCAATACGTCTGTGTGCACATGGCCTCAGCCTTGTGCCGCACAGACTGGAAGGCTAGGAGGCATCACTTAGTCTAAATAAGGGTCCACAACTGAACTAAGTCTGATTTCTTCCAACCCTGAAACGACCGGTCCAGGCATACTCATTGCTCGGAGTGCCCCCGCCCAATGTGATTTATAGCTAGCTGCCCGGCCCAGTGTGCTGGCGACGAGACTGGACGAAATAACATTTGAAGTCGTACTTGAATACATTAGGAGGCACAGCAATTGTATCCGTTTCTAGTGGGCTGAAACTTCAGGCTTTTCTTTTTTTAACCACATATATGGTTCATCCATTACTAATCATTGTAATCGGCAATTCATGGTACCTGATGCTGGATCTTTTTTTCTTTTACTTCGATATGAAAGGGCTGCCTATTACTCCTAGATCACGAACATATATTGCCAATGGGCGCCCACCTTCTTCGGCCACAGTACTCCCAAATGAAGTTCCCCCGAATCAAGTAAACTCCGCCATCCCTATGTACACCAGAAGTAGACCGCGCGAAACGACTGCTCTTGTGTCGCAGACTTCTTCCGGGCACACAATGCGCAGGAAATATCCAGCTTCCTATGTACTTAGGTACTTTAGAGTAAGCATCTAAGTCAGCAGTTACAGATTACCCAGGTGCTGCGGGCTATTGATTGGCTGTGTGCCTATGACAAGAGATTTGCAATTGAAGCTTGGTGGATCAGCATGTGGCGCTTAGCTAGCCATGACTAATTGCTGTTCGTAAAATTGTAGAAGGTGAGGAAGTAGATGTATTCATTCAGTATGATTGAGCATTGTTAGATATCCCGTACATCGCCTTGCTGCAGCTGAGAAGGCGCAAGCGGACTATGGTCCGGTCTCCAAAAGGAGTCCACGAACGTATCCCGGTGCCCAGAAATTTCGAGGTTGGAATAGACCTGTATACGACGGTTCAGAACCCGCCGCCCACGATTCAACATATCGTGTTCTTTCACCGGCTACCGATGTGTACTTAGGTAGTAAATTAATAAGGCGTATTCGCACATGCTCCTAGATAGACAAGCTATGTGTTTCAAAATCCACAGTATGCTGATGTAAAATTCGTGTGGCTTGTTCTTGTCTACATGGTCACATGTGCAGTCACAATCCACTGGTGCTGACCGTTGTTCCACATGTGGATTTTCCATAGGAGATTGTGCCCTATGGGCTGTTCCATAAGAGGCTATCCAACAAAAAACGGAGTTCGCAGAATTGGGATTTGAAACCCCTCCTTGAATCGCTATTTGTGGTCCGACCCTCTTGTCAGGGTCTTTCTAGAACTTAGCGGTGATCACGACTGCGTCGCACTCCACGTCATGTAAGCGCGCCCGCTCCTAGGGTTGCCGTTAACTATACTACACGCTATCCTCTTATCCTCCTACTCTCCTACCCTTCTACCCTCCTACCCTCCTACCCTCCTACCCTCCTACCCTCCTACCCTCCTACCCTCCTACCCTCCTACCCTCCTACCCTCCTACCCTCCTACCCTCCTACCCTCCTACCCTCCTACCCTCCTACCCTCCTACTCTCCTACCCTCCTACCCTCCTACCCTCCTACCCTCTTCCACCCCCCTATCTATACCTAGACCTACTATACTATTACATTAAGTATAGTGAATGGCAACCCTCTCTACTGGCTCTATATTAATAGTTCCTAGCCGTGAAAATTTAAGGAGAGCGGATTAAAAATGCCCGTGGTAACTAATTATTCTATTCTTTAAAATCTCCCACTACTCCAAACCAATGAGGGGTATTTTTATCATAGTCTAACGCCCGGTTACACTCCCAATGCCGTATTAACCATCTATCACATATGCAGCCAGTTTACCCTCTTTCCGCAGTTCTTCGGGGCACTAAAGACACCAAAATTTTAGACATCTCGTGACATAGACCATGGTGTTCCCTGAGGTGCTTGGCCAGGTTGCTAAGCTGGCCCCTTCGGCCATTCACTGCAAGTCAAAACTCCCCATGGTTCGATCGACGACGACGCCTATTGGCCTGGCGGCGGATCGGGCGATGCTCCGCCAACAGACGACATCCACCAATCTTACACCGAATCGTCCCATCCGGCATAAATGCCATGATGTTGTCCAAGCTTGACAGTCCTTCACCAGCTGGCACGCTGGGAGGCTTCGACGGTGTCGACGGCGTCGTGGCATTGGTGTTGGGGAGAGGGGTTGGGTTGGTTGGGGGCCAGCTGTTCGCCGTGCCACTGCCATCCCTGTTGATGGCATCGGGTGTGCTGGGAAAGGGTTTGATCAGCGTTGTATATAGAGATGCAGGTAATTGGGAGAAACTTAGTTACCTAGGGATGCCCATCACGCTGCATGTGTAGTACCCAGTCTCCTTATAAGGGAAAGACTCGGTGGGTATGTCGGCTGTTCCCGATGTCTGAACGATCTCTGGGAAGGAGAATATTCATTAGCACACGCGGGAGCATGGCCTTGTTGGCTCATCTTCTGCTCAACCTACGGTTGCCAGGTTCAAGAAGGTATGGGTATCCCATGTCGCCGGCAAGCATTGCGCGGTTTTGAACCAGTTTCTCATTTCCGAGTGTTTGGGATACGCCAGGCGAACCGCTATAAGACCATCCCTGGACTGCGTCTAAACCGAAGTCCGAGGGCCTCACAAACTCCAACAATGAGCTGCCGAAATCGTTGGTGTCCGCGTTATTGTTGTACCAGGCTTTAGCCACATTGTATTTTTTATTTAACTATTTATTTATTCATTATCTTCTCAACTTTTAAACTAATTATTAACTTATACTTTAAGTATAAAGTTAATAATTATTTAATATATACCTTTAAATTTATTTATATATAGAATTATTAGCTTTTTTTATAAGGTTTTTTTTTTATTATATTTCTTATATATTATATAGAAGTAAATAAATCTTTAATACTAAAATAATATATTTAAAGAGGGAAGATTTAATTCTTAAGTATTTAAATTCCTACTTTCTTTATATAGTATTTATTTAATATATAGTAAATAAACTTTACTTAACTTTTTAAAGGGTTTTAATTTTTTATAGAATTTATATAAGAAGGTTTTTAAATAAGTTTATTATTATAATATTATTATTCTATTAATAGTTATATATTTAAAATAAAAATTATAATATATTTAATTTATTTAATAAAGGTAGATTTAAGTGGTTATATAATAAGTATATTAATAGAAAAGAGTTAACTTATTAAGTCTTATATTATAAGAATTTTTTATAGGGTTATATTAAAAGACTATTTTAATTTTACTATATAATTACTTTATTAATTATTAGTTCTTAAGTTATTTATATTAATAATTTTAGTATAGTATTATTAAGAGTAATACCTTCTACCTTTATTTATATAATATAAAGTTTAGCTATATACCTATATATTATATTCTTTTTTTATTATTATTAATATTATATTTCTTTAAACACTAAATTTTAAGTATTTACTACTATATAAAGGCACTATATATATTTTATATATATAGGGATTAAAAATGAAACCACTATTGTTGTACTAGCCCAGGGGGTAGGGGTTAGCTTGGGACCAGCCGTTATTCCCAGTATCTGGGAGCCCGGCCCCAAGCATCGCATTCATGTCTGCCCCAGGCCGGAAGGGCTGTGCAGATGCAGCACTGCAAGTGGTCATGTGGGCAGGGGGCGCCGGACGGGGCCGTGAGTCGACCCAAAGCAGTCGTGGAGAAGCACCAGGATATTCGCGCGCGGAGCTGCTCCAGATTTCGCTGTGACGAAGGACTTGATTCACAAAGACGTCGAGCGCCGATATGTCCTGTCCCTCTGATTTGAGGCGGTCGAAACGCTCCCTTATACCCGGGTAGAAGGGGCGCAGACCATCAATGTTGATGGAAAGGCCGCCGCAGGTGACTAAGCATGAGAGTGTAGGGAATGATTGGAAGAACTGGATGACTTCAGCCTCGTATATGCTGACTATAAAGGAGCGTCCCTGCTGGGAAAGCCCAAAAAGGGGGCGGGTGTCTAAGGGATAATGAGCCGTGGCTGTTCCACTTGGGAAGAGTTAGCAACTAATTATTCAAGTTTGCGAAATACGGATGCAGGAATAGGTTACTAACTGTTCCAGCCCCCAGGTGTCCCCAAAGTAGAACGACATGGCGGCAAAGTCGTACCGCGAGAGGACCTCTCGGACTTGGTGGCGGGAAGATAGAAAGAGCTGTTGGAAAGATAGAGAGACCTGTGGAAAAATAAGATATAGAGAG